TTTGCAAAGTGGAGAGAAATATTAATGCTTGGAGATGGAGATCTTGAGCTTAAGAATGTACCCCCCTTCAATAATTGGAGAAACATCCAAAGCCAATCCTTCTCCTCAAATGAGATCATCTGAAGTTTGAAGAAAAGGAAAGGAGATATGCTGGAATCTGCATCTACTGGGAGAATCCACAGCTCCATTGCCCTCTTCATGGCCACCAAGTAGAAGTTCATCTATGCCATGCCTGGAGCTGACATGGATCAATTCCATCCTTTTGGTTTCAGTGGAAGGAAAGAAGGAAGGAAGAGGAAGGAGGGAGGGAGGGAGGAGGGAGGGAAAGAAGGAAGGGAAGGGGGGAAGGAAGGAAGCAAGGCAGGAAGGAAGGAAGGAGGAAGGAAGGAAGGAAATAGATAAATAAATAAATCACAGAGGGGAAGCTTGTCCCTAATATTAATCCCAATCTTCTCAGATCACACTATCTAACATGATTTTTGTTCCTGGGTTATAAATGCGATTTTCTAATTGGTTTTATCATAAAAACATGGAAAAGGTTTATTAAACTGAAAAACTTTGTTTTTGCGGGACATCCTGGAGCATATTTTGCTATAGTTTTTCAATAAATATCTTGTGGAGTCTCAACCAATTCAACATAGTTTGTGGCAGACACAAAATCCAAATTTCTGGAGTATAACAACTATTTTCAAAGTATTTACCACACAATTAAACAAGAAACAACACTTTCAAACCAGGAACAGAGAATTTTTTCAAATTTTGTTACATAGTGTCATCAGTCAGCACTTAGCACCCATTCAGAATACACCCACTGCAACTAATGAAACTTAAGCTTCGCTTGGCGGACTTAAGCCTCATTCATGTCAATGGGTCTAGACTGTGACTAACTCTGAGTCTTAGCCATTATTCACAATGCATGGTGACTGACTCAGAAAGAAGATGCAAAGTCTCCAGATGCAAAGTTGCCCAGGTGTACTAGTCTACATGTGTGTGTCTGTGTGAATGTGCCTTCAAGTTACACATCAACTTATGGTGACCCTATTAATTTCATAGAATTTTCTTAGGCAAAGAATACTTAGACATATTCCTCTGAATATTCCTCTGAGTATCCACAGTGATTTGATTCCAAAACCCCTGTGGTTGCCAAAAACCATGGATACTCAAATCTCATGACCCACAACAATGTATCAAAACTACATCTCTTATATAAAATAACAAAATCAAGGTTTGCTTTTCACAATATTTGGGGGGGGGGGAGATGTTTTCAAGCTGTGGAAGGTGGGATTTCTTGGATGCAGAATCTGTAGATACAGAGGGCCAACAGTAATCAATATGTATTGAAAACACTAACAGGTGGAATAATCACATCTTTCCAAGTTAACATCAAAACAGTGCAATATTAATTGTAATGTTCTAGGCACTAAATATCTCAGGTTGTGGAATAAATGGGTTATGGTTATGCTTTTATAGTATAAAAACTTTGTATATTAAGACAGAGAGTCAACTGAAAAAAGAGAAGTTTTTGAGGTAGTAGGTAAAATATTAAGATTCATCTTCTAATTGAGATGTGAGTTAAGCATTATGAAGGAGAAATAATGCTGTGGATACTGAATGCAAGACCTAACCGCCTCTACTGGTGTACTACACTGGAATTGCCTTCGTCCATGACATAAGAAGTGGAGATTGGGAAATTTCCTCCTTTGGACATCTGACAAGACTTTCCTATCCAGCATGTCCTTTTACCATGCTGGCACAGGCATTCTGGAAGTTATAATGCAAAAATTGTAACATTTCCATGTTCTGACAAAGAGGATGGGCTGCCATACCTCTGAACCCAAAAGAGTCACCACCAAAACCAAACAACCCAAACCCTGTATTTGGGGGCTAAGTATTTAACTTTAAAGCAGACGTACCCAAAATGTGGCCCACCAAACTGAATGGAATCTCTTCTCATGACTTGTAGGCAGTGTTGGCAAGTTCACAAGTTATGCAGGGATGAAATAGAGCTGAGTCTTGCAAATCTTACTCCCTTTTTTTTGGAAAGCAACGCTCAGATTCCCCCTCTATAGGAACTGTAAGCTTCACTGCTTACAAAGTAGATTTTAGGGGAAAACATTGAGAGATGTAGCAACAGAGGCAGAGCTACATGATACACACGTCTCCAGATAAACAAACATAGGTCTCTAGGATTCCAGCCCATATATAACACACACACACATACATTGCACTGCCCATTCTTCAGAAATAATTGTTGCCTCACATCATCATCGTGAATGAACCATCTCATATTTATCTATTGATCGATTAATCAATCAGTTAATTCACCTATCCACCACTGTACCTATAATTATTCATATATACTGATTCAGTAATTATAACATTGTCCTATCCTTTGTCCAAAAAATATTTTGATTATATTTGCTTGCCACCATCTCACTTTGATTTTACCAGATCAGGACTAAAGGAATCAAGTCCAAACTTTATTTATTTATTTATTTATTTACTATTTAAAACATTTATATTCTGCCCTTCTCACTCCGAAGGGGACTCAGGGCATATACACGGCAAACATTCAATGCTGGGACACAAATTCACATACAATACATAAACATTAAAAAACATTTATCAAAATATTAAAATACACCATTTAAAACCATCCTAGTCATCCGCATCAAATCTAATTGGCCTGGTCATCTTTCCTATTGCCGCTTTATTGCCCTGTCTCAAAAGTTTGGTCCCACAACCAAGTTTTTACCATCCTTCTAAAGGACAGGAGGGAGGGGGCCGACCTGATCTCACCAGAAAGGGAGTTCCATAGCCGGGGAGCAATCACTGAGAAGGCCCTGTCTCTCGTCCCCACCAATTATGCCTGTGACAATGGCGGGATGGAAAGCAGGGCCTCCCCAGAGGATCTTAATCTCCACGATGGTTCATAGTGGGAGATGCATTCAGACAAGTAATTTGGAATCCAACACTGATATTAAAAGTTGGTTTAACTCATTTTATCTTCAACAACAACCTAAGAAAGATACAGACTGGGGTAGGATGGTTATAATGAAAGGGCTGCACAGAAATGCCTAATTTACACATGGTTTCATAAATGTAAGCCTTCACTGGCATGCCAAGGCAAAACGCTTTTGTTCTTTGAATTATCTTAGCAACAAGATAAACCACTACTTACTTTCCATTTCAAAGCTCTTTCCTGTAGAAGTTTACTGTTACTCTTCTCATATGGATTTGCAAATGTAGATGCACACCTTCTCCCTGTAAAAGCATTTATGGTCATAACTGAAAAAAATTGATATTGAAAAAAAGATATCTCTATGGAGCATATAGATTAACATATTTTCTTTGTTATTTCTGACAGTCTGAAAGCTAGTATAAACCTAATTTAAGCAGAGCAGTTATCATGGAGTTTTCAAGGGCTGGGCTTGTGTGACTTGTCTGAGATCATCCAGTGGCTTTTCATAGCCCAGTGGACATTTGAACCCTGTTCCCCAGAGTCCTAGTCCAATGCTGAAAATACTGCTCCTTGCTGTTTTAGCACCACACAAAGCCAATACACAAGTGGTGCTTTGGCTCCATGTACACTGCCATATGATGCTCAATGTAGACCAGTGGTTCTTAACTTGTGGGCACAGGACCACCAGTGAGCCACGAGGATGAAAATCTGGTCTGCAAGCCTCCTTCCTCTTTAATTTATTTAATTTGTTTTGTTTTCACTCCTTTCGTGCAGCCTGCCACTCCTTCCCTGTTGCTGACCATGGCATATGTTCTGTATCAGAAACTAGAGTTGATGTGGTCTATCCAATGCAATTTTCTGAATCAGGGCCCCAAATATTATTATTTCTTAATTATTATTTCAAACATTTGTACTCTGTCCTTCTCAATCCCTGAGGGGGGACACTGGGCAGCTTACAATTGGCAGTAATTCGATACCAACACATACACCATAACCAAACCAAATCTAAAGTTGACCAAAGACTGTAACCCTTTTGGTACTAATGTTGGAGAGTGGTCCCTGGTCAAAGTGTTCCCTGGTCAAAGTGCTCCATGGTCAAGTGGCCCCTGGTCAAAGTGGTCCCTGGTCAAAGTGGCCCTTGGTCAAAGTGGCCCCTGGTCAAAGTGGCCCTTGGTCAAAGTGACCCCTGGTCAAAGTGTTCCCTGGTCAAAGTGCTCCATAGTCAAGTTGTTCCTGGTCAAAGTGTTCCCTGGTCAAGTGTTCCCTCATCAAAGTGGTCCCTAGTCAAGTGGTCCCTGGTCAAAGTGCTCCATGGTCAAGTGGCCCCTGGTCAAAGTGGTCCCTGGTCAAGTGTTCCCTCATCATAGTGGTCCCCGGTCAAAGTGTTCCCTAGTCAAAGTGGTCCCAGATCAAGTGGTCCCTGGTCAAGTGGTCCCTGGTTAAGTGTTCCCTGGTCAAAGTGGCCCCTGGTCAAAGTGGCCCCTGGTCAAAGTGGTTCCTGGTTTAAAAAAAAAGGTTGGGAACCACTGATGTACACCAAGCATGGGCTAACTTGGGCCCTCCAGGTGTTTTGAACTTCAACTCCCACCATTCCTAACAGCCTTGCTTCCCCCCTCAGTCGCTTAAGCAGATATTGTGGCATTTTCTGCCTTGATAACTGCCTCAGGCCCCTTCCTTTTCCCCCTCAGCCTCTTAAGGAAAGCGGCCGGGACTGTTAGGAATGGTGGGAGTTGAAGTCCAAAACACCTGGAGGGCCAAAGATGCCCATGGCTGGTGTAGACTCACATAATGCACTGAACTGCATTCAACCCTGAGTCTACTCTGCCATACAGTCTAGTTCAAGGCACTTCAGCTCCATTCTGGAACAAAGCAACCCTCCCAGCACACGGAAAGGAAACGAAGGCTCTCTGGAAGTCCCGGGTGTGGCTGCCTCCTTTGCGGCGCCCCGGTTCCCCCACCTGAGCSGCCCATTGGCTGCAAGGGCTGGGCGGGCGGGAGGGGCGGCCTTCCTCCTCCTCCTCCTCTTGGCTTGCTCTCGGTGGGCCTCCCCACAGGCAAGGCGGCTCCCTCCCCCGGCCGCATTTGGGGGAAAGCACAGGCCTCCCACCTCCCTCTCTCGGCCTCTGTGGCGCGTCCCTTCCTCGTGGAAGGGGAGAAGAAGAGGAAGAGAGGACAGCTCCGAAAGGCCAGGCGCGCCGGTGATTATGCCCTCCCGCTGCAACAGGTAACTCGCTAACTCCCGCCTTCCGACGGAGAGAGTCGGGCCCGGCTCATTGCTCCCCTCTCGCTTCTTCTTTTCAGCTCCAAAGCCCGGCCAGGCTCCGTGCAAGAGAGTGGGGATCCACACTGTACATGTACATGCAGCTTGACACCGCTGTAACTGCRATAGCCCAATGCTATGGAAGCCTGGGGTCTGTGGTTTGGTGGGACACGCTTTGACACAGGAGGCTCAAGATGTTGTTAAAGTGGTGTCAAACTGCATCAAGGCTACTACAGTGGATGCACCCTCGTAGCATGTGGCTTAACTGCAGCTCCCATGACCCCACACTGTTGCTGGCTGGGGCCCATGGGAACTGTAGTATCAAGAAGTGGCCAATCCCCAGGTTGCCAACAGTTTTGGAGTCAACATGCCTCAGGGTGCCTCTTAATGGAGCTTGCCAGCACTTTAACTGTCATTGCTCAAGGCTATGGAATTCAGGGAGTTGTGATTTTATAAGGCCTTTAGCCCAAAAGTGCTGGTGCTTCACCAAACTACAGATCTCATGATTCTATAGCCTTGAGCCATGGCAGTGAAAGTGGTGTGAAACTGCATTCTTTTTTACAGTCTGGATGCACCCACTGCTTCTGCAGCTGGTGCTATGGGTGGGATTCTGGAATATTGTTTTTATATGGTTAATACTATATGTTAATGTCTAAACTATATTTGATGTTGTTGGGGGCATTGAATTATGCCGATTGTAAACCACCTTGAGTCACCTTCAGGCTGAGAAAAGGGGTATATAAATATGGTAAATAAATGAATAAATAAATAATATGGCCATACAGCCCAAAAAACCTACAACAACCCAGTGATTGCAGCCATGAAAGCTTTTGACAATACATGGGTGAGATTGTTTAGCTGCCTCCTTTCAGTGGAAGAGGAAATCAACCTGCGGCCACTGGTTCAGTGGAGTGAATGGAAAGCTCCTCTGCACATATTCCCACAATTTGGATCTTGGTCCTGATGACAGAAGCTTCCCAGCTTATGCTTCCACAAGTTCAAAGGAACTTTTGTATTCGTCTACCATCTTTCCTGAGATGCTCCTAAATTTAATCTGGTTTTATGCTCACCTATATGCTGGATTAGTGTTCTTAGTGTCTTTATATGCACTTCTTCATGCAACTAGGATAGGGGTCAAACTGCCCAGGTTATAGAGCAGTGTGTCTTCCTCCTGGGTTCCTTACAGTGGTTGGAAGGTTGCTGGCCAGCAGCTGAGAAGCATAGGAAATGCTCCCTGGACATGCTGTTTGTGACTTCATTTCCAGACAGGCTGTCCCCATAGGCAGAGGAAACAGAACTGGACTACTTGCATGGGAATTGATTATAGATTTAAAAAGCATTTCTGAAAGCTGAATATCCATTTCCATGTATGTTGTGAGACTTCTAGGTGTGCAACACACCTCCATACTCACTGCCTCCTTTATATGTGTGTGTGTGTAAGTTATATATGTCTGTGTGTTAGGAGTGACGTGAGAAACTGCAAGTTGCTTCTGGTGTGAGAGAATTGGGTGTCTGCAAGGACATTGCCCAGCAGACGCCTGAATGTTTGACAATCCTGTGGGAGGCTTCTCTCATGTCCCCACATGAGAAGCTGGAACTGACAGATGGGAGCTCACCCTGCTCCCCAGATTCAAATCGCCGACCTTTTGGTCAGCAGTCCTGCCGGTTGTGCAAGGGTTTAACCCATTACACCACCGGGTGCTCCTTCTTATATAACATACTCCCCATGGATATAGGATTGGTACTGTGTTTAAAAGAAAAGTGTGAGATTGAAGTGGGAGGTAAATTGATGAGTGGGTGGGATTAGAAATATATTTGTCCAGGTAGCCTATTACTGTCTACGCTGATTGGCATTGGCTCAGGAAGTGACCTTTCTTACTGCCCACTCCCCAACTTTCTATGGGAATGCTGGGTACTTTCCCATTTAAAGATTGGACATGGGGCTTTCAGCATGCAATGCCTGTGCTGCTCTGAAGCTGAGCTATGGTCTTATCCCCCTTGCTCTTATGGTAGGGAGCAATTTAGACAGTGCTGAATGAGGTAAAAAAATGAGTACATACAGAGGTGGGTGTTTAACTGAGGAAATGCAATAATTATGGAGCAAAATTATTCACTGGAAAGCTGTGTGCATCCCATCCCCAATGCCAGCAACAGTTGCCTTGCAGAAGGGACCCGAAGAGGCAGAAACTTGTCCAGATAATCTAAGCATTTTTTTGTTGCAATTGGGATTTTAATCGTAGTCTTTGGTATGAAATGACACATAAAATATCAAAAGCACATTACCCCTGATTCACCACAAGGTTTTTGGGAACATGGGTTTTCTAGCAGCAGTCTGTGTTAGCTATCATTCATGCAACGGAGATGGTTAGACTCTCAGGGGATGACCTGAGAGTTTACGTGGTAATGTTCTAGAAGCTTTGATTCACTCACGCAAGCCTTCATTCAACCCAGAAGGGCTCTCATCATTGAATGCCAGACTTCTTGCCTACTTTGGAGAGTGTAACAAAACCAAAGCAGCATCCATGGAACAAGAACTATCCAATGTTTACATAACAGAATGTAGATTAGATAGGGAAGCTTTAGATGTCAGCTTCTGCAGCCGCAGCCAGCATGACCAATGGTAAGAGATTGTGGAAGTTGCTGCTGAAAACATCCAGAGAATTCTTTTAGTGTGTGTCAGGAGCGACTTGAGAAACTGCAAGTCGCTTCTGGTGTGAGAGAATTGGCCATCTGCAAGGACGTTGCCCAGGATGTTTTGATGTTTTATAATTCTTGTGGGAGGCTTCTCTCCTGTTCCCACATGGGGAGCTGGAGCTGACAGAAGGAGCTCATTCACACTCTCCCTGGATTTGAACCTCCGATCTATTGGTCTTCAGTCCTGCCGGCAAAAGGGTTTATCCCATTTCACCACTGGGGGCTTCTATCCAGGGAACTAAAGGCCTCACGCTCCAGCATAATTAAAATCAGTGTCTAAGGATGCTCAGAAGCAAAGGAAAAAGAACACCCAAGTAACCAGATAATCCTGGCACTTTGGTCTGGAAGTAAGAGTGAGAAAAAGAAGATGAGAAAATGAATAGCTGCAGGAGAGGAACTGTGGAGGGTTGGGCAGCATTGCTTGGGATGATGGATTTTACTGCTTGTACACACCTTCTGCCCTTAGGCAGAAAACTTTTCTCTATAGCTCATTCTTCTTGCCAAGCCCTTTAAAGACACTTTTCCCCAGACTATGTTTGTCTTTTATGGGGGCTGCAGAAAGCGACTCTGGATAACAGCAACCCTCAGAAAAATAGAAAATGAACGCAGGAGGCTGCTTCAGGGGACATGGGGGAATAGTTCATCAAACAAGGAGCTTCCCCCTCCCAATGCCCTTGCATTTTTTTCCTGAGTGCTTTCAGAAAAGGAGTAGGAAATAAAACTTGGCCTGTTTGTTTACCTCTGCATAACTATGTCAACTCAATCCTTACTGTGCATATATACATCATCTTTTAGATAAGGAGGAAGAGGTCCTTTAGCTCTCCAAAATTTTTGGATAAAACTTCCTGAGTCTTTCCATATTGGGCATGTTGACTGGGGCCAAGGATTCACCACCCTTGATTTGCATTGTTTCATGCCACCCAATTTACCTTCATTAAACCTCCAGACACACCATTTTATGACATCTGGTATGATTAAAATTATACCATAATAGGTCTCATAAAGCTTCCCTTAGCATTTTTCAGAAGAACTTTAAAGCTCTAGGACCACAGCTGAAATACATTGTGGAAGAAAATGGTGTTTGCTATGTGATTAGTGTTTTTTGTTTTCGGCTCTGAGCTGATGTGATGTAAGGGCTAATCTTTCAGCATGACAGCAATACTTGACAGGATGAGGCAGTTCCAGGACTGGATCATTCAACTTTTTTTCTTTTTTCTAGAGACTAGTATGAGTCAGTGTGTATTGGATATTATTGAGTTATTGGGGTAGTGGCTTGGACCATTGGCTCAGGGAAGGGAGCCAATGGTCTCCCCTTTCAGAAGCTTCTGTTGACTTCTATTATACAGGGTTCCCTCCCTCGCGTATCATGGGATTTCGTTCCAGGACCACCCGCAATAAGTGAAAATCTGCAAAGTAGGGACACCATATTCATTTTAATATTTATACATTAATAGCTGTCTCCTGCCATGCATCGCTGTGGCCCAGTCTGCGTATATGTGTTTTTGTGTATATATATGTGTGTATGTGTGTGTATATATTTGTGTATATATATGTGTATATATGTGTGTTTGTGTGTGTGTGTGTGTGTGTGTGTATATATATATATATATATATATATATATATATATATATATATATATGGTTTTGTGCATGCATTTAATGTATTTGGGGGGGGTTGGCTTTTAAAGTCTCTTCTGCTGTGTTTTTCAGTGTTTTAATGAGTGATGGTCGCTCGTTGGCCTGATAGGTGTATTGTGTCCAAATTTGGTGTTAATTCACCCAGTGGTTTTTGAGTTATGTTAATCCCACAAACAAACAATACATTTTTATTTATATAGATTTTAGAATGATAGAATCATAGAGTTGAAAGAGATCTCATGGGCCATCCAGCCCAACCTCCTGCTAAGAAGCAGGAAAATTGCATTCAGAGAACCCCCGACAGATGGCTATCCAGCCTCTGTTTAAAAGCTTCCAAAGAAGGAGCCTCCACCAGACTCTTGGGGCAGAGAGTTCCCCTGCTGAACAGCTCTCACAGTCAGGAAGTTCTTCCTAATGTTCACATGGAATCTCCTTTCTTGTAGTTTGAAGCCATTGTTCCACATCCTAGTCTCCATTTTATATATTTTATATATTATTTTCTTACCTGCACTTCCTTACCCGCCTCCCAGACCATCCCAAGGGCACCTTCCTGCCTCCCTGGCCTCTCCAGAGCCACGCAGGCAACAGCAGGCCAGGGAAGCAGGCCTTCCCCACTGTGACTCAGGCCGCTGCACTTTTGGGGTCCCTGACCTTCCTGGCCTCCACTAGACATAAATATTTAATATTTTATTTTTTAATTAAAAATTTTCAAAAACCCGCAAAACAGCAAGGCCGCTAAAAGTGAACCGTGAAGTAGCGAGGGAACACCGTACTCCCTTTGTTCCCATTCAGTCCATTACCCAGGAACAGTTCCTAAACTTTGGTTATTCAAATCTTTTGGATTTTAGCTCCCAGAATTTGCGATGGTTGGCTAAAGTGAAGGTCCACAATTTGGGAATCACTGCATGACTTATCTCTTAATCTACAAATGCTTCCTCAATCATAGGTAAAGGTAAAGATTTTCCCTGACATATATATAAGGTAAAGATTTCCCCTGACATTAAGTCTAGCCATGTCCAACTCCTAGGGGTGGTGCTCATCTCCATTTCTAAGCCGAAGAGCCGGCATTGTCCATAGACACCTCAAGGTCATGTGGTCAGCATGACTGCAAGGAGCGCCCTTACCTTCCTGCAGAAGCAGTACCTATTGATCTCCTCATATTTGCATGTTTTTGAACTGCTAGGTTGGCAGAAGCTAGGCCTAACAGCAGGAGCTCACCCCACTCCTCAGATTCGAACTGCCAACCTTTAATCAGTAAGTTCAGCAGTTCAGTGGTTTAACCTGCTGTGCCATCATACTACAAAGCAACAATATGGATGCTATGAATCCAGCACCATCACTTTCCTTCTACGCATGCTTTTTAAAAGCAATCTTTGCCGGTTGAAGAGGCCTGCTAGTTTCCAAAGGTAGTATGATGTATTTTGTACCTTTTCAGCAGAACAAAGTCAAACAAATAATTATAGAAGGGGTGACGATTTGTCTGTCCCAAGTTCATACTGTATCTGCTGTAATTATCTTTTTTCTTTTCTCACATGAATTGCTCTCAACTGTGTTACCCCGTGGCTGCATTGTCTCCTACTCAGGCTCAACATCAACTTCAAATTTCTGGCCAATTGTTCTTAAAGCTCTCCACTTTCACGCTTCACAAAGGATGAATTCAGTCTTCCAAGAGCAGCCCATGGCTTGGTCTAAAACCTGTTCACTGGGTAACAGCAGCTACAGGGAGATCTAGTTGTTTGTAATGAACTGTTGCCCTGGGAAAACATAATAATGCTCATATATTCAGTCAGTTGTAAGGTGCAATAAAGTGTGTATTATAGTGTGGCTAGAATCTAAAAATGACAACCTGTGCATACATTCGTAGTCACCATAGAGTGAACCAGTGTAGTGAATTTGATTCATTTGGGGATCTGAGAATTTTTACATTAATGGCTAATTCTAAAGGCCATTAATTTGAGGAAAGCAGCCCCTGGTTTCAATTTTCTTCTGCCCTTATCAGAATGATAAGGAGTCATAGCATTTTGTGGAAATTAGGTTGCTTTCTCTTATTTTAATGGATGTATTCACAAATTTGATTATTATCCAAATACCATATATACCAAGTATAAGCTGACCCGAATATAAGCCGAGGCACCTAATTTTACCACAAAAAACTGGGAAAACCAATTGACTTGAGTATAAGCCGAGGATGGGAAATGCAGCAGCTACTGGTAAATTTCAAAATAAAAACAGATACCAATGCAATTACATTAATTGAGGTATCAATAGGTTAAATGTTTTAGAATATTTACATAAAACTGTAATTTAAGATAGGACTGTCCAGCTCTGATTAAACCATTATTCTAACCTTTTTCATTGTAAATGTGCTTATGTATCCTTCCAATAATAATACAGTAAAATAATAATAATAATAATAATAATAATAATAATAGAGTAAAAATGGAAATGTAATAATAACAGTAATAATAGAGTAAAATAATAAATATAATAATAACAATAATACATAGAGTAAAATAATAAATGTAATAATTATTATAATAATAGTGTAAAATAATAAATAGCCATGGCCCATGTATAAGCCAAGGAGGACTTTTTCAGCCTAAAAAAAGGGCAGAACAACTAGGCTTATACTGGAGTATATACAGTATATGTATTTATGTCATTATTTATTTACGCATATAAGTCTTATATCAAAAGACTTCTAAACTGCATCTCCAAACAAGTTCTCCAGCTGGTTCTTACACTGGGCAATAAAACATTAATATTCAAAGAGCTGTTGATTTACTTGATATCCCCTTGGACCATATATGAACCATAGATATTGGCTGTTTTCCTAGTCATTACTTCATTGCCTGAAGTGAGTAAGACAATGTCCTTTTTCTGTTCTACCTATGGAACCTGACCCCTCCCCCCCACCTCACTGATTTATAGTTCTCCAAGGACACCAGGATAAAGATACAATTTTTATTTGACTGAACCTACAAAATTCCAGCAGAGAACAATACTGGAAGGCAGACCAGCAACCTCTACTCTCCCCTAAAGACTATTTTTTTATTAAATGTCTGCAGATATGGACCCGTGGAACGGATCTGCAGCAGTGAATCTCATATAAAGACTCCAACCCTTTAATAAAATACTTTTTCTTATAACTTTCTGTCTACCTTGTATCCTTTATCCTACTCTTATATTATCAAATGTGTATCAAGTATATGATTTTTGCCCAGGCAAGCCACAGGGGTCTTTGCCTTCTTGCTGACCCTGCTGACGAATTTCCTAGACATATGGGACTGGGCACATTCCCCCAACTACCTAGAGAAAGGTGACAATCGGGACCCGTTGTGTACATACATGGATCAGCAGGCAGTTTCTGCTCCTAATCTGATAGCTCCAGCCGATATTTGTCCAGCTGATTGTCTCAATTACACTGAGAGATTGTTGGCTGAGGAAACAGACTCCAAGTATGTGCACTCATTAAAATCCTTTATTTGACATCCAAGTCTTGATTGAAGAAGATCATCACCTTTTGTTCCAAAATCCCTCTCCCTTATTTTTCCCAGGACACTTCCTCATTATCAGAAACAATTAAACTAAATCAAAAACTCATTAGCATTTCCCAATATGGACATGGACTTTCCGGGGTTTGCCTCCTCCCAGGAGAGCCACCTCTCCACAGCTGATTGGCTCTTCCCGGTCCAATCTCTCATCATCTCCTCCCTGCAAGGGAATCCCCATCTTGAAGGAGCAACTTCACCAGAGTCCTGGCCAATCAGATCACAGATTCAGACTGGCAGAGCGGGAAGTTTGAATAGCTGTCATGTGTATAAACTTCATGTCTCTGTATTTTGTGTTATACTTGTACATTTTGTCATCAGCCATACAGGCATCTTTTATGGCTGAATTAAAATAAACCTCAGTGGCTTGTCTTTACCTGGTGTGGTGTTCTTAGATATGATCTGGAACTTTGGGCTTTAGTGTAAACACTCGCCAGGCATAGATCTTCCTTATTCTCAGTCCTAACTTAAATTTTACCTCAACCACACTGGCACCTGAGTCTGTGTTGACATAGATGGTGGGACAGCTTCCTCCCCGACATCGGAGGTCAACCAGTCAAGTAAACTTGGGGAATACAGGTTTCCTGGAGCATTTCTCTGGGAAAGAGGAGCAGTTTCAGAACACTCACTGCTGACTCTTCCCTTCTGGGCTTTTGCCTAACACTGCCTAAAAGTAGGGGTGGCACTGCTAAGGATCCTTGTTTGGATGTATGTTTCATTGAACTCAGTGGTAAATGTGGGCAGGATCAACTGTTGAAGTAATTCAGTAGATGTCTCATTCCAACTGAAGGTGGCTATGCTTAGAAATGCCTATAAAATGGGATTTAGAATTGAAATGGGCAGGAATAAGTTAGGCATATCTGAATTTTGTGTAGCTGGAAACTTTATCCATTTGCTTTTCCAGTTTTGGTATTACGGTTGCTTTGCATTTTCTCCTTTAGATATTATTTAAAATGTGTGTATTTGATAACAGAACTCAATGTTGTTGAACATTATATTGTTACCATGCACTTAAAGGTGGATGCTTATTTACTCTCCAGTTGAATTATGGATTGAAAGTAATTATTCTGAAGCAACTTGACAGTGGTCTTCTGAGATTCATGTCTCTCTTTGCCTCAGTTGAACCAGCCATTTTCTCTTGTTTTCTCTTGCAGACACTCACAATGAGAGGGGACGTGCTGTTCCTCACTGCGCTCCATGCCACGCTCCTTGCTTCAGCACAAGTTGCAGCTCAGAAAAGGGGGAGATGTAGGTGGATCCTTATTGACATAATGTTATGGGATTGACTGTCATTCAGAACAAATGCTTTGCAGGCTTAAGATCATGAAACACATTTCGTTGAATGGATCTGAGATGTTTTCAGAGAGAAAACTTTGCTTGGGAATATGGAGACCCATGTACAGTCTTGGGAACATAGGAAGCTTCCTGGAGCATACCATTCTCATAACACTGGTGCATGCCTAACTGGAAAAAGTTATTTGGGACTACAGAATCCCCCAGTTAGCATGACCATAATCATGGTGACTGGCGATTCTGGGGGTTGCAGTCCTAAAAAGTAATCTTTCCCAGCTCTGTCCATGTAGTTCAGTGTTTTCAGCACTGGCTTACAGTGGTTCTTCTAGGTTTCTAAAACGGAGCTTTCTGAACCTTACCTGTACAGTCCAGTCACTGTTCCTCCAACAATCTGGATACAAAACCCATATTCTGTAACCAAAGGTGCCTGGTTTGACGCTGAATTAAATTTTGAACTGGTTCATGATACTTAATGAAGTGGGATTGAAATGCACACATATCAGCAGGGTCCCTGCCCTGAAGAAAAATAGTCTAATTATCAAAAGGAAAAAGAAAAGCATAGCTGACAAATGCTAGCATAGACTGTAAATATGACCCAAAGTGTCTGGAGACAAGTATTCTACAAGAAGCAATGCTGTGCTGATCATTTTGATGCAAACACACATGTGTAACAGTTTCCATAATGTTACCGAGATTTAACACTTTAGGAGCCCTTTAAAAATAGTCATGCTATAGCACTAAAATAAAAAGGCATGATGATGATGATGATGATACTTTATTTATAACCCGCTCTATCTCCCCGAGGATTGTAGTGATTTTTTAAAAAGTAATAACCTCCTTGCTGCCTTTTGGGTTACACGTCTTCCACACTTCTAGCTTTTTAAAAACTTTTTTTTTTTACAATTTCTGAGTTTCTGAGAAATGAGTTTTTTGGTGTAAAATAAAAATTTAAAAATTCTTTGTATATGTGTTACTGAAATAGTCATTCAGGTGAAATGCTCATTCCTATCCAACACAATTTCCCATCATTCCAAAATGCAGACAGATAGTGTGAAAAATCAATTGCAATTTCATTAGTAAACATGCAGTGAAAGAGGAGTAACTGACAAACATGATGTTGCCCATCTCGGTGGACCTAGAAACTAAAGAAAAAAAATGCTTCCTGTAGGTTTTCTGCAATGATGTTTATGTTTTGCTGGGGAAAGGCCACTGCAGTTAGTGACTTTCTCTGCCATTGCATTTTTAAAAGTGTCTTCTCTGGCCCATATTTCCAGACTAAATTCAGTATGATATCAGGAGTCCCATTGTTCCTTCATGTTTCATGCAATATCTCATGGTTGTAGACAGAGCCACTTCTTTCCTTATATTCACCAGAAGGGGAAAGCCCATGGCTTGATGTATTTGTTTCCTTGTAGCAGTAAAATCTCTTGTAGCTCTGCTGAGATAGTGTGGGCAACTTAAGTGCATCTGGATCCCATCCCAATTTCTGCCTCTCAGATCCCACTATTGACGGCGCATGCTTGCCAATACACATTGACAAACTTCAGTGCCAAACAACAATAATTTCCATGATTTCTGAGTAAAACAATGCATGTGAGGAATAAATGCATTGTTATGCAGTGCTACTCCAAGGTTTCTGCCAGTGGTAGTTAGTGAGATGAGGTCAGTAGAAGGGTGAATCTGCTCTAGATGTTACTCTGAATGTTAAAGGAACTATCCAAGGTACTGAACCCTATTTCCAATATATTTTCATCACCTTAGATAGATTCTTAAATAGATCTTTTGAAATATTGGCTAAAACCCAAAACCATGTGGAAGCCACCAGACCTCGTTGCTTTTGGCATTGTGGTTCTAGTTAAAATGAGATGTGTGTCCCTTGTTTTACCAAGAAAATGTCATCTTTAAAATCATGGTACTAGTGGCATTTGGTGATACAGCATTGAATTTTTTAGTGGTAGCAAATGTTTTGTGGGCTAAAAAATGACTTCTATTGAGATATTGAGATTAGATATCAAGATTTTTGAACTTTTGGAGAGGCCTGCACTTCTCTATAGGACTGGGAATATGAAATCTTTAATGTCTATGTGTAAATGAAGTCTCCCTCTCACAGAAGAACAGAATTTCCCTATCCATCATTTTGTCTATAGTGAAGTATTTTAAGGAAAGTTCCATATATCTTACTGTAGCATGCCTTCTACATTTTCCTGTTAGCTCAGATCTCAATAGTTCTTCACAGTATAGATTTTTTTTTATCTTCAAGATCGCCCATTCATCCAGGGCTCCTATCTTTTCTAAATAGTGGAGCTTGGAGGTCAAACTATAGATCTGATGTGTGATAATTAGGAAGGAGCCCAGATAGCCTGTTGGAACAGAAATGTTTCTCCTTACCTCAGTTAGAGTTGGAGCCCCATACTAGCTCTTTCTGATTATTTAACTTCAAAGGAATGTAATGTAAATGAGGCACTGAAGATATCTTATTTTAAAGGATATCTCAATGACGAATGTACATATTCCTGTCTTTTTGTGTGTAACTGAAAACAGAATCAGAAAATGTCACACGAGTCTGAGAGTATACACAACCTTTGCTAAAAAGTACATATGAGATAGGATGTGAGTACATGACATAAGTTGTGGTGATGACTCTTGACTGTTTCTTTGCAGCAATATGCACCAATGTTTATTTGGCTGACATCGTATTCCTGGTGGATGGATCCTCTAGCATTGGAAGAGCAAACTTCCGCATGGTCCGGTCCTTCATGGAAGGGCTGGTTGTTCCGTTTGTCAATGTGGTGGGTGAGAACAGAGTGCGTTTTGGAGCTGTGCAGTACAGTGATGACCCCAGGTGAGTCCCATTTTCTTTTGCTTACAATGCTAATCATATTCGAAAAATCTGGAGGTCATGCAGGGAAAACTCCTGCCTGAAATCCTGGAGAGAAACAGTCAAGGCCAACAATCCTAAACTAGATGAAGTTGATATATAGCAGATTCCTGTTTTCTGATGTCCTTATCCAGCATAGCTTTCAAATATTAGGCTACAGTATTTTGGGCTGCCCAAAATTTCCAGGAGAATGAAAACAATGTCTAGGATATCAAACCATTTTAAAGCTAGCAAGTGGGTGGCTTTGGGGCTGCTTGTTAAGCACCAGAAACTGGCTCCCAAAAGAATGTGATGTGTTTATTTTCAGGTCCAAGTCCTCTAGGAACTTTATATAATTCTTTTAAAATATATTAACAAGAGATCTGCCAGAGATCTAACTATTCCATTCATAATGTAAGAAAATTCCTCAAGATCCTCCACTAAGAATCCACCTATAAGTCATCCTGTAGATACGAGAAATCCACCAATAAGATGATGTCATCATGTAAATTCTGAAGCAGAGATAGATTTAAAATATTAGATTTTCTGGTTCAATTCCCCTTTTATCTCATTTCATTTTGATCTCAGGACGGAGTTCACATTCTCCGACTTCCTCAATGGGACAGATGTGATGAGAGCTGTTCGAGAGATGGCCTACAAGGGTGGAAATACACGTACTGGTGCAGGCCTCCGTTTTGTGGCAGACAACTTCTTTGGATCCAATCAGCTGAGACCAGAGGTTCCAAAGGTACCACCAGAGAATCATTTTTTGAGGCACATCAGAGACAGATAAGTGTTATCAAGGTCATAAGCATACAGGGTTTCTCAGCTCTGTGAATCTGTCAGACACCAGCTTTTACTTACTTACTTACTCATTTGTTTATTTAATGAATGATATAGGGACTCAAGATAGCCAATGTAATGAAATCAAAGTATTCACTGTTAGTATTTCTGGGGAGGTTGACAAAGAGAGAACTCTAAAATTGTCAAGATCTAAGTGCCCTCTGTGCATATCCTGTTCAGACACTGTCGTGCTCAGTCAGGCAACACTCAATAAATGCAGGAAGACTAAATATTATTCTTTATCAACTTGGAATCCTCCAGATGTTTTGGGAGGCATCCCTAGTCAAAATATCTCTTAAAACATCCTAAGTAGGCAGGATCAGTAGCCAATTTTTTCCTGATAGTCAGTGACTTAAATTAAGCCAGAATCATTCTCCAGAGAAAAATCCATGGATATTTTTGCACAAAACTTCCTGTTTTCTCCACTAGTGAATGTGGGAGCAGAGAGAGTACTGTGAAGGAGGGAGAAAAGTACTTTAATGGCTTGCAAGAGAGAATGAAACAATTAAGGATTTTCATCTCTAATTGACAAACTGTCTTTTCAGGCTAGCAAACAAGCAACTTCTGCTGTTTTGGGGCCTTTCCACACAGCCCTGTATCCCGGAACATCAAGGCAGAAAATCCCACAATATCTGCTTTGATCTGGCATATCTGAGTCCACACTCAGATAATGTGGGATTTTCTGCCTCAATATTCTGGGATATAGGGCTGTGTGGAAGGGCCTGTAAATTCAGACCTCTTCCACACAGCTGAATAAAACCCCACATTTTCTGCTTTGAACTGGAATACATAGCAGTGTGGACTCAAATAACCCAGATCAAAGCAGATATTGTGGAATTTCTTCCTTGACATTCTAGGTTATATAACTGGGTGGAAGGGCCCTCAAAAAGAGGGAGTAGGTGTGCTGGGTGTGCTTGTTGAGGTGTCTCCACATCTTACCTTTTTGTTTTTTACCCTTCAGATATGTATCCTCATAACAGATGGAAAGTCTCAGGATGAAGTTGACCAGGCAGCATTGAAGCTGAAGAATCAAGGGATTAAAGTCTTTGCTGTGGGTAAGTAACCTCTGCAGTCAGTATTGGGACCCAGCTAGACTTGCCAGGTCAGGACTATTCAGACTCTGAGATTTAAAGGTACAAACCTGACATCCAGGAATATCTGACAACCATAGATTCCACACAGCCATATAACCCAGAATATCAAGGCAGAAAATCCCACAATATCTGATTTGAACTGGTAGGACACTTATCTGAGTTCACACTACCATGTATTCCAGTTCAAAGCAAATAATGTGGGATTTTATTCAGCTGTGTGGAAGGGGCCCCAGCCAAGAACAATATTATCAAGGCATTTCCCTTTTGTACAACTCTGATACGGGCATATCTTCCCTCAGTCCCTCCTTTCTACCACTTCTCCCCTCATTCTGTTGTTGATGTTGTCCTGAGAGGAAACAGAGCTGAATGGGTGGAACAGATTCATGTCTGCACCAGTCCCTGCTTGCCACAATAGAGTTAGGTGGGGAATGGGAACATTGAAAGCTTGTGATGGGCCTACTATGTTAGTTAACTCTGGAAATCTTCCTCTCTCATAAGTTTGTGCCCGAGGGCAAAGCAGTGGAAATGTACAGCTGAAAATGTGGGTCAGCTGTGGTGCAGCTCTAATGAAGATCTTTGTAGGAAAAGCCCACAGTAACTTCTCTAATGCATTGCATAAACTGTTTTTGATGCATGCCAGATGGACTGATCCTTTTCCAAGACCACTCTCCCGGTTTTTGAAACTGTTACTTGCAGATACCATTAATTTTAAAACCTTAGCAGCAACCGGATTTTTTCAGCTGTATGCAAGTGCTATACGTAAAAGATGAATTGATAGTTGACATCTGGCGTTGTAAGACAAACATGTGGAATTATCTCTTCAATAACAATGAAAGGCTTTCAGTGCTGGCTACAGCATCATGAAAGAAAAGAGAAGGAAAATACCTCATTAGAACAAAAGGAGAGTATACTGTACCAGATTTGTCAAATCCAGAATTTGGTCTACACAGTGACCAGTTGGTTGTCCATGGGAATCCCAGGAGCCTGAAAAGAGAACAACTGTAGCTTCCTGCTTGTGTTTTCCATACACTGACAGGATGGCATTGTTTCTGGGACTCCATCCATTGTGATTAGGGGCCTATTATTGTTGTACTGGCCTTATGAGACTGTTTGGATTCATGATGCAGGTTGAGTGTTATTTGAAATATGTTTGGGGACTGTGGTGTTCTGTATTTTGATTTTTTGCAGATTTTGGAATATTGCATGTACATAATGGAGATGGGACCAAGTCTAAACATGACATTCATTGATTTCATAAAGACCAAATACACATAGACTGAAGATAATTTGCTATTGGTATAGATGTTGTGCATGACACAAACTCTCACTGTCTCAGCCACTCATGTGAACAATCTGGGAGTATTCTGGATTGCAGAATTCCAAATACTTAATCTGTAATTAGAATGTCGATAAAGCTTTTTAATTGGCTTGCAGTCATCATGTCTCTATATTGCTCACTGGATGTAGTTAAGTTGTGAGAAGGCTTATTTTAGCCAGTGAATGGCACCATTTTCCACCCAGATTTGAGTGAAGAGGATCCAGCACATAGATATATTTCCTTCAGGAATGGCCTGCTTTGACGATGGCCCTCCCTTCTTTATTTCTCTTCTCTTCCCCAATTTAGGCATCAAGAATGCAGACCGCAAGGAGATTGACAGAGTTGCCTCCACACCCACGGAAGATTATTCCTTCTATGTCAATGATTTTAAAATCCTGTCCACTCTGCTGCCATTGGTGTCCCGGAAGGTGTGTTCCAGCACAGGGGGCATACTACAGATTCCAGGTAAAAAGCATTGGAGAGGGACAAATGGCATCTGTTCTTACATGGCTTAGCTTTTTTGTCTCTCCCTCTGGCAGTTGTCAGGGGAGAGTTCAGCCCTGCCTGGCTCTGTTTCCATGGAAATCTCTCAACTCTGAGTGGTCCTAGAAGAAAGTCTTGATCTAATCAGTGTTGATACTCTGGGAAGATGACTGGTTTTGACCTAACCCCGCTGTTGGTTTAACCTTGCCCTGCGGGTTGGGTGGTCACCATTCAATCCCATTCCTTTTCAGGGGTTGTTGCTAGTGTCACCATTCTTCACGCCCTTTCAGCTTTCTGAAAATCTGAGGCTTTGTCCTCTCTCCGTATCAGGCCTGTGGTGAGCTGTCAAGAAGGAGCCTAATTTCCCCCTCTCTGCTTGGGTTTTTCCTCTAAAGGCACACAGGCGTATGTTGGCCCTTCCAACCTGGTCTTTTTGGATCAGCGCCCTGACATGCTGAGAATCCGCTGGACTGCGGCCGGGGGCCCTGTCACAGGCTACAAGGTGCAGTACGTCCCTCTCACGGGCCTGGGGCAAGAAGTCACGGCCGAGAGGCAGGAGGTGAGCCCTGCTCTTATTGCAGTCTTCTGAGGGTTTATGCAAATAGGTGATGGAAAAGATTTGACCCAAGTTACAATTCTTGCTGAAAATATCCCCCTTTCCATCTCCTTGTCCTTGGAAATTTTGTTCATTTTGAGGTTCACAGTACATTTTGGAGAATTAAGATCTGCACAAGTCCAAACGATAAAAACTAAAGATAAAATGAAAATGCAAATAAGCTTCAGAGAAATAGAGCAAAAGTCAGTCTATTTTTGTTGCTCCAGATAACCCAGAGTTTTCACAGCTTTCTGCAACTGCCTCATTAGCAAACATTCATACTCCTGAATAGGCTTGTGTGACCTCTCGTGTCACACTAGCTTCTCTTATATCTCCTGACTTTGGCAATGAATTGGTAATAAAAACAAAACTAATGCAGTTTGGATAGTCATGATCTTTTTTGACAGTAGTATAGACTGTCATGGGAGCTGTTGGGCTCTTCTTCATTGGAGGTATTTAAATGGAGATTAGATTACAATCTATCAGTGATGCTGTTATTTGCATCGAATAAGGAAACAGGCTAATTGAACTCCAAGGTACCTACCATGTTTTTCTATCCTATATCAAGACCTTTGAAATAGCAATTCTTTCTTTCATAGTGAAAGCATCAGTTTGGTGCAAATTAGGGAGAGAAGGCAACACTGTTTGTTAAGTGAGATTTTTACCTGACTTAGTCTGAATTTTTGAAAGTTATTGTGAGAAGGGCTTGCTTTTGCTCTTCAGCTTGCACTCTACCTTTCTAATAAAAGACAGTGTGGTATGGAGGTTAGAATGTTAAATCTGGAAAATCCCCGTGCATGCACCCACATAACCATTACATTCACTGAGTTCTCAAAACTAATTTGTTATTGTTAGCATGAGTGCTTATTATGTAAATATAATGGAAATTATTACTTTTTAAAGCAATCAAGAGTGGTCTGAAAATTAGGATTCTTATCTCATGTAAAATCTTCCAGCCTGCAAAAAAGAGATAATTTCAGTGCAAAAACCTTACTAGGCTTCAAATGATCTCTTATCACTGATTGAAGGTAAAGAATTTACCAAAAATTGGAAAATCATTTCATTCTTCCCGTTGTTGCTTCCTCACATGTTTCATTGTTGTTATGTGCCTTCATGTCACTTCTGACTTATGATAACCCCAAGGAACTCCTATCATAGAGTTTTCTGGAGCTGACTGTGTATGACTCACCTCAGATGAGTGGGAAATCAAACCCTGGTCTCCAGAGTTGTAGTAGAAGGCTACGTCATGCTGTCTCTCTCCCATGTATGTGCATAAAATGGATACATGTGCAGGTGGAATAGAAGGTATTAATTGTAATATCTGATTGGAAAAACAGATCTCATTTTTCTCTTGAACAGATTAGTTTGGGACCTGATGAGACTAGTACTGTGCTCAGTGGTTTGAGAGCAGGGACAGATTACCAGGTCACTGTTATTGCCCAGTATACCAACATCATTGGAGAATCAGTTACTAGGAAAGGACGCACACGTGAGTAATAACTACTTTTTGACAACACTATTTGAGACTTGTTTGAAATTACCTGATATGTCTATGTCTGGAGACACCACACAAGAGCCTAATTTAGCTTGCCCTGTTGGAGCGTCCTCTTTTTGGTATAGACTACAAGTACCATCATGCACAGACAGCATGAGTGATAGACACATTAGCCAGGGATGATGCCTGGGATGATGAAGTTGTCTGAAGCTATTGCTGCTTCCCTCCTAGATTTTGTAACTTGACTGTAGTGATTTGTGTGTCCACTGGAACTCCTAGTTCTTGTTACAAGTGACGGTATAGTAGCATGAATATTCCTCTTTACAGTGTTCATGATTTTACCAAGGCTGGGAAACCTTTGTTTCTTCAGATGTTTTGGACTTCAGCTTCCATAATTCCTCTACGATGGCCATGTTGTCTGAGGCTGCCTGTAAGCCAAAATATATGGGAGGCCAAAAGCCACAAATGCCATTTTATAGATTATACAAGCAGTGAAAGTGTAATTTGTTTTGGATTATTTGATTGTTAACAATCCCAATGCTATTTGCCATTTGGGCACTATATAAATCCAATAAATACTTAGCTTCCCTTCAGCTTTATATTACTATTTATTTCATTAGTATTTTATATGAGAACGAGAAAGATTTCCAGGGAAGGAAGGAGAAAGAGAAGAGGCAGTCATCAAGAGTAGTTAAAAGATAGGCTTGTACTGGTGTATGTTTGTATGTGCCTAAATGGATTGAAAGTGAGTCCCCTTGGTGCAGTTTGGGATTAAAGAAGAATTCTAGTTCAGCAAAACTTTGTTACTAATCTGCAAAACAGATCTGAAATCAAAAGATTAGCACTCATGCAAAACATATAAATTTATTTCTTTCCAGAGCAGTGCATTTCCAATAGCTCTTGTTCTTACATCTTTATGCCTTCTGTGAGTCTCCTAGTGAAACTCTGAAAAAATCTGAAGAAGTTTTAAATAATCTGAGACAAGAACAGTAGTGACTGTGATAAGCAAAATACATTGAAATTCTCCCACTATTTTTCTTTCCATTCCTACTTTCTTTTACAGAGGTGCTATCTGGAGTGACAAATTTTCGAGTGTTAGAAGCAGGACCATCCTTCCTTCGACTCTCTTGGGCAGGTGATCTGGGCGCCATACAGGGCTACAGGCTCACATATGCAGCAAGAGGTTAGTGAAGAGATAGGAACGCTGAGTTTAGAAAATGCTGGGCATGGAAGAGGACCCAGGTCTCATGCCCCTAGCTTCCTGAAATAACTGGATCCCGTTATCAAGCAAGCAAGCAAGCAATCTTTCAAGATTCCCATGCCATTTCCTATGCTGTGCCTGTTTTGAATTGGCACCTGGAGCTGCCCCTCCCCAGCCTGCAGTCATCCCAGTGCTTATTGCCCTGGCAGCTCTCCCAGAGCCTCACCCTCTGCCTGGCCGCACCTGCTGCCATAGCAAGAGAATGTGGGCCCCTGGGCACCAAAAGGGTGCTGAGCTCAGCAGAACCAACCACCACTCTCTGATGCTTTCTTCTGCCTGACTGTAAAAAATTGCAGCACTAGTCACAGCATAGCATATGCCCACCGTCATATTCAACATCCCATCCATTTTGTCTGCCTACCAATGTTAACCAGTTACCACCGTGCTCATTCTGAGAATAACTGAAATAGGCTATGTTTTCTGCTTGCAGTGATTTAGCTTCTTACTACGCAAAGGCCTTGGTCCCAGATATACCCAGTGCTGCATTTTCGGAAAAGATCTACATGGACAAATGGGAGAAATGCAGTAGCCTCCTCTACTTTCTTCTAAAAACACAAACATATACTGTCATTTACACATGCATATACTTGTAGGCAAGGGATTATGAGAATTGTTCATACCATTTGGAAGGTTCCCCGCCATTGCTCCAAGTGACTTTTGATCTTTGAATACCAACCATTCTTCTACAGAGCTAGATTATGTCTAAGTTGAGTGTTCATATATGCATTAATTGACTTCTGACTCCCCTGGGAAATTGTTGAAAAACCACATAGACGAGTGGTTCTCAACCTGTGGGTTCCCAGATGTTTTTGGCCTTCAACTCCCAGAAATCCTAATAGCTGGTAAACTGGCGGGGATTCCTGGGAGTTGTAGGCCAAAACACCTGGCGACCCATAGGTTGAGAACCACTGCTCTAACAGGTTCACTAAAAAAATAGTTTATGTTATATCATGAAGTTTGGACATGCACCATGTGAGGTGTCAAAGACTCTGAAATAAAAGATTAAGCTATTAAAATAAATATTATCTGGTAGCAGAAAACAAATCAATTCAACACAAGAAGGTCCTGAAATATTTATTGAAAGCTACATTGTTTTAGTCCTGAAGTCTGAAGTCTGCATTTTTATCCTGACTTCCTATACTTGGCTAACAGACTAGACTTTTCAGTTAATCTTTTAAATTGTACACTCTGACAAACATGCTTCATATTTACTTTTAGTTTGCACACTATAGAGTAGCTTTTCCCTACCTGGTTCCCTCCAGGTGTATTCAACTATATATTGTTTTCGGGGGGAGGGGGAGGATTTGATAGGAATGGGGTTGATCAGAGTTCTCTTCAAATCCAACTAGAGATCAATAATTCCCTGCAGTTGAAATCACTTGTCTCCTGTACTGAATTCAAAATGTTGTGTGTTCCACTCAGAATGTTATGGTGACTTTCCTATAAGGCAGAAAAGTTTACTGTTCTGGATTGCAGCTTTCATAATTCTTCAGCCAGCATGAGTTCTGACTAAGTAGCAGAATCCTTTATCTGGGGTATCCTGGGAGTTGTAATCCAAAACAAGAGGGTGAGGATCTTGTTCCCCAGAAGCATTTCTCTTCCTGTTTTAGAGGTTCTAACTTTTAGGCTTTCTCCTGTTTTTGACCACTCTGTATTCATTAGATGCAAATCTGAAAACTTCAGAAATTCCTATGATGTTGCAGGATAAGAGGCATCTTTTATAACCATCAGTTTTATTCATATAACAGGGGTTGGGGAGACTTATATAACCATCATAGTTCTGTTAAGTGTGTCTCTGAAAACATTTTTTAAAATTTCTCTTTCAAGGTGAAGCTCAAGCAGAAGAGGTGAATCTTGGGGCAAGAGTTACATCATTCTTGCTCAGCAACCTTCGCCCGAACACTGACTATGTGATCACTCTCTATCCCATCTCCCCACGTCAGACGGTAGCACCTGCTGTAGTGAGTGGCCGAACATGTAAGTCTCATTTGAGCTAAGACAGTCAGAACCTGGAGATTTAGAAAGTTTAATATTAATATTACTATCTAATATTAGTAATGGTAGTTCTAAATGAATAGCTTGTGACCACTTTGCAAAAAGCCAGCCACTCTTTTTTCAGCTTTGAGGACCCTCTTCAAATGATGAAGAGTTAACTCAAGTGGCTTAACACATGCATCATGGGTGGGCCTGTCTAATAGTGCATAGTAAATTGTATGCAGTGTAAAATTAAGCAAAAGTGAAGTACAGTTGGAGGAACTGGCATCCAGTTTCATTTGAACACTGATACAGAGTCATGGCTGTAAACAGGTGAAATTATCTGACATCCAAGGCTTTGTGCAGCCCATAATGGAGCTTCCACTGGCAGTAAGAGGCTGATCCTTTGTGATGTTGCAGTTGAGTAACATAGTTGTGTGTGAGGCAGACACAGCTTCTCAGATAGTGTCGTAACTTTGCTTAAAAGGTAACATATGAAGGAAGATCTTTGAATAATCATGGAATGTAAATAAACGAATGTCCTAGATCATTTCTTACAGTTTGATGTAAACAGAAACAGACAATAGGTTGCCAGATAGTACTCTATTTTGCACTTCACCCACTTCTCTGGTACACTGTTTGCACTATCCCTTGCTCTGCTCTTTTATAGCTTGGTCATGCCTATTTTAGTAATCCTGATCATTGGTTTTTGGTGAATCTTGTCTAATGGAGCTTCAGTGCAATCTGTTTTTTTACTTTTATGTTTAGTGTGTTTTTACCTTGGTTGTATTTTATAATGCTGCTATTTTAATGTTTTTTGTTTTATGGATTGTTTTTTTTCCTCTTATGTTTTGTGGACTTTCTGCCCCATATGTAAGCCTCCTCGAGTTCCTTCGGGGAGATGGTAGCAGGGTATAAGAATAAACTTATTATTATTATTATTATTATTATTATTATTATTATTATTATTATTAGTTGCCTTTCTAATGTAAGGGAATGGCAGTCAGTATATGCTTTCTGCCATTAACTTTTATCCTGTGGGAAATCACAAAGAGAGGCTTGTACATTATTCGTTCTTTCTCTCACTCATCTCTGGTTTGAGAGAGAGCACCCTTCGCTTTGGCTTAATCCAGGAAAGCCTAGGTTCTGAACCACGTATTTCCTACCATGCTTTTCTTTCCTCCAAACTCCTCCAACAACCCTTTTATTGGTTTCCAGAAACAAAGATTTGCCATTTAGATAAGCTGCTGGGACACTCCTGTTCTTTTGAACATGGAAAAAACCCTTATTTTTCAAAAAAACAGAAATTGCTTTTATCCAAATCCAAGTTGTTGGGGTTTGCTGGCATTATTGCCAGTGTGCGTGGCCCTAGAAGGTTACAGGAGCTAAAATTGGCCCCCAGGATGAATTGAAGTTGCCTATATCGGCTTAATATAGTATGATTGCTATGAGTCTCGGTTCAATGCAGTTTTACTTGGCAGTAAGTCATCTTGAGTTCAGTGAGATTTACTTCCAAGTCAGAGTCCACTAGACAGTTTCAGCAAAGGGAACTAATAGCTTATTTGAAGCAAAAGTGAGGGTGCTGGGTTTGTTTTCTTTTCCAGTTACTATGAACATTTATAGGATATGTGATCTTTGACTCTTATCATCATACTTTTCTATTTTAAAAGTATTTAATGGGCCTGTTTTGCAACAAATAAAGAGTACAAAAATATCAAATGAACAAATAGAGGATTAAAAATCTTACTAAAATTAGAGATGACATACCTTAGTTTGTTTAGACTGGCAAATAGCAAGAAATTTAAGTAAATCCATGTTTAACTGGTATTTGGATAAAAGCAGATACATTTCCAATGAAGAAAATGAAAAGGAGCTACTGAATGAAGATAAAATGAATATTTTGATTTTTCTTTTCCTTACAGCAATGATGTTTAACCTTTGCCGTTCTAGTTTTTCTCAGAAGCCCCATTTAGTATAATCAATGCTCTGGGATTATGGGCATGGAAGTGGTAAATATTAGAAAGCACTGCTTTAAAGAACAGGTGGGAATTGTGTGACCAGCCACCTACATATGCACTTCCTGAGCTGCACGCAGCCTTCCAAGGTTGAAGGTTCCCACTGCCCATGTCTCCTCAAAACTTTCATTCAAGGAATAGTTGGAGCCTTAGAATCCTGCAGAAGACACTATTTCCCTTCCATCTGTATTCAACTAAAAATATATTTGTTTTTCAAAAGTGATCTATGGAGAGTGAAAATTGGACAGGTTTGGGACCCTTGATAGCCACCCATCCCTGTCTTAGAGGATCAGATCTGATATCTTATGTCCCCTCTCCATTATTGTTTCCTTCAGACTGGTGTTCTGGGATACCAGGACATCCATGTGTAGAGGAGATTAGAACATAGTGTTCTGATACATGAAACCAGGCTGCATTTAAGCTGGGGAGATAAGATCTTAGGGAAGTTCATTCAGGTCATCTTTGAAAACACAGGCAGTTTGTGTTCATTCACTCTGTTATTCAGTTGTGTTGAAGTATCTTCTTTTTCAGGTTCCTCAATCAGTGTCAGATGTATTATTAGGCTAAAGTTAAGGAACATGCTTAGCGCCTTTTCTTTATACAGCCTCTGGAAACCTAGAATTTGTATTGAATTTGTAGACTGTTTCACATCTCTTCTGCACAACCTCCATTTTTAAGATTGTTCTTGATCTTTATCTTTAGAACAAATATTTCAATTTAAATAAGGGACCATGCAGTTGACACCAGTTACCTACAAGTTTTAATTCTTAATGTTCCACTGTATCTATATTGTTGGATTATCAAAAAATGGCACATTACATGGATGTAGATGATTGTCTTAAATATCATTTGTTTTGACTTTCACCTTTGTTTCCTCAGTGGGTCTGACAGGGGTACAACAACTGTCTGCCCAGAACATCTCCTCCCAGGGCATGCTGGTGACCTGGCGGGGTGTGAGTGGAGCAACAGGATACCGTATTACCTGGGGACTCCTCTCAGGTAAGTGTGTTTACTGATCAGTTTTCTTCCATGGATCTAGCATCAAGATGGTAGAGTAAGTGTAGCCACTTTGGTTAACATGATCTTTTAGATCACTTGACTGGCCCATAGCAGCGTCTAGATACACTTCTTATATGACCAATGCCCTTGTATTTTCAGAATAGTGAATAGAATTTTTAGTTCCTAATTTGTGCACATTGCAGATGCTTTGTGAGGTATCTGAGCTTTGGTCATCTTAAAAGAGGAAGACAAATCTTTAATTGAGCATGTATGTTTGAAGGTTTTCCTTAATGCAATTATAAGAAGAGGGGTGTAAAAGATGAGGTATGAACTCACCCTTAGCCATCCAGAACTAGATTCCAAATTATTGACCCAATCTAAATGACGTGACAGCAAATACATCACTTAGAACACAGGATAGACTTGCATAAAAATACACTTAGCATTCATCAAAAAGAATTAAAATGCTAAACTATTATATAAAGATCACGTACTATATAATAAATTAGGAGAAAAGAACTTGATAATCCTGTTATACTGTCTTAATTTCTAAAGGTAATATTACTGTCATATTTAAAGATCCCACTATTTATTGATTCAGCAAAGGATCAATGTGAGATGATCAGATTACTTAGATAGATTAAAATTAGATAGTGTCATGTGCTTAAATCTTTATTTGATTTGGTGGGAAGCTAGTCTGTTCAACTGAGATAATCCTGCAAAGTATTCAGTTTTTCAATAACCTGTCATAACTTTGCAAAGTTCCCTGTTCAAATAAGCTGTCAAAATTAACCCCTGCTTCTATTCAAATATAACATATTTTATATGTTAATACTATATATTTTAAAGGGGGTAATAAACAAGTGATTTATATCTGAAACAAAGGATTACTTTGCAGGCAAAAAAGATCACCACTGCTCTATAATTTCAGTGAACGAAGAATAATCCAGTCATGATTGTAGGATCTTACATCTCAACTGACAGTTCACTAGTTATTCATTCTGCACATTGACAGTAGATATTCCATGTTCTATGAGAGCCATTGTGATTTAGCTGACAGAGTATTGCCATAAAACCCATCAGACTTCCTCACTAAATGCATTCATTCATTCATTTCTATTTTGAACGTAATAGAAGCTGCATGCAGCTGGGAACCCTGTTTTAATTAATAATTTTATAAATTTTCTAGATATGATTATAAACATTTTTGTCCAGTTTTGAAGAATTTATTTTCCATTAAATGTTTATTTTCAGGAAAAAACTTTGTTTCAACACCCCAAAATTTCATAAAACGTAATTTTTCTGTGCATATAATGCAGTGGTTTGTGCTAATGTTTGTGTGTGTGTAGTAAGTTTATTTTATTCTCCAAAAAAACAAGTTTTTACGAATGAACTTTTCTCAAAGAGTCGCATAATAATAATAATAATAATAATAATAATAATAATAATAATAATGGATTATAGCATTTACATACACAACATTCAATGCCTTTATAATTACCGCATATACAATGAGATACACAAACACAAACAAAGGCAGAGGCTTCTCCTTTCATTTCCGGCTTCTGGAGGCAGTGCCCATCTCTGGCTCTGGGAGGTGTTTTTCTCCATTTTCAAGCTGAGGAGCCTATGTTGTTCCCTTCTGGTTATGTGGCTGGCAAATTTGTTTGGAGTGTCTCTTTGCCTTTTCCCGCCAAAGCGGTACCTATTTATCAATCCACATTTGCATATTTTCGAACTGCTAGTTTGGCAGGAACTGGAGCTTACCTTTGGGAGCTCACCCCGTTTTGTGGAGTCAAACTGCCAACCTTCAGATCAGCAGTTCAGCCAACCTTTAGGTCAGTAGTTCAGCAGCACAAGGGTTTAACCCACTGCACCACTGTGAAATAATGGGGGGGGGGGATCTTTCAGTGACTGGCCTTTTCTCAGGTTCTCAGAAATAATAAAATGTGTTAGTGCTTTTTGCATCATTAATGGCCACACATAGGCTTTTGTTCATTTTTAAATGATTATGAGTATAAATATTAATCAAGCCTCTCTGAAGAACAATTGAAGGGCAGGAAGGGGGGCACTGGATTGTGGGACTGGCTCTACCCTTATGGCTTTTGTTCTTATATTCTGTTCAGGTGTAATGTCTGACTAGGGATAGAGTCCTATATATCCTCTGTCGAACCTACCATAGTAAACAGCCTTGTGTTTTTTCTCTCTGAACGAGATGTATGTGGTGGACAGACTATTATAAAGCATCCATGGGCAGTCCCATCGTGAGCATGTATTTGTCCATAAAATATATCTTTGCTACCAGGTTTAAAATATTGTATGTTTTCTTAGGTCAGGATATTCAAACAGCTGACGTGGACCCTAGCAAAAATTCTTACTTATTGACTGGACTGCAGCCCAACACTGATTACCTGGTGACTGTTGCTCCACTCTACGGACAAGTAGAAGGGCCGAAAGCTTCCATTAGAAGGAGAACTGGTATGTTCCCAATGAAGTTGCTATTGTCATTAGAAGCAGCAGAATCAGAAGTGGTAGTAGTAATATTGGTAATACTTGTACAGTACAACTCATGTGCAGGAAATATGTTCCTGAACTAAGAGGAAACTGTGGATAGTAGTGAACCTTAGTGAAATTATTTACTTCTCCCAGAAGTTATCCTAAAGTAACCCTGGGGGGCCTAAAATATTTCTAGAGATAATATTATGTTGGATGTGAGAGTCTCACTGCTTTAATTGGGCAAAATGAGACTATCAATAAATTCAGCATTCTATTTGTAACCTGATTTGCAATGTGATAACTTAGTTAAACATTGAGATATAAAAATGAAATTTGAGATGTATTTTCAGGACACAGTTCTGTGTTTCATGGCCAAAGGCTAACACATTTTCCTAACACTGTATTCTCAAGTGGGAAATGAATGCAGAATAGAAAGCAATGGTAATGAGGGTGCAACAGTGCTTTCCATGATAGAATTGGCCACTGAGTGGCTATCTTTTACCCCATATATGTTCTTCTCCAACACTCAATTCTGATGTGTATTTATGAGTGGTTGTCAAAGGCTTTTCTAGGAATCACGATTTTTCTGATCCCTTGTCTTTATTTTGTGTAGAAATAGTCCAAACTTTAAGAACAGTCACTATTGACCCAACATCAATTCAGGTGGCCTGGAATATCATCCCTAATGCCCGCGGCTATCGGCTGGAGTGGAAAAAAGCAACAGGTAGGCTGGTTAACTTACTTAAAATGTGGTGCTGCAGATACTTAGACTCTTAGTCAAAGCCAAAATTATTAAACAGAGACGCTATATAGGGTGTTTGGAAAAGAAGAGCCAAATTTGAAATCCCTATATTTCTGCAACTGTGAGCCACCCAAGGATAAAACTCTTACCACTTGAAAGAATGGGGCATGGAGTTTCCAATGATTACCACAAGAGGCCTCTCCCAGTGCACAAACAACCCCTAGCCTCAGCCGACCACAACATAAGGCCTAATGAGATATTCTCAATTTGCAGGGTTGTTTTTTTTTTTAGATTTGCTTCTGACTCAGAATGATTAATAAAATGTATAAACATTTGTAACTTTTTGTGTAATTGTAACATGTTGCCATTGAGAAATATACCATTTTGAAATTGGGTCCATCATTTTGAAATACCTAGTACTTTGAACATATTAAAAGACGTGACTCCCTAGAAAACAAGGCAATAAGATAAATAGTAGACCATATTACTGGTGGATAGAGCTGAGCAGGGCTGTTGATCTCAAAGTAACTTGGAGGTTTCTGGGAGTCAAGAACTACAAAGGCTTTTCAGTTTTCTGCACTGAATGGAAGTAGACCTTAGAAACATTATCTTTTAAACCCATTAGAATTTATAAAGATGTGTCAAAGGTATGTGAAAAGTATTAAGAGCATGAAAGGATATTTTATCATATGTGATAGGCATGAGAAAAGCTAGAAAGATTTGCATCCAAATATATATAACTTAATACATAAAATTCTGGAGGTTAATATTCAGTTAAAACCTTGACTTTTTTCTCATTGAAATGATGGATGAACAATTGAGAAGGAAGTATAGAAGACGATGATAGTATATGATCTCAGCAGCAAGATGGATATACATGCCATGATGGAAGACTACCATAATACCCTCAGAAGATGACAACTGTTACAATTGAGGGAATTGGCTGAAATGGACAAACTATCAACTTTAACAAGAGAAAAATCATTACAATCATGTTTGAAGGACTAGGAATTCCTAATTGTCTTTTTTCAGATAAAAGAAAATGATTGGGTTTTTATGATGCACATCCCTCACTGTTTTCTTCCCCCTTGTTCTGAACTGCAGGTGTGGAGCCCCCCAAGACTGTGTCCCTTCCTACCAATGAGAACAGCTATACTCTGACAGGCCTGCAGCCAGGCACTGAATATTACATCACTCTCTATACCTTGTATGATGGCAAGGAAGTGGCCACTCCAGTTACCATCTCACAGACTGGTGAGTAAAAGATTTATGCCTAGTGCTATTCGCTGCAAGAAATGTGAAAATTTCTGTCACTGGGGAAAAAAAATGGAACAAAACAATTTCTAATTTTCCCTAAAGTTCCTGGAAATACTTAAAAAATAGATTTTGTGATATTTTCTTAATAAACCATTAAACATGAAGTGTTCATATATTTACTCCACAGTATTTCTAAAAGCTAGGTAGCAAGTAGACTTGTATAAGACTATTTACAGTAGATCATACCCTCACAATTCCTGGTTTTAGTTTCTTTTTCTCCATTCCTTTTTGTGTGAAAGGGTGATTTATGTCTGCTTGGCACTTTGGAGGATGAGAGAAACCAAAAATAATTTTCTTTGTTTTGCTAGCCTTTGTGGTTTTTTCTCTTTTTGTTGTTGTTTTTTTGACTGCTTCTCATAAACTGTCTTGGCACTTTGAAGGGCTAGAAGAGCCAAAATAATTTTCTTTGCAAGCATTGATTGCTTCTTCTGTTTTTCACCGTGTTTGTTTTTTGCCTACTTCTCAAAAGCAAAGAGGTATTATCTAGTACATATGAATCTTAAAGGTCAGGATGTTGTAGCTCCATTTGTAACAATAACATTTTAAAAAGTGAGTAAAATTTGTAAATATTTTCTGAATCAACAATACTTCTAATTTGTCAAATATGCGTCTTTTAATCCAAGAGAAACAATACACAATGTATTTTGGGTTCTAAAGTAACAAAATCATGTTCATCTGTAAAAGGAGTTAGTATTGCATTTGTTTTCAATTTTTGCAAAATTCTCACTTTTTTTCTGGTACAAAACAGGAAAGACAATCTGTTTTCTTCCCCATAGATTCAAACTTTCTAGAAATATTACATCACTACTTGCCAGAAGTTTAACCCTTATGTAAAGGGTGACCTTGTTTAGATAATGCATTTTTTTATAACTGGAGAGACTGAAGGATATAAGCTGAACAGATGCCAGGTTTAGAAAATTAGAACATAAATTAATTCTTTCCTTTTCTGAATCTTATGGCGTTTTGGTGAACTGGTTGTCTTTAAGGCAAATTCACATTCTTGGAAACAAGTTCATTTTCCAGCAGTAAATACCTCCTGAACATTTTGAGATGAGTTGCTCTTCCCTCCCTGACCAGTAGGAATGATACAGACCTTTAAGAAGGACCCTCTAGTGAGCGACTCCTGGTAAAACCAGTCTTCATTCCTGCCTCAAGTACCACCACAACCACAGAAACAACCATGGCCCCATCTACATACTGAACATTTAAAGCAGTTTTAAATCAGTATTGAAGAAGGTGGATTTACTGTGCAGATAATTACATAGAAAAATTTGGAACTAGTTTGAGGTCCAGATAGTGATATCACCAACCACAGAGTATTGATACACATTAAGGTCTTTCTTTCATGCTATTTTGTGGGAGTCTATTGTCTTGCTGCCACAGTTTGAAGCTAGCTTTGAACTGTGTCAAATGTTCAGTGTTGGTCAGTATAGATGGAAACTTATGCTCCCATTTTCTAAATTATTTCCTAACATCCTGCATCGATTTACATAGTCGTATTCCAGGTTAACATAATGTCTTTGTATTCATTGTCAGAAAGGCCAGAAATCAAATGTACATTTTTTTTCTCCTGCTTCCGTTTTTTGTTGTTCTTTTTCTCTTTCTCTCTCAATCTTAATATCTCTCTTTTTCTTTTTATATATTATTTCTTTTTATTGTAATATACTCTATTGGAATATATATAGACTTTGATATAGACCTAAAAACAAATACATTGTGTAAAGAAACCTTAGAATTAGCCTCCATCCTGACCACAAAAAATCAATTTCCTTTCACCCACACATAAAGAGATTTTGAGAGACACTTCCCTCATTGGCCCTCCAATTGTTCATCATTTGGGATCTCCATTATGTTACTTAAACCCACACAAAACCATCTTTTGAACCCTTACATATGATTTCCAGCAAGCTTTTTCCCTCATTGTAGCCATTATCTCAGGGATCAAGTGTCTGAATTAACTGTTTCATTGATGGCTCTTTTCTGCTGATGTGATATAGATCAGGTTTCTTTTTGTCTTTTTGTCTAGTTTTCTTTTTTGTCCAGCGTAACCTCACTATTTACAATTCACAACCAATCACTCTACCATCATATTGCCCATGTTCTGTTTATCCACTTTAAAAACAGTGGCACAAGCTAGACATTAAAAAGGTAGTAAAGAAATCCTTAGGGTTTTCTAAACCTCAAAATGTCACGACCAAATCGGCAGCCTCATCAGCATTAGAGGAAACCTGGAGATCTACAGCCTTGACTATTGCTAAGCACCAAAAAATAGATACCCCATATATACTCAAATATAAGCTGACCCGAATATAAGCCGAGGCACCTGATTTTACCACAACAAACTGGGGAAACTTATTGATTTGAGTATAAGCCTAGGGTGGGAAATGCAGCAGGTATTGGTAAATTTCAAAATAAAAATAGATACCAATAAAATTACATTAATTGAGCAATGGAGCTTCTCCTCTCCTCTTGGTTGCTGTGCCAAGAGGAGAGGCTACACACCTTCCACTCCTTCTCGAGAATAAGCTGAGGGGGGCTTTTTCAGCATAAATAATGTGCTGAAAAGCTAGGCTTATACTCGAGTATATACAGTAAATGTGTTTCGGCAAGAATCCCCTTTGACCACAGTATTCTACAATAGGTCCTTACAACATAATGTTTTCACTTACCTCCTGTAGGCCAAAACACCTAGGGACCCACAGGTTGAGAACCACTGTGCTAGAGTAAGGCTCCTTCTCTTCAGCTAGAATGGACTGTCCTGTTTAAATCCTCCAATATGCCAGTTTCTGGGTGTTTCCCCCCTTCCCCTGCCATGCTTTCCATCAATTAAACCAGTATACTCAAAGTGGTGTCCATGGGTAAGTGCCAGTCTCTGAACCATCAGTAGCTTAGTCCTGAGATATTTTCCAGGAAAGAACGTTGTAGCCAATGGACACAAATATGATACTAGTCTCTGGCTTATGGTGATGGGGAGGCAGGGAGATAGCTTAAGAAGCACGTCCTTACTTTTGCAACCCTTTCCCTGAACTATAGCTGGTTCTGTTACTTTTCATTCCCAAAACTGGCACCTTTGCTCCCCTTATTGGGCTCACTTTGTGCTGCCATTTGTTTTCCAGAGGTGGCCACTGTGGGCAGTGTCTCTGACTTAAGGATCCTTGAGACCTCAGGAAACAGAGTCCAGTTGGCATGGACGGGTGTTCAAGGAGCCACAGGGTATAAGATTGTGCTACGCAATACCCAGGGTGAGTATCTGAAGGTGAGAAAGCAAGTGTTTGGGGCTAACTTAAGTATGTGGGCCAGTTGAAATCCAGAGACATTCACAGTTATTAGTGTCTAAGACAGGCATGAGCAAACTTTGACCCTCCAGGTGTTTTGGACTTCAACTCCCACAATTCCTAACAGCTGGTCTAAGAGAGGAGAAAATAAAGCCTTTTTCATTGACAATAAATAGCATTGCCCTACCCAGATGTAATTCTTCAGTTGGTTCTAGAAATTCTGTCATGTTTCTAGGCTGGCTCTACTCCACAGATACACAATATAAGAGCTAGGAGCCTTCCCTTTTAAAAAGAGAGAGAATCTTGATTATATACTCTCAAAGTAAAACTAATAATAATAATATAAATTTGTTATCCACCTCTCCTCACAGCTCGAGGCAGGGTACAACACAGTCAAAACACATCAACATACATAGCTATAGCAAAGGTTCTCTGGGTGGTGGTTGCCAGTCACTTTTGGGCTGGTTGGAGTAAATGCCTCCCAGAGGACCTTAGTGTCCTAAGGGGCAGATTATATGGAAGAAGGCAATCCATTGGGTAATAATCTATTTACAACTTTGGGCATGCACATATGATTCCTAGGATTTCTGTTACAGATGGCACGGAGAAGGTTCGACGTATCCCAGGCTCCCAGACAACTGAGGACCTATTTGATCTGAGAGAAGATGTCTCCTATGTGGTGCGTGTGTCAGCTCTTATTGGAAGTCGTGAGGGCAGTGCTGTTCCTCTCACCATCCGAATCCGTAAGTGTCAACTGGCCAGGTTAATCTGTACTAGCACTATTTATTTATTTATTTATTTATTTATTTACAGTATTTATATTCCGCCCTTCTCACCCCACAGGGGACTCAGGGTGGATTACAATGTACATATACATGGCAAACATTCAATGGCATAGACACAACATATATAGACAGACACACAGAGGCTATTTAACATTCCAGCTTTTGATGAAGGTATTCTGGTCACCAGGGGAGCTGTTGCTTCACCGTCCATTTGTGACACTGATGAAGTACTTCCTCATTCTTTGCATGCTTGCTGGAGATTTTTATGGTGTTGTAAATTAATTAAATTAGCCTCCCCGCATACGTGGTACCTAAATTTCCTACTTGACAGATGTAACTGTCTTTCGGGCTGCAAAGGTCAACAGCAAGCTATACAACTTGGTCAGAAGCTCACTCCGACCCGGGCTGGCTTCGAACTCATGACCTTTCAGTCAATAGTGTTCTTAATGCAGCTGACTCCCAGCCAGCTGCGCCACATTCCAGGTGCCATTTATTTATGCATTAATGTTGCATTCATATTCCTATACATCTTTTTATGCTTAATATTATTTTAAATAGGTAGAGCTGAGATAAAGTCAATAAACTGAGCAAATGAGTTTGTTGTTTGGCAATTCAATCAAGCTGTATAAAAAAAGAAGAAAATTTACTTCTGACCATAGCTTCTTTTTGTTTGTTTTGTTTGGAGGATGTTGGGAATTATGGTCTCAAGGGTATTTCTTCTCAGGCTCCAATTCTGGCTCATAATAATTTCACATGTGGAGTAGGGTTGAAGAAAGTGGAATTCCTTTTATCAGGACATTATTCATTAGGTTTCCAATGTCTTCTTTTTGCAATCCCTGACCAGCTCCTCTGCTGGAGCAAAGCAAATGATTGCTTAACCAGTTTGGTAGAATGTATCTACAATTTCCCAGTTTGGACAAAATGGAAAATTATGGTTTAACAGACTTGGCACTTGTAGGCTTATAGCATGACAGGAAGCGTTAACAGCAAAAGGATGTTTTTATTCTAGTTTATTAGACACAGACATTGGTGAGTCAGCTTGAATAATTCCATGTGAGGCTTTTCCTTTTGGATAGCTTCTTAATTATTATTAATTAATTATCACATTTACCTATCTAAATTATATTGTGGTTCCTTCAGCTGGGGCTTCCTTGCTGACTTTTGCCCCTGTTCTCAACTGCATTTTCTTATTGTGTTTTAATATTATTTTTCTCATTTTAAACATTTAATCTTCATGGGCTTTTAATGAACGGAGGAAAGAAATTTTAAATTAGTATCAACCAATCTAAATGAATGGAAATGAAGAAAAATCTTATATTAAGTAAATCCTTTGACACTAAATTAATAGAGTGTACTGTTCAATGGTGGTTTGTTTCCTTTAAGCTTTAGTGTGATGCTGCTAAGAAGTATTTCTGTAAATTCTGGCAGCAGCACTCAGAAGACACTCATCCAAGATGAAACTTGACTTCTTTCCTCTGTTCACAAGTATTCAGAGCTTTCTTGCAATCTTGCCAGGCTTTTGCTGTAATGATGGAGCTTTCCTTCCTTCTTTTTGGCAGGCCCATCCATCATAGGCAGTGTGTCTAACTTGCGCATGGTGCCAGGGGGACCAGGTCGTGTCCGACTGCTGTGGACCCCCATTCCCAGGGCCACTGGTTACAGACTAGTGATTGTCAACACTCAGGGTAAGGATTCATGTTTGTGCATGTGGGTTTGTGGGTTTCAGAAATAAAATAATAGATTATTTAGCAAAATACTATAATTTACTTAAACTAATTGTTGGACTTTTAAATGAGTGTTATTTCTGAAATTGCATTTAAACAGTTTAAAACTATGCAGTGCAGAATAAGATATGATTTTATGTATATAGTGACTACACTGTCCGTAAGATCAATATAGCAAACTGGGAAGATTTGCAATCGTTTTGTCTGCAATGCACACCAAAAGGAAAAATGTTGTAGTATGTTGAACACCAGGGGGAGAATATTTCACATCCCAAGTTCCACTTATATTAAATGCCCAGTTCTGAATGACTTTAAGGTGGACCTCCAGAACATGTGACACCGCTCAGCTACTGAGATCCTATGTTGTTTTATGAAATTAACCCCTAAACCTGTCCCAGTTACAAATAGTCAGCCAGTACAATTCCTTTACAGATGTGTGATGAAATGTTGGTAAGTCACCCCACTTGGGAGGTGAGATGAAACATTCAACACCTACTGACACTTGTAAACCAGCCTTATGTGCAGCATCAGCTAGAGAATAAAGCTATAGTCCCACCTGGAGATTAGCAATATCTGAATTACTATGATCCTGTCTACATATAATTAAACTGTATTATATAAATCTATATTGACCACATAATACAATTTCAAACTGCATTATATGGCAGTGTAGATGGGGCCTCTAACAGAGCTGTTTCATTTGTAACCTTTGACATTTATGAACATGAATGAAAACAGACAAGTCTTGTGGAGAAAAGAACTGAGAATGAACAGGGATGTTCTAATGTTTTGAAAACCATACCAGTATAAAAGAATCCAGATGTATGAGGTGTAGAAGTTTTTTACATCTAATCTGAAGAGACATGGATATTGTATACAGATTGAGTAAAGTGACAGAGATTTATTCTGTTTCCTTTGCACACTTCTCCAGATGGCTCTGAGACGATCAGACAAATCTCTGGTGACCAAAATTCTTTGGAACTGCAAGATCTGAAGGATGGTATTGTTTACTTGATACGAATGACAACACTATCGGGCAGCCAAGAGAGCACCCCTGCCACCATCCGTTTCCAAGTGGGTATGTTCTTTTTGGAGGGCCTAGGCCACTCGTTCCTTCCTGATCTTTCTTGGCTAGGCCACAAACATTTCTATCCTTACAATTTTTGTTCAGTGTTACCATTCTGTTTAATGCTCTGCAGGAATTTTTGACATGTGGAAAGCATTGAGATGGGGGAGGCAAATAAACTCAGCTGGGGACTTTAGACAGGACAATATATCTCAATTTCAGGACTCCATCTAGTGTGCAAGCAATCCTTACCTTAGAGATTCATTATCTAGAAATAATGTATATGAAAAACCCAGGTTACCAGAGGTAGTACATATAAATACATACAAGCGCTGCCCTGCTTGGTTCAATGCAGTACCAGTGCTTTATGATGGAACTGATTTCTGTGTTTTAAAACATTTTTATGATCTTCACTCCCAATATATATAGAGCCTCCATCTGTGGGCACCATCACTAGTGTGGAGGCAACTGCAGTGGGACCCAATCAATTGCGAGTGACATGGAATCCAGTTCCCGGAGCAACAGGCTATAAAGTGACATGGCGAACAAGAGATGGTAAGACTTTAGTTTGCCACAAAAATAATGTATTTTGACTCTAAAATTTAACAAAACTTTAGCCTGGAATTTTATTTTGTTGAAAAACTAGTGAGTGACACAGCTCTGACCTCATGAAGTGTGTGTGTGTGCGTGAATATGTGTGTGTGCATGCAATACATACTGTAATCAATGACCTGATTATAGTATGTGACAACCACTGGAACACTATAGATGAAAAAATATTTTGTAAAATTGTTGCGATAGTGGCCAGCAGGTCTTCTGGCCCTGAAAAGATTGGAATGTCAGTTGCAAAACAGCAACAATAGCAACAAAATATTAGCTGCGCGAGAAAGCCGCACCATTTTTTAGTTTCACAGTAACAGTTATCATTTGAATACCTGTAGCCTTAAGATGCCCTTTTTAATAGATTCTGTCTGAGAATTTCTTTAGAAGATGGCCAAAGCCTTGTAATTTGTGTGGCATCTGAAACCTGCCTTCTGACAGAGTGTACTAAGATGGTGTAAAGCAAGTTTGGGGCATCTTTAATCTTCTAGATGTTTTAGACTTAGTTGGCATGAATACCAGACTACCATGGCCAATGATATAGTATTACAGGAACTGCAGTCTGAAATATCTGGAGGACAGAAGCCTCTTCATGTAGATTATAGTTATAATTTGGAAAAGCCAAACTAGTTGATCATGACAAAGTGTCAATAATTCAAAATCTTGGGTCTGTAAGCAATCTTTTTCTTGTAATGCTTGTTAGACTCCCATTAATTACCCAATTCTTTATTTACATGTAGGAGCAGATTAGTGGAGAGAGCCCACCTGTATGTATTAATTTGAATTACAGAATCATAGAAAAAGTGCTGGATATTCCATTTTTATATATTCCTCTGCCCTGGTACCTTCCAGATATGATGAAATACAACCTGTATCATTTCCCATCTGTGAGGTGGAGGTGTGTAGTTCAGTAGATTCACAGCACAATGGGTTGGAGAGGCTGTTCTAGAAGCACAGTCCCCCTCCCTCTTAGAGAAGAACAGCTCACTTTTAGCTTGAAATCGATGTATATCGTTTGCATTCAACTTCTTTCTCTCATCGATTGTGCAAGAGGTTTTTTGAAATATTCTGTTTTCTTTAAGTGTAATTGAGATCCCTCCTTTTTCATAATCTACTAGCTGTCCCTGTCACATGTTGCTGTGGCTCAGTCTGTGTATATGTGTTTTATGTGTGTATGCATGTGTATATGTGTATATATGTGGTTTTGCACATATGTTGTAATGTATTTTTTTTATTTTTTGGCTTTTTAAGTCTCTTCCACTGTGTTTTTCAATGTTTTTGTAAGTGATGGTAACTTGTTGGCCTGATAGGTGTATTGTGGCCAAATTTGGTGTCAATTCATCCAGTGGTTTTTGAGTTATGTTAATCCCACAAACGAACATTACATTTTTATTTATATAGATTTGTATCCTTTTCCAAGCAGTTAGTAACTAGGCAAAATCCATTCTTTGCTTCCTACTCATAAAGCTCCAGTCAAAGCAATTAAGATTATATGTAGTTTAGTTTATCTTTTAGAGAAGCATGACCTTTTAGAGATCATAAACTTTTAGAGAATAGCCAAAAACCCATTTGAGTAGAATCTTCTCAAGTGATATAAAACCAAATGTAAGTATGCAAGGCAATTGGCTTGTGCTCTTAGACTGAATGGCCTGTTGTCTGTTAGAAAACAGAGAGTATGCCACTGCATAAAAATAGCAGTTATTCAGAAGTGTTTTTCAGTGCCCAAAAATATATATCTACTCTCCCATAAAACAACTTGTTTTATATTATGCACTTAAGAGACAAAATAAAGTAGACTTTAGTAAAAAAATAACATATTTGGTTTACTCACAATCTGCATGTGTTCAGTTCATTCACAATTTGTCAGTCAGTTACAGATATGTTTGAGATAGTTTCTGTGCCATCCAGTTAGAACATCTCTCTTACAATAAACAACAAGCATTTGCAAGCCTACAACCAGAGTAGCCCCAAAGTCTGTGCTTTATGCTCATCTCAGAGAGGATCATGTGGTCTGCAGCCCCTCCTGCAACTTCTCAGGAAAACATAGAGCAAGGAAATAAAGCTGCATATCAAAACGTATATACAATAAGTAAGCAACAGGATTATGGATAAACAAATTACAAGAGTAGGCTTGAAGAAGGTTGTAATTTCCAACATTATTTCTCTAGATGAAATCTGGATAAATACTAATTATAAAATGTGGAGTAATTTCAGACAGTATGGCTTGGTTGAATATTGTATCAGCAAGGATCTTGTTCTGTCAAGAGTCATTGTATTAAAATCTCTGAGATGGTTTTTGTCAGCTAGCAGGATAACAGCTTTAGTATTTCAAACACACATTTCAATGCCCTTGAATTAGAAAAGTGAAATGCAAGATCTGAAAGCTGACATTCATGATATCTGAAGGATAACCTCCAAGTCATCCTGACTACATCCTATAACCCAATGAGAGATCTTTCTCTGTGTCCTGATGTGGGCCATTGGGTGGAGGAGAGGAGATACCAATGCACCACATGTTTTTCTTCCTACTCATTCATCTCCCCATTTCTTTTTCTGAAAGTTTTCTTATTCACAATCATCGACATAATGCACTATATCATGTGCTTCCAGTCTCCTGTGTTACAGTTTGTGTTTCCCAAATGTAACTAATGAAATCTATGGAGCAGTAAACTAATTACTGGTCAAACACCCACATTTTGTGGTAATTTGACTCATAATGTATTGTTGAGTCTGTGAGCAATATGATTCATCTGTTCCCCAACAGAGAAAACGTTATGGTCTGGAAAAAAGTAGTTGTACTTCCATTCCCTGGGGACATGGCATGCACCATACTCCTCCCCTAAATGCTCATCCATTTTTTATTCACATGTCTTCTCCCTTCACTATTGTTCTGGTTTGCCATTTGCATTTTTGGGACAAAAAATGTCTTCTCCCCATTTCCCCAACCCAGAGCTTTTCAAACTGTGTGTTGGCTATAGTATGTAGGTGCAACACAAAAATAACAATAAATCTATCTGAAATAAGCAATAGATGATTTATTTATTTTTAAATGAAGGAAAGGTTTTCATGAGACAGTTACGTATTTATGTATGTATCTGTATCTCTTATATGGTTTAACCTCTGGCTTGCTAATAAAACTGAATTACGGTTTCGCAAAATAATGTATGTCTAAAATGTGTGTCACTAACATGAAATTTTTGAAAAGCTCTGCCCCAGGCAGACCCAGTCTTGTAAAATATTTTTTTGCTCTTGTAAAAGTCTGTGTCTTAGAATAATACAATCATTTATATGGCATAGAGTTAACTTGTAGTATGTGTGGAGGCAATTACTTGATTGGAGATACAGCTTATGGGCTCTCACTTGATGTGTGAAGCAAAAAGAGCTATACAAAGCTGTTCTCTGGTGGCTCTAAGCTGTAAAATGTTTTGCTGTCATTGCTCTTTTTGTTTTCATCCCTGCTTTTGAAATGTACTGTTTCCCATTTGCTGTACTCAATCCCACCCCCTCCACCCTCAGGTCAAGAGATCTTTCGAGTCCGCCCTGCTGATGCAAACTCCTACACTATTGAGGGCCTGATGCCTGGGATGGTGTATATTGTTGGGGTCTCAGCCTTGGTTGGCAGCAGAGAAGGAAATCCAGTCACCACCACAGCTGCAACAGGTGAGACCAGATCTAATTACTAGGCACTGCTTCTCTCCACTATAAAACCACCGTGACAGCAACATTCTTAATTGTCTTTTTATTCCCTTTACATTGCAGCTCCTTCTCAAGTTGGCATGGTCACCAGCCTTAGAGTCCTTGAGTCCCAAAACAACGTGGTACGAGTCACGTGGGTCGGTGTGCCTGGAGTTACAGCATACAGAGTGGTTTGGAGCCGGCGTGATGGTAAAGTTGTGGCCTCATTTTACTAGATGGCTGTCTTTCTATGAACATTGAATTATGTTGCTGGAAAACCCCTGTGATTGCTGTAGAACATGCTCTTTGCAAATCCCCCAGAAATGTACAGAATATGCTAAGAGGATGACTTTGTGTAACTAGTAAAACTATCAAAATCCCAGGGTACGATTGACGCATACTTTTAAGTTTCAGCAATCTGCAGTTTCTGAAGTAAGACTTTTGACAGATGCCTAGTGAGGATGCAGTTTGTTAAGGTTGAGGTTTTTGCAGGGTCTTAAGCCCTAGCAAAGAAGAATAGATGCAGGATAGTTCTGGTGAGGATGTTGATTAGACCTAATAGTTAATACTAAAAAGGATTATTTTAGAGATGGAATCATATGACCTCTTTTTTTGTCTTCCGCTTCCACCTCCAAGAGGAGAAATTTAGACTCATAGTTGGAAGGGATTGCAAGGGCCATCTATTCCAACTCCACACGGTACAGAAGAAGACAAGTAAAGTACTCCTGACAGAGGGCCATTCTACCTTGGTTTAAAGACCTCTGAGGGCATATCCAAACAACTCACAAAATGCATGAGCTCCTATGTTTTTACCTGAGGTGTCCAAATGATGCCTCAGGTAAGAACAAATTAATTTGACACAACTGCTTTGTGTCAAACTAATTTGATACCTGGAAAGACCTGTGTCTTTCAGAGATGAACATGAACACATTTTCTCTGTACCTAGGGGTATGTCTTTTTCCTGTTTTGGGTTTTTTTTTAACTTTTAAGGTAACAATCTCTTCCTTTGAAGGTGGACCTGAAAACAGCCAGATGGTCTCAGGAAACACAAATTCTTTTGACCTTGTGAACCTAGAAGGAGGAGTTAGTTACACAGTGAAGGTCACAGCATTGATTGGCAACCGTGAAGGGGATCCTGTCTCCATCATTGTCACGACACGTAAGATTAATATATTTGTGTCTGTCATGTGTCACATCTATATTCCACTGCTTTTTCAAGGAGTCCTGGGTGGTTTTTCAACCTCAATACAAGTCTATGAGCCTGTGGAGAAATTATAAATATTTTTTCTGTGGCCTACAATTTTCAAATGAAGGCTAAGGGTTGAGTGTTGTCATTATAAAAAAACAGTGTTTTTTGCGGTTTGATTGCCTGAAAGGTGATGGTTTTTCCAAGGCCACCAGTCAGTGTCATAGGCAAGTGAACTGAGCTTTGAACTTATACTTCTTAGCCCAATGCTTTGGGGAACATGCCTGTCTCTTTTTTTGAAGCATTTGGTTTCTTGAATTGGGAAGTTGGCCACCAAGTGGTTATCACTGTGTGATAGAAATTGTGAAGATGGTGGTGTGAAATAGTTGCAATTTGCATCAATGAAAGGTTTACTGCCATAGATGAAATCTTCAAAGTATTAAGGGTAAAAGTATGGTCTTGACATGCTTTATGGGATGAATCAAGATGTCTCCTTAGTCACCCTCATTCAAATTCATGCCCCTCATCCAGGTTGATTCAGAGAAATAGTTTCTTCTGCAGTGCCTTCTCCTACTGAGCTATCATCAGAGATCCTGCACTCTTGTTCTTTGCTAATACTCCCACCTTTCCCTTTAGCAACAGTCCCAGTTCAGCCAGTTGGGAATCTACGTGTGACTGACTCCTCAGAAAGGCGTATCCGCGTAGTATGGAGCCCAGCACCTGGTAGCACAGGCTATCGGCTCACCTGGAGGCTAGCCGGTGGTGAGTATCTCTGACATCTCTTCCTCGTCTTTCACTTCCATCAACTACACAGAAGATTAACTGTTTCTCCACGTGGTGCAGGTGGACCAGAGAGCAGCCAGCTGCTGCCAGCCAACATCAACACCTATGACATTGAAGACTTGCAGCCGGGAGGGCGATACGAAATCCGCATCACCAGCTTGACAGGAAACAGGGAGAGTGAAGCTGTGGCTATTGTTGCCAACACAGGTATTTTAGTCATAGCTTCTTATCTATGGTTTCCCCAAACATAACACTCCATGAGATTGAAGTCCCTTGAATGTCAGCTGTTCATGCAGAGAATGTTTTATAAAGCCTGTCAGAAACCAGCACTCTTATTGCTTCTCCTGGTATGATCCAATGGACCATTAAGTTTACTGTATCCTGTTGCTATTTGAATGTTAAGAGCCAGTTCAAACATATATATTCTGCTTACATGCTTATATATCCTTTTTGTGCTTTTTCAAATGCACACATCTCTACACACACACACACACACACCAGATATGGTGGTTTTCTCTTCAGCTTCCCCTAATATACACATTTGTGTGCATGTTTTGTATGGTGAACAATAAGAAAAGTGAATTTTGATTTTGGAATACAAATTAGTTAAGTTTGATCAAGATGTTTTACATAAAAATATTTATCAGCGATGCTTGAATTTGCCTCAGACTAAGGTCTGCTTGGAGCAAAGATGCCACCTACTGGTAAGACCATCAAACCGCATTTCCTAGGACCTGAAAGCCTTAGTGTTTTGTTGGTGTTCTTGTACCCGGTTGTATACTTAACCACCAGAGAGATAAATTAGAATAATAGTAATTTAACCTACCATGTGGTAGTAACATTATCTTCCTATGATGTTATCACATATATTCCTATGACACAAACCCCTTCAATTTTTCCCCATATGCTGTATTTCAGCTCCATTTTAAAATAATTTTATATCTATATTTACAGAACAACAGCAACAGATACACAATTGGCCACTTGTGCTTTATTGCAGTCATATATCACAACTTGAGCTCTATATTCAGTAAAGGCAACCCAGACATATGTACAAGAAGTAAGTATATCTAAACAATGCTGGGGATACATAGATCCCCAGCATTGTTTACATATACTTACTTATTGTACATATGTCTAGGTTGCCTTTACTGAATATAGAGCTCAAGTAGTGATATGTGACTGCAATAAAGCACAAGTGGCCAATTGTGTATCTGTTGCTGTTATTCTGCTCACAGTTGTATCTTTGTAATGAAAAATATATCTCACTTGTACTTCGATAACAGAGTCTTTATGACTTGTGCTAATTATTTAGCAACACTAAATTGGCTGGTGAATATTTTCCAGGAGAGGATGGATCCCACATACTGTAATGACTGGCAGTTGTCATGGTTGCTTCTTAAAGTGGAGGCAGAGGTTAGTCTTCAGTCTCAAGGAACAAAAGATCAGTCTCATCTTTACCTCTTTCTTCCCAGCTGCCACAGGACGTGTATCCAATTTCAGGGTGACAGACACCCAAAAGGACTCTGTGACCTTGTCTTGGACTCCAGTTCCTGGGGTCTCTGGCTATCTCCTCACATGGAAGTCTCTAAGAGGTAATGGATCTATAGCCAATGTAGAAGGACCAAGTTGGGATACTGAAGATTTGGGAAGTGTTGTGAATGTGCCATAGACCTTTGAGACCTAGATTTTGTGCAGATGAAGACAGGAGTGAGGAAATGCAGTCTTCACTTAACAAGGACAATCCCAATTTTTATTTATGTATCAATTTGTATGCTGCTTTTCTCCCAGAGTGGGAGCCAGGGCAGCTCCCAGAAAGAATATTTTTTTAAATCCTTCATGATAAAATTAAAAACTATTAAAATCACCTCATTTTGTTTGCCAGCATTGCAAACAAAATGAGGTGATTTTCAGCTCTCCATGTTGCTTAGGGCAGCAGAGATAGTTCTCCTCCCAGTCACCACCCCGGTATCCACACAATAACCCATTCAGTAGATTAGATTGGATGATCTTGACTAGGCCAAGGACACCCAGGGAGTTTTCCCATAGAAGAGTAAGCAATCATAGAATCATAGAATAATAGAGTTGGAAGCGACCTCATGAGTCATCTAGTCCAATCCTCTACTATGCAGGAAAAGCACAATCCAAGCACCCTTGACAGATGGCCATCCAGCCTCTGTTTAAAAGCTTCCAAGGAAGAAGCTTTCACCACACTCCGAGGCACAGAGTTCCACTGCTGAACAGCTCTTACAGTCAGGAAGTTCTTCCTAATGTTCAGATGGAATTTCCTTTCCTGTAATTCGAACCCATTGCTCTGAGTCCTAGTCCCCAGGGCAGCAGAAAACAAGCGTATTCCCTCTTCCTTGTGACATCCTTTCACACCATCAAAGGTCTAGTTTAGTTCTCTTCGCATTTAACCATGATATCTGTATGTGTTGCTCAGCAAGGATTATTCTTTGCTGTGCTGGTATGACCTGCTCCCCTGCTGCTTGACAAGAACAGTTGGGTGACGCTGCACCCTATATGGCATATATCTGGTCACCACACAGTTTGTGACTTCCCATAAGTTTGAGATGTAATGCAGAGTGGGCTTCAGTATCTGCATTGGATTTCTCATTCACACTAAAATTGCTTTTGTAAGCACCATTCATATTCCTCCTATGTTTCAGATGGAAGAGAGACACAAAGGACACTGCCAGGGACAGCAACATCCCACCAAGTATCTGGGCTGCGTCTGGGTGAGAGATACACCTTTACTATCCGCCCGCTGTTTGGGAGTGTTACAGGTGCTGAGGCTTCTATTACTGACCGCACAGGTGAGGTTTTGCTTGTGAGAAGGATATATGAGGTCTCTCTTCTTTTAGTGCCCAGGGTCTTTAAATATCATCTCCTATATGAGTTATCTTGGCCATGGGATGTGTAACACAGGTGGGCTGGAACTGCTTTTTTCCCTTTCCTGAACCATTGCCAAGGAGATCACACAGAGCTACCTTGTGTTCAGTTTTGCTCAGAATAATTTCCAAACCCTGGCTTTCCAAACTCTGAATCAGATCTATTTGGGCTTAACAGCGGAAGTAGACACACATACCAGTTGGGTTTTTCATCATTTATCTCTCTGTATTTGAAGATGGCTGGAGGGTATGTATTTTGTGTTATGTCACCTGCATTATGCAGGCTATTCCAATTCATTTTGGTTCTTTCTGCAGTTTGCCGAGATGGCCGCAGTGACATTGTTTTTCTTGTACATGCAACTCGAGACAATGCCTACAATGCAGAGGCTGTGCGAAGTTTCCTCTCCAACACTGTCTCTGCAATGGGCCAACTGGGCTCTGGGGGCAACAAGGTAACAAGTGGCCTTTGGGGTCTGCCCTCATTTGCAAGCGCTGTGTGCATGAGGGCAAAGAATACCAAAGATGCTCATTTTGGCAAGCCTTCATGGTGAAATTTCTCGGGTGTTATTCTTTGTAATATTCACAATACCTGTGTAAAACTTGGTTTTATTTGGCTTACGGTAGTGAGGTGAAAAATGTATGAGATGACAGGGGAAACTACTATGAAATTATTTCTATTTTGTGTTTCTCCTGTGTTGTTTTGCTTCATACGCTGACCTGATTGTGCCATGTGCCAATTAATTCCTGCATCTGAGTTTCTAATAGTCAGCAAGATGAAGTCTTTATTTCACATATTTCCTGTCCTGCTTCTGTACTTCCTCAGATGTACCTTCCTTTTTCTTATGGCAATTTTACTGTGTTTCTCCAGGTAGGCATTGTGCTTTACAGCAACAGAGCCCTCCCACTTCTTCTGCTCAACCGCTCTAGCGACTTAGAAACTGTCCTGCAGAATATCCGCTCTTTCCGCTATGAGGAACCAAGTGGCAATAATGTTGGTAAGAAGACACTGAACATGGAGACAGTAGTTAAATTTGAGGAATAAAAAGAGAAATGCTGTTTGCGTTGTAAGAACATGGAATGTATTCTCCTATTGAAAACCTTCATGTCTACATGGAGCTGGAAAGCCAGGGGCTGCAGTAAGGCTCAAAGTGAGCACTATGCAAGTTCACAAAGGTTGTTGCTACTGCCCGTATAATAACTCTCTTCACCCTTTTTGTCTTTTGTTGCTGATTCTCTTCATTGTGCCTTTGTACTTTATTTGTGCTCTGCAGGAGCTGCCATTACTTTTGCCAGGAACTACATGCTGAGTGCCAGTGCAGGACACAGGCCTGGTGTACCAGGAACACTGGTGATATTGGCAGATGGGCCATCTGGTGATGATGCCATTGGACCAGCCAGAGAAATTAAGGCAGCTGGTAAGGCACAAGTGACTGAAAACCAGAGTGTGAACAGCATAATGTGGAGAACCTGCCCTGAGTGCTAGTTTTGGGCTCTTCTATAATGCCTCTCTATCCATTTTATTTCTGTCTCTTTTCAGCCAGGAAGTATCAAAGCACCAAACAAAATGCATTGTGGCCTTAAGTGGGTTGGGAATTCTACCAGCTATCCATCTTTTTGGCTTATTGGACTCAACTGTTACAATGTTTGTTGATTAAGCTGTTTTTATTGAGCGGCTTTGACTGAAGTTTGCATTCAAAGCATTGAGCTGATCTGCCCACATCCTGAATCACTTTCTATTATTTGTCATGCTCCATTCTCAGGGAGCAAGTCACATGAAACCCCTTGATTTGCTTACCTCCTCTGCCCTTTGCAGGGATCCAGGTGCTGGCAGTGGGCATGGATGGGGCCAATCGTGAGCAACTGCGCCGCCTGGTAACCAATGAAGATCCACGCAATGTTTTCTTTGTGAGAGACTCAAGGAGTTTGCCAGAGGTGGAAGAGGGACTTGCCAGTGCCCTCTGCAGGTTATCTGGCACCGAAGGGGTAAGGGACTGCTTGTGGGTGCATGAAAGGAGTTACCTGATTTTTTAAAGTAGAGTCAAGTGATGGAGGGAAATGTATGAGGCAATGATTGTAGAACAGTGCTTTGCTTCACACATTTAGTAGTAGCTATGCAGCAGGAAGTATTGTAAAGGGTAAAGGGGACACTGATTCCCTAATTCAGACTGGCCTGAATTACTCATAGAATGGGATGAAAATATACTGTCAGTCATCAAGTGGGAACTTCCTAGTGTATGCATATATGACTGTGTGGAAAGGCAAGTCAATTGTCACATCTAGTGAGGAGAACTTTCCGACTCCATTAGATTTCTATTCATGTGCCTGTGGTAAATTCTCTTCACTTCTTGGCACAATATCACAAACAATTAGCTTACTTGGTAGTTACATAAGCACCATAATAAATTGCCATTTGGCACAGATTGCACAATGTCTGTTTTGGATAACAGTGCTGTAGCTATTTTAATGATGACCTTTTTGTTCTCTTTGTCTTTTCTTCTCAGCCTAGACCAGAGCCATGTGTAGTGCAGTGTCCAAGGGTAAGTCACTGACATTCACCTCAGCTGTAATAAACGTTTCCCCTCCTAATGAGTAACAGTTGTTGCCTCAGGCTAGATGTAGTTGGCCAAAACTTCCATTATACCCAAATCATTCTGAGTGGGGCTGATACAGGCTGTATTCTTAACTCAGAAGGTGGGTGCCAAACTGGAAAGGTTGGATTAAGCCATTGTGAGAGACAACGGTTTTGCTTGTCAAAGTTTCTCCCTACTTTTAATGCTCAAGGATTTGAATATGACAACACAATGGATTAAGTTTCATGTCTTGGTGAGTTCCAACATCACAAACAAAAACTGAATCAATTTAATATCTGGGCAAATTGCTAATAGCTTTATTAAACTTATATTTTAGATTCATGCTTCAGACAGTGGAAGAGAACCTTAGAGTTTGGATTCTGGAGAAGTTCACATGTCATGTTGCATGTCAATAAATTGCTTGAAAGTGTTATGGTCACGCTTGCTCTTCTTCCATCATCTGAACATCTGGGGAATGTGGAAAATCATATTGAGTATTTTTTACGTATGGCATTCTGAATGTGGAGCCTGAATCACCCAGGATAACCTATTCCTCTCCACACATACATTAGCATCTAAAATGTAGACAGGTTTCCACTGAATCCCAGGTAGTAATAGATGTGCCTACAGTGCACATAAAAAGTAGGAATGGAGGCTAGCTTCTGTGATCCCACTAAGATTTTTTTTTCAATGTGAGAAAAAGCTCTCACATTGGAAGTGCAGAGATCTTAGACTCCATTTTAGCACACAGAGACGCCATGAGACTTTGGACTGGTAAGAGCAAACTCATGTTGCTGTTGATTGTAAGAAAGATGCCCTGTGTTATCTGCACAGAGAAACTACTTCAAATCCTATCTGTAACTTGATTGACAAGTTATATACATGTATGCTAAATACATGAAGGTTATGAGTAAACTAGATGGGTTACTTTTATTTATTTATTTATTTATTTATTTATTTGCTATACTTGTATACCGCCGTTTCTCAGCCTAGCCGGCGACTCAACGCGGTTTACAACAACTTATAACAAACAACAGTATACAGTTTAAAAGCATAAAAACACGATCCACAATACATATATCAATAAACAATCCAATTCATCTCTTGACTAAAATCGCGATCCAGTTTCGTCGTCCAAATTGCCAGTCCTTCAATCATTACACTTATTGCACTGAGTTAACTGAACGCCTGCTCGAACATCCAGGTTTTTAGTCTTTTCTGGAATACCATCAATGAGGGGGCTGATCTTACCTCCATGGGGAGGGCGTTCCATAGCCGCGGGGCCACCACAGAAAAGGCCCTGTCTCTCGTCCCTGCCAGCCGCACCTGTGAAGCAGGCGGGATAGAGAGCAGGGCCCCCCCAGAAGATCTTAATGAAGTCTACTTTTAATGAAGTCTACTTTATTTTTGTCTCTTGAGAGCATGATATAGAAACATGGAAGAGTAGATTTTTGGGGCACTGAAGAACTGCTATACTTTGTGCACTGGCATAATTTCTGTTCCTAACAGGTCAGAGACAATCAGGTTATCAGTCTAACAGCTGAAAACCAAATTGCCTTGCATAAGTACATGTGTGTATATAGCACTGAAGAGAAGATTTTACTCAAATGAGTTTTTGCCTCTCCTCTGAAAGATCATCCTTTTACAAAAGGTTATGATTTTCAAATAGTTGTTAATGCAATTTTCTCCAAAAGGTTATGGAGATTCTGGTTTTCCAAAAAGTTATGGTATCTAAAATGTCGTGCCTTTCCAAAAGAAGTGGATGGTTCAACCTACAATAAGTAAGAACAAGTTGAATAAAAAGCTATGAGAAGAGTTATAAGAGGGCTGGCTCTTCCTTGCCATGCTGGCTGGCTTTCTTACCTGTTGCAAGAGATCTAAAACTGACATAGAATGACATATGTGCAAAGATTCAAGATGAAGAGGAGCTTTGGATACCACCTGTAATTCATACAGTTTTGTAACTCAGTGTTACTCAAAAGTGGTGGTCTATGAAACAATGCCAGTTTGCAAGCCTCTGGCCTCTGGCCTGCAGCATGTTTCCAAGAAAGAAACCACATATTGGAGAAAAACACCCCACCAGTCCTCACATAGGCAGCTTTACTAGCTCTTTCCTAAAGGATAAGACCTTTGGTGGGCATTGCGGAACAACAGTAACTTTATTTGAGTGTTGGCTCAGTGCTGCCATTCTCTGTAGCTGTAAGGTAAAACCATAACTACCTTTACATTTACTTAGAAAAAATATGATTAATTTCCAAAGATGTAACCGAGGTTATGCAGAAAGATGCTTACTGTAACTTGCTGCTTACAAAGCAGGCTGTCATCAAATTATTCTTTTTTTCCTGCAGGGTGAGAAAGGCGAGCCTGGAGAGCCTGTGAGTATTGGAAGTTTAATAAGGAAAAAGATCTCACATTGAGTTACTTTCAGGGATATTCTGGAGTTTTGCTATGGAAAGACAATTAATCTCTCTGGTCATTTTTGCAGGGGCAGAGAGGACTCCCAGGGCTTTCTGGCTCTCCTGGAAATCCGGTAATGTCTACTCTTCTTATGGCTTGGAATAGAATTTATTTTGCTTGTTAAGCCCCATTGGTTTGATTTGAGGCTTTTATTTTGATATTAATTTGTGTCAGGCCCTTTTACAGGATTTCTGTATTTTAGACAGACTACTGTTCTCAATAACAACCCTCCCCCCCCCTTTTTTTTTTTTTTTGGCAAATAGAGCAAATAGTTTCTAAATGTACAATTAACGTGATTATTTATTACCCTCGCTAGCTTCAGATTTTTATAGAGTGGGATTAAAGAAAACAAACAATTGCCAATGATAACACTACTTATCAAATCCTTATCAGAAATATCAGTAATGCCTATAATACACAGTGTGGCAAAAAAATGACTGGATTCTTTCCAAGATTCACTGTTTCCAGATGGTGCTTGTTGATTTTTACTCTTTGTTTTTCCTATTCCATTTAAATAACTTTATATATCCACATTTCTTCTTTTCATAACATTCATCTAATTTATATATCCAATAGTTGAAATTTGTCCCTGTCTTTGCTGTTTAAAAAAAATGATAAATACATCCCAGTCTTTCTTAAGGTTGGTCAAGCATTGCTCTTTAATTAGCGTCATCAGTTTGTCCATCTCAACTAGTTCTCAAATTTCATCAGCCATTTCATCAGCTATGGAAGGATGACTAGTTCTTTCCGTATATCTGCACAGATGATTCACATGGGTGAAGATCCCAAGCTTTAAGAACTCAGCTTTAATTTTGTTGCCAAATGCTCTATGTAGTGAGGACATACGTGCATCATTTCTTTTTTCGAATTATCTTTATTGCAAGGATTTTTATAACTTACATTAAAAGTACTTGGGATTGAGTGGGTAGAGAGTTGGGTAAAGGAGAGAAGGTGAAAGGGGGGGGGGGGGGGGAGGAAGAAGAATAAGAAAAGGAAGAAGAAGGAAGAGGAGAAAAGAAGGAAGAAAAATAAATCCAGAATGGAAATGTGTTAGCTCTCTATAGAAATAATAATGACAGAACGATAATAAAGATAAGATAATACATACTAATAAAAGAATAGAAGAAGAAGACAATCTTAAGAATAATTCACTAATCATAAAGAATATAAAGAATAGAAAAAGAGAAGAACTCAAGAATACTAAAAATATCACGATAGAATCGAATAATGAGTGGAATATTATAGTCATCACGACATATTCCTAATTATATGAATATTTTAGTAACCGTCTTTACTGTATTGAAATATACACCAGAATACATAACAATACTATCTACATATTAATCTTAACATGTTAACATTGACTCTTCTCACCTCACTATTCCCATTACCCCTCAATCCCCATCACCTTAACACTGTCACGTACCAGAGAAAGATAACTGTGGTAAACTGACACATAGAGCAAAGGTCACGACCAACAGACGTCCCCTTCCATTCAAATCTCAAACTTTCCCCTTCCCCTGCTACCCTTCCACATTCACCTGCTCACCACAGTTTCCCCTTCCTGTCTTTCCTTCCTTCTCTTTCCTCCTTCCACTCCAAACCTCTTTCTCCTTCCATCCTCCCCTTCCACCCCCCCCCCCCCCCCCCACCCCTTCCGTCTTCTTCCTCCTTTCTCTTCTTCTTTCTCTCCTCCTCTCTTCTCCCTTCTCATCTCCCATTCCTTCTCTTCCTCTCTTCCTTTCTCTCTTCTTTTCCTTTCTTCCTTCTTTTCTTTTCTTCTTCCTTCTTCTTCCTCACAGCTCTCACCATTTTTTTCTCTATTAAAATACGAACTGGTTATTTATCTATTTGTTTAATTTGATTTTTTCCCCTTTTTCTTTTTTCCTTCTTCGCCTTCTTTTTAATGGGTCTCCTGTCAGTCCTACTCTCTCTGTACAAAATTGATAATTTTCATTGTCTGGAGATATTATTTCAGCAGTGTCCGATCTGTTTTTTGTCTTTCCATCTGGTCTTGAAGCAGGAATGTTAGGGAGTCCATGTCCATGTAGTCTATAAGTTTTGTAAACCATGAGTCAATTGTCCGGAATTCTTTCTCACGCCATTTCTGCACTAATAGTGTTCTTGCTGCGGAAGCTAAATAAAAGTATATTTTATCTCTATTTTTGCCTATCTCAAAGTCTGTTAGGTTTAGTAAATAGTATTCCAGTTTTAACTTAAACTTTAGTTTTAAAATTTTGGGGGCGTGTTCATGTATTTTTTCCCTATTTCTTTTTTTAATTTGCTATATATCTTTTTTTTACTTTTTCAGAGGTTATATTACTTAGGAGCGATGTGGATGTAATGACTATAAAAGTGCCTTTGCCTTTGATTCTGGTACTAAACAATAAATGAACCAATAAGTTTTTCTTATTTTGTTTAGGGACGCAATGGGCTCCCCGGTCCTCCAGGCCCAGTGGGACCTCGTGGGCCTCCTGGAGAGCTCACTGATGGGCGGGCTGAGAAGGGAGAAAGAGTGAGTACTCCCAGCATCTCATGAACTCTTGAATTATTAAGGAGAAAAGCAAGCATTGAATTTCACAGAGCTTCACTGAGAGGCATCTCTGCTCTTCTACAGTGACTTATTTAGGTTTTGCATCATAGACATTATGGTTTTTTTAAACTAGATCTCCCAGTTTCTCTAGTCATTATGTCAGTGGCCAAGGACCTGTACTGTAAAGCAAATGCAGGTACTAGCTTGGGGAAGATTGCTTTAGAAAATCAAGTACTTTTTTAAAAAAATCACAGCTATATAGAAAGATGCTTTCATTCTATCTGAAAACCTAAATGAAAAAACTGAAGCTATCATATTTTATATATGTCATGAGAAGACATGGCTCATTGAAAAAGACAAAGCAGAAGGTTACAGAAGAAGAGGAAGACCACATGACCAGTGGATTGATTCAATCAAGGAAGCCACTTCCCTGAATTTGCAAGGCCTGAGCAGGGCTGTTCTTCACGAGATATGTTCTTCATAAAATTGCCAGAAGTTGAGACAATATAACTACGGTATATTTAGTGATGAGATCAAGTTCCTAAAAAAAGGGGGGAGACATTTCAAGCTCCAAGTTTTTTTTTCTGGAATATGTGACTTAGCTCTTCTACCCGAGTCTAACCCACTGATAAAGAAATAGGTTACATTTTGAAGCTGTCATTTGTAGTTTCCTGCCATTCCACTAGCAAATAACTACATTTTCTCCCAAAATGAGGGACTAAATGTCAGCTTTTACATATGTGGAATATTTAAGTGTCCCATAAGCAAATTATTCATTGTAGGAAGCCCATGTAAGGAAGCCCATTTATTGTAGGAAGCCCATGGGATAGGAAGCCCATGTCTGTATCATATAATAAAAAAATCGATCAAGTAAGAAGATACTGTTTCAATTGAAGCTAGAGGCAAGCAAAGTACAGCCTGAGAACCACTTTGGGAGACTCCCAAATATATCCCAGAGTACTTGTAGGGTATCAGCACAAACACAAAACAGTCTATGTATAATGTCAAAATATAATGTCAAAAGAGCATATAGTATGCTATTTAACAAAATCCCAAGTATATAGCTCAATTCAGTGGCCCAAAACAAAATCAAAAGGAGCAACCGCTCTCAAATGTAACAGTTCCAGGTCTGAACAAGGGTACCACTGTATATAGGCTTCAGGGATACATACAATGAGATAAATCATACACAAAGTAAGCATAGAGTCATGAGGCTATATGTATACTGAAGTCAATAATGAAGATGGAGTACCACTCTCAAAAATCTTCATGGAATAAATCCAAATTAAGTCCAGTGAAAATGGAACACTGCTTCTCAAAATAAGTCTCTGTAGGAAAAGTCCGAATGGCATTCAACAGGGGTGCCCGGGTATTTTTGTACCCTGTTTCGGGGAAAGCAGTCCCCTTCCTCAGGAGTTGATAAATTCAGCAACTCTAGACTCTTATCTATAATAAAACATAACATCACATAGAGTAACAAGTATTTTCCAGCACAATTACAGTAGTAAAGATAATGGATACAACAAACATATAACATATACTCACATCATGCCAGGTAGCTAATACAAAAAGTGACTCTGCTAGAAGTAAATTCACACTGCGAGTAATTCTGAAGGGTCATCCACAGGTTTATAAAGAGTAGTTAGAAACTTAAAGGAAACAGCTAAAATTAAGTGACTCGTTAAGTCCTTGAGGGGAAAGGGTTTTCAACTTAAAGATCCAGAACATTTCCCTTTGGGATAGTAGTTCTTCCAAATCCATATGGGGTTTTGGTGTGATGCATTCCAGAGCACAAAATTTAAGGGAATTGGATGAATGTTTGTATTGTGTAAAGTGTGAATATAGAAGGGACTCCATAGATAAACATTTTATTCTAGATTTATGTTCAGAAATTCTAATTCTCGGAGGTCTGGTTGTTTTTCCAATATACCACAAACCACAGTCACATGTTAGAAGGTAGATAAGGTTACTGCTATTACAATTGGAAAAATGTTTGAGTGTGGTGCCCACTTTGTTCCTATAGTTGTGTACCTCCTTAGTTTTCCATGATTGCGGACAACATTTACAGCGTCCACAGGGGTAATGGCCTCTCAAAGTGCTTTTAGGTGTAGTAGTAGTAGTGGTTAAATCTGTATGAATTAACAAGTCTCTTATGTTTTTAGTACGCCTATTACCAAAAATGGGTGGTTTTTGGCAACCTGGAATATCTTGAAGAAGATGCCAGTGTTTTTTGATGATTCTGGTAATCTGTTTGGAATAGTGCGATAGTTCTTGTGTCCAAATAATTTGATTTTTTGTGGGTTTGGGGCATTCTTTCAGTAAGGTAGCCCTATCTATTTTATCAGCTTTGGTTAATGCTTTTCTTACTACATGTTTGGGGTAGCCTCTATTTCTGAACTCATGGCTTAAAGTGACACTTTCCTGAATAAACTGTTCCTTGGTGCTTGAGTTCCGTTTAAGTCTGAGGAGCTGTGAAAATGGAAGATTGGTTTTTAAACTAAAGTGGTGGAAGCTGTTGTAATGAAGATAAGAATTTTTATCTGTGGGTTTTCTAAAGTTCTTGACTAAAAGTTTATTGTGATCTTTATAGACTGTAACATCCAGAAAATTAATATGTGACAGGTTGAAATGGCTGGTGAACTTAATAGACGTATGTATGGTGTTGATCCAATTAGAGAAACCTACTGCGGCCTCGGTTGATTTAAATACCATGAATATGTCATCAATAAATCGTCCATAATATATAATATTGGTGTGATACATATTTAAAGATGGATTTAATAATACAGTGTTCTCTAAATTTGCCATAAATAAATTGGCAATTGAGGGGGCCAATGGACTGCCCATTGCCACACCAAAGACCTGAAAGTAAAATTGATTTTGAAAACGGAAATAATTTTTCTCTAAAACTATATCCAACAGGTCCATAAGGAAATGTGTGGGTGGATGTAACTTGGTTCTGTTATGGAGGACATTTTCTATGGTGGTACGCGCCTCATCTAATGGAATGTTGGTGTAAAGTGAGGTGACATCAATAGTTACTAAAACACTATCCTCCTCTACTTTGAGGTTTTCTATAACATTAATGAAGTGCTTAGTGTCTTTGATATAGGAATCACAGAGAGGGACAAAGGGTTGGCAGAAAGAGTCCAGATACTTAGCGACTGGTTCCAACACTGAAGAAGAACCTGAAATAATGGGTCGGCCTGGCGGGGGGGGGGGAATAACACCTTTATGAATCTTTGGTAAAGTATAAAAGATTGGTATTCTAGGGAATTCTTTCTGAAGATATTTAAACGTGGAAGAAGAGATAAATCCCAGGGATAATCCCTCTTGGCACACAACCCTAATGAGGGACTGTATGTGTTTAGTGGGGTCTGTAGCAACAGGTTTATAAAATTTACTATTAGATAACTGGCAGTTGATTTCCTTAATGTAATCTTTTTTGTTGAGTAGCACTATAGCTCCCCCTTTGTCTGCTGGTTTCCAAACTACCTCTTTAAGGTTACTCAGTTTATTCAAAGTGGTTTTTTCAATGTCAGACAAATTAGAATGGAATGGTTGTCTGTGGGTGATTAACTTATTGAAGTCCCTCTCTACTACTTTTTCAAAGCACTTGATATGTATGCTGTCTGTGGAGGGGCAAAACTTGCTTTTAGGTTTGAAGGGCTCTATGGTGGAATTGGGTATGCTGTTTGTGAAAACCTCTCTTAGGCGGATGGTTCTAAACAATTTAAATAAATCTATGCGTGCTCGGAATGCATTAAATTTTGGGGTGGGAACAAATGATAGACCTTTATTTATTTACTACTGACCTTTCTAAATCTGATAACTTGTAATCGGATAGATTGACAATCAAGTCAGGCGTCTTCGATTTTGGCCCCATCGAAAAAAAGTAGTGGAGGAAGACCGGGAAGATGATCAGTTCATATTTCTTTGTCTGTTAGATCGTCTTAAAGAAGGTGTGTCAGAGGCTTCAGAGCTTTCAGTTGTCCTNCAAATACTCTCACGATTTTTTTAATTTTCTGGTTTAATTTTTTTTTTAAGTATGCCCCACTCCTTTGGGGATGGGGACCAAATCTGCCATTTGCTGGCTTCCTAAGCATTGGTTGGGGAAAAGGCCTCTTCTTGACCTAGAATAGATCAGGTTCTACTTGTAGTACCCTGACTGCTCACTCAAAGAAGCTGTCACATTACTGAAAGCCTGGAGCCAGTTTATACCCTCTGAACTTGCTCCAGCATAGCAGTCCTATCACACTGCCAAATCCAAATTAAGGAGACCTTTGAATGTGGATTAATTCATACAAATACATCACCTGATCTCATTAGTTGATTAATTCAGCTCTTTCTGACTCTTAGCCAAACTTGTTAAATGTCTTCACTAAAAGTAATCCATTTTGAGCTGACAGTGGGTTACAAGAAAGCAGTGCTGATTAATTTTGTGATGATTAGTCCATGTGTGAAATAATGAGTCACAATATTCAAGCAAAAAAAATGTGTGAACGATCTCTGCGAAAATCCTGATTCTCTACTTGTTACTCAGTAATTTATGGAAGTAATAGTCATACAATTAGTCAAGGAGCAGATTCTTTGTCAAGAAAGAGTTGGTCAAAGACTCTTCCAAGGGCTTTCATAAGTGAATGATGATCAACTTCCACATTGATGTGAGTAGGCATCCAGTAGTAGATTAAATCTCACCGCTAGTGGGTGAGGAAGGGATAGCATGACCAGGCAGAGATCTGCGTCATGACATGTTGATGATCTTTCCCTAGTTTGTGCTTCACACAAAACAATGCTACTTCTGATCTAGCATATTTGATTAATTATGTATGTGCTTTTACAGTTCTTCAATATTAAATGCATCTTCCCAAAGACTGTTCTGAATTTCTTCCTTTTCTTTCAGGGATTACCAGGAGCAAATGGCTTACCAGGGAATCCTGGCCGAACTGGTCCTCCTGGTCCTCCTGGGCAACCTGTAATTAGTACCTTTATTACCTTGCTACCTATAGTTGCACACAGAAACATTCCTATCTCCCACTATGGTGTGCTGTATTATATTATTCAACTATATCTGTTAGGGCCCTTTCAGACAGGTCCTTAATCCCAGGATCTGATTCCAGGTTTTCTGTTTATCCCAGATTATCTGGCAGTGCGGACTCATATAATCCATTCTAAAGCAGAAAACCTGGGATCAGATCCTGGGATATGGGGACTTTCTGGAAGGGCCCTGAGTTGAACTCAGAACAAATAAGGTGTCTTCCTAGCTAAATTTGCTCACCGCACATTGAATAATGTACTAACTAAATCCATAGCCTAAACATCCTAACCTATTCTGACACATTTAGGGCTTTATTTCCTCATACTATTCTCTAAATATTATGATTCCCATCTGACCTGAAAAATAAAAACAAAACAATGCCAATTGTTGTCTTAATGTGTTTTCCTATAGGGTGACCCTGGCCTTCCTGGTCTCAGAGGAATCCAGGTAAGTAAAATGAATTTCCCCTATAGTTCCTTGACTGCCAGCTAAGGAGATTATATCTTATTCATTCTTAAATTTGTCTTCTAGGGAGAGCGTGGATTAATTGGCCCAATTGGTCCAAGGGGAGAGAAGGGTGAACCGGTAAGTGGATAGATTTTTTACTTAGCTTTGAATGGCCATTGAGAAGTTGAGATAGGAAAACAAAATTCTGATGGTGGTGATAATGAAATTCTGTGCCCGTAACAATGTTTCCCACAGTTAGACGGATTTTTAAGAACTGATTAAGATGTGCCTCATAGTGCCAAGCACCACTTCAGGCGATACTACCATGCCAAAGATGCTGGTGTGAGTTGCAGTATTGGACAGGGGAAACTATGCCCGCTTTTATCCCAAACTTCTTGTTTGGCATTAGCCATTGTCCTTGGAAAATGAATCAAAATAGTGAACATACCATTTTTCATACAGTAAATGACACAGAGCCAGTTTGGAGAGAATCAAAGACAATGTACAGTCCTCACTTCCTTTCCCTTGAGCAATCTGCTCATGACATCACCAAAAGCTATGGGAGAGTTTGTATTGAACTAGGTGAGGTGGCCTCCTTCCTGCCTTGGACACCATGAATGAAGGAGAGCAAAGGCTACTTCAACTTGGTCCAGCATTTAGCAACAGATGCACCAGGATTGGCTACATACAGGTTTAAAAATATCCCCAGCAATGTTGTCTGGAACACCTGTCTGATATTATTGGGGCCTGTCAACCAATGTACCAATGATAAATGAACAGCAGTTGAAGGACAGGCAGCAGTAGCGTTTTAAGCCAGTGCCTACAATTTCTAACATTCAGGGAATTTTCTAAGGAAATATGACCAGAAGTACAGGAGAGCAGCTTGGCCCAATCCCACATTGAGCATCAGAACTAGTAGACCTTGCCAGGATTCTGGGGCTCTGATAGCTGTGGTTTAATTTAATTTAATCATTCCACTCCTTGTTCCTTCTTAAGCACTTCAAAATCCAGATTGATGCTGTATCACCATTTTATTGATTTTATTTGGTGGTATTTAAGACATTATTATGCTGCACTTTCTGTCCTGTGCTTTCGTTTAACATTTTCTGTGGAATAAATAGCTGTGCTTCTATCCAAAGACAATGAGGCAGCTTCCCATTCAGTCCCTGAACTGTAATATGTCAAGTAACTTTGAGCCTTTTGTTCTGGGCAGGGGGATCCTGGAGAGATTGTTGGTGGAGGAGATGGGATTCCTGGCCGGAAGGGAGAGCCTGGCAACCCAGTAAGTCGCATCCTGTAGTTCATAAACTAATAGAAGGGGGAAAAAATAAGATTGAAAGAGGGAGGAGCCTTATAGGAGGTCCACAATGGTTGTACTGTGTATAGTCTGACTCATGTATGCTTCAAGCTTCGTACCAACTGCCACATATGGTCTCCCCATTGTAACACCATACAACTCTTTAACATATCTTGTTGTCATGAACTCATACCTTTTTCGTAGGCCGCAGCCTGGTAGACAGTAGGCTGGCATCCATGTTAGGAGAGGCAGAGAGGCAAGGGGAGGAGTCAACTCTCTTCTGATTGGGTCTGATTGGGAGGAGTTGTAGGAGAAATAAGTAGCTTGCCAGCTCTGACAGAGAGAGAGAAGGACTGTAATCTTGAACGAAGCGAGATTAGAGCAGGAGAAGAGAGGTTAGGATTTCAGTCAGGGAATAGTGGGTATGTTTTCTAAGTGAGCTAGCCTGAAAGAGATTCGTTTAGAACAGGGGTCTTCACAGGATTCTGGCTAGGGAAGTCAGAGTGAGAGCCTGTTAACTTGTGCTAAGGGAGAGTACAAGTGAGAAATATCTCTCAGGTGGCAGAGTAGGGACTCTGTGTGACAGCCAGGGGAAAATGGCTGGTGAATTTCACTGCTACATATTATTAAGGGTAGAGTGAAGAGAATTTAGCTCTAGTTATAGAAAAGTAACCTTCCTGAAGAATCTGTTTGTTTAAGAAGAAGATTGTGCTTTAGAAACCAATTAAGCTTATGTGCCTCGCAGAAGTCTGTTGTTTACCTCATGTTCTCCAATGAACTCTATGTTTTCATTGTTAACTAGCCTCAGCTTCCTTATATAGCCTCAGGTCTGACAATTCTATTCGCTCTTACAGTCCATTCACATTTCACAGGGAGCCAGAAGAAAGAAGCAGTGTATTGGGAGATTTCACCTCAGGAACAACAATCAAACAATTCCTCATAATTTAACATTGAGGTGGTGGCAGCTTACCAAACATTACACACGCACGTTACAACAACAACACACATGTTGTATCGCTTTGGGTCTGACAGGAGGGAATAGAGACGGTGTTTTTCCCCCTGCCTGTAATAACACACGATCCTCTTTACATTTGTGGCAGCGGTGGGATAGAAAAGAAAGGTCTCCCCTGTCATCGGTAATTCTCGATCATTGTTACACTTGTCCTCTCAGAAGCATTGATTCCAGACTTGTGGATGTTGTTCATTCGTTCAGTCGCTTCCGACTCTTCGTGACCTTATGGACCATCCCACGCCAGAGCGCCCTGTTGGCTGTCACCTCCCCCAGGTCCTTCAGAGTCAAGCCAGTCACTTCAACGATACCATCCATCCATCTTTCCCTTTGTTGGCCCCTCTTCCCTTTTCCTTCCATTTTCCCCAGCATCATTGTCTTCTCTAAGCTTTCCTTTCTTCTCATGATGTGGCCAAAGTACTTCATCTTTGCCTCTACTATCCTTCCCTCCAATGAGCAGTTGGGCTTTATTTCCTGAAGTATAGACTGGTTGGATCTTCTGGCGGTCCAAGGCACTCTCAGAACTTTCCTCCAACACCACAGTTCAAAAGCATCTATCTTCCTTCGCTCAGCCTTCCCTAAGGTCCAGCTCTCACATCCATAGGTGACTACAGGGAATACCATTGCTTTGACTATGTGGATCTTTGTTGCCAGTGTGATGTCTCTACTCTTCACTATTTTATTGAGATTGGACATTGCTCTCCTCCCAAGAAGTAAGCATCTTCTGATTTCCTGGATGCAGTCTGTGTCTGCAGTAATCTTTGCACCTAGAAATAAATAGTCTTTTACGGCCTCAACATTTTCTCCCTCTATTTGCCAGTTATCAATCAAAGCAGTTGCCATAATCTTGGGGTTTTTTTATGTTTAACTGCAACCCGGCTTTTGCACTTTCTTCTTTCACCTTGATTAGAAGGCTCCTCAGCTCCTCCTCGCTTTTGGCCATCAAAGTTGAATCATCTGCATAGCTAAGGTTGTTAATGTTTCTTTCAGCAATTTTAACCCCAGCCTTGCATTCATCAAGCCCCGCACATCGCATGATGTGTTCTGCATACAAGTTGAATAGGTTGGGTGAGAGTATATAACCCTGTCATACGTCTTTCCCAATCTTGAACCAGTCTGTTGTTCCATGGTCAGTTCTTACTGTTGCTACTTGGTCCTTATACAGATTCCTCAGGAGAGAGACAAGGTGGCTTGGTATCCCCATACCACCAAGAACTTGCCACAATTTATTATGATCCACACAGTCAAAGACTTTAGAATAGTCAATAAAACAGAAATAGATGTGGATGTTATTTAATAGTAAACCCAGGATATTTATTTCTGTGTAGATGTGTGTGCATTTTAGTCCCTAGCTGTGTAATTTATACACTGCTGACTAAGAGGGCTCGTTGAGTTCTTCAGGGCATCTGTTGGAGTGTGTCCCCTTTCAATCAGATAATATCTTTCTGTCTGTCTCAAGGGAAACCCTGGACCTCCTGGAAATCCAGGGCCTAGGGGACCATTTGGTGATTCTGGCCCTCCTGGACCTGTGGGACCCCCTGGGGCAAGAGGACCTCCTGGCGAGTTTGTCAAGGTATGTTCTCCATTGCAAGTTTGTATGTTTGAAATGTCCTTTATCAAACACTTCATATGTGTTTTTTTTCTTTTTGTCCTTTGCTGAGTTTATAGATAAGCTTTACAGCAGTATCTGTGTCCATGTATGTACATACATATGCACACAGACCCTTTGTCACATCCTTCCAAGTACACAAATATTCCTTTCCCAGCAGACTGCCCTAGCCCTGTACGATGGGCCTTGCCACTAATTTCTCATCTTCCTCCTTCTTGCAATGATATTTCTTCCAGGAACATATATAATTCCTTTTATCATACCCATATCACTAAAAATATATGTGAAGCTAATCAGACAGGGAAAGGAATGCAAGTGGCAATATGATTTAGAAATAGCCGTAAAACAGTAAGCACTATAAGAGTAAAAAAAGCTCTATTTACCCTAAGATCCTCCCAAGACATGTCTCTAATACTATAGGGTTTTTTGAAGACATAAGCCCTAGAGGTATGCCTTAGTTGTATGCCTTACCCCCCACCCTCCCACTACATCTGTTCCACTGGCTGCCAGTTTGTTACCAAGCACAATTCAAAGTGCTGGCATTAGCCTATAAACCTAAACAGTTCTGGTCCAACTTACCTGTCCAAACGTATCTTCCTCTATGAACCAGTTAGAACGCTAAGATCTGCTGTGGAGGCCCTGCTCTCGGTCCTGCCCCCTTTGGGGATGAGGGACAGGGCCTTCTCAGTGATGGCCTCTTGGCTATTGAACTCCCTCCCCAGTGACTGCCCCCCTCCCTCCTGGTCTTTAGGAAAAAGCTAAAGACCTGGCTTTGGAACCAAGCATTTGTGAAGTAGCAGCACAAACAATGACTATGGGACTAGGCACGATATTTTAATTCTGTTTTAATTATATTTGTTTTATCTATTTTTATTGCTCAACGTGTTGTATTTGTGTACTTGTATTTGTAATGTGCCACTGAATTTTGCCATAACTGTAAGCTGCTCTAAGTCCCCTTCTGAGTTGGAAGAGCAAGGTTGAAATATAGTAAATATATAAATAATAAAATGTCCCTGTGTTCACTGTAAGCCCTGTACCTCCAGTGTTGTTTATGGTTATTTGGCCCAACAGTTGTCTTGTCTCCCCTTTTCTGTGAGGTGTGTGTGTATGTGTACATGAATGTGTGCATGCATATGTATTTCACTCCTATAAATGCTTATTTATTTGTGTTTAACAGCAGGACCATTTCAACATACTAAGTAGAAACATTGGTTGACATGTGGGTAATTCTTCTTACAGGGCGAGAAGGGCGACCGAGGTGAGCGAGTAAGTGATCCTTCTTTTTCCTTTTCCTCATAACATTTCAACCTAAGAGATCAATCACTGGTTGTCCAACAACCAATTTGTGAGGTGTGGGGAGATCTAAAGGCAATCTCCTCCCTATCCTTGTGCAGATACAGAAGATACTCTGTCTGTCGGTCTAGAGGGACATAAATTGTAGTGCAGTTTTACAAATCACTAATCACTAAGTGTATAGAATTGAGCAATATTGTTGTTTCACACAGTCCATTCTTACTGATTCAGCTAACATGTTTAATATAAGCCATTTACATTGTAAAGTGTGAACAGTTATAAATGAGGTTGCATTTGCAGTCTTACATTATACTTACACATTTACTGGGCTTCTGGCTGTGACTGTGACTCTGTGCTGAGTGTGCTGCCAGAAAGATATTTTTTTTTAAACACTCTAGGGCACCAGTAGAAAATGAAAGGACATCCCAGTTATCCCTCTGCTTGACCCTGGTTATGAACATCAGTGGCATTATCATAGTGTTTTCCCAGAACCCTGGGTGACTAATGTTGGGCTGCTCAATGGGCTCATAGGGCAGTATGAGGCACTAACCTCTTGCATGGTCCACATGTGATTTACAGTCCTTTAATTACTTTGCTTTGTGTCTTCCTATGGCTTTCAAAGTGTCTTGTATAATAATAAATCAGTTGAACACAATAAGCATTGAAATCTAATTGTTCTTTACAATTATTTGCCTCAGTTTTATGTTTGCTATTAAAATTAAATGGAAAAGGATGCAAAGCCAGGTGCTTCTGGTTTGGTTGCCAAAGACATTTACTATTTGCTGCTATATGTATCTCATACCTCTGCTCCTACTGCTGTATACAAACCTAACCTGTAGGATTTTTACTGATTGGTTTTTTGTATTAGTTTTAATTTTGCTTTCTTGTTTTGCTGCCCCCTCCCCTGCTCTTTGTGTTATACCTGGAATTAATAGACTGTTGTGTGCATTTCAGTTTTAAAGGGCATTACATTTGCCTGCTCATAACACATATTGGCTGAACTTATTCTTGAATGTTTATGAGGTATATTTTTCCACTTAGTTACATCTTATCCCATTATAAAACCAACTAAAAGTCAATTTTAGAAAGAAATTCTGGCTCCTTGGGTTATAATTTTTCAAAGATGTTTATTTGTTCTAACACTTTAACCCTTAATTGTCATTAATTCCTAAATATTAGTGGATGGGCATCTTATTGATATGAAGTCATAGCTATAGATAGATATAGACACACACACACGTTTTGCCCATTTTTTCCATCTTTTAAGGAGTGCATCACAACATGCATTTACATAAGATAGCTGACACTTCCAATCCTGTGCTCCTCTCTTATTACTGTTCTTTTTATAATTCCATGGTGAATATAGTTTTTCCCCTATGACAGAAGTACCCCCCCCCCATTCCTTTTGTTCCAGATAAGATTAGTTTGACACTTAAAAGAGGGCTAGATATTGACAACAATGGGCTGAGTGCAGCACTGCCACAGGTTCACAAATCTGGTCCAAGCTAACTTTTACTTTATTTTATAATAGTCTACAGTGTAGCAATGAGGACTAAAACAATTCTTCCTTTTATCCATTACAATTTGAACCCTCTTGTTAACATCCTGGTCCAAAAGTGATGTAGGTGTCCTTGCCTTTGTTATATACAGAATAATGATCATCATGAAGCACGATGATGGCCAGCCTCCAAACTGCATGTATTGGGTTGAAATGAACATTACTGATTGTGATGACTATGTTCATACTTCCAAGTCAGATTTTAGAACAGGGTGAGATTTGACATTGATTGTCTCTTTAGGGCCCTCCTGGACCAGGTGATGGGTCTGCAGCCGGAGGAGAACCAGGCCTCCCAGTGAGTACATACTTTGCCATGCTTTCCCTGGGGAGCTGCACAGGAGATTGGAATGCATAGTCACAGCAATATATGTATGATATTGCTTTATGGAAAAATCACCTGATTTCTAGATGATCTCTAACTTGCCAAAGCCTGACTGGCAACCGCTACCCAGAGGACCTTATCATTGGCCTCTCCATAACTGTGGAATGACCTGCCGGTAGAGCTCTGACAGCTGGATCAGCTGTTGGAATTTAAGATACAAGTGAAGACCTATCTCTTCCAGCAGGCCTACCCAGACAGTTTTAATGATGAATTTTAATCTCCACTGTATGCCTAATTTTTGTTTTGTGTATTTTAAGGTGTATTTTATGTAAATATGTTTTAATGTATGTATTTAACAGAGTGTTTTATAATGATTATGTGTTTGTTAATGTTTTAGTAATGCTGTAACCCTCCTTGAGCCATGAGGAGAAGCAGGCAAGAAATAAAACTCTGATAATGATGATGATGATGATGATGATCTATTCAACTTCAAAGAACCAAAACTCTCCATGTTGTGTTAATTCTGTTTTCTCTATTTTAATCTCTAGGGTGTGCCAGGAGATCCTGGGCCCAGAGGACCAGTTGGTCCACCAGGACCAAAAGGTGACAAGGTACGACATGGATTTGTCCATACAATTGAAGAACAAACATAAATCCCATAAACCAAAGTATACCCCATTTAAGCCTCATGCCCAGAGTAGAAGCTTCTGAGAATCTGAGACCAAATTAACCTGTGTTTGCAGGTACAAGTGTGGTTTTCCTTCTGCTTTTAGTCACAGGACTAACTGCCCTCTACTTGAACTCTTAAATTTCACTTTGCTTTGAACCCAAAGGGTGATGGAGAAGAAGGTTTTCCTGGACCACCTGGACGTACTGGAGACCCAGGAGATCGGGTGAGTCTTTAAGAAGGTAATCCCCACTCTTCTCTCATTTGTCCTAGTGGGATTTCAAGTCTATACTAATTCAGGCCATTTTTGTTCTCATTGAAAGTAAATGCCCACAGTCTTTCTCTGTTTTTTTTTTTTTTGGCAATTGGTTTTTTTTCTTGGCAATTCTCCGTAAAATATCACAAAATTTCTCTACTAAATGCCTCAGTGAAAACACAATGTTCTTATTGTTGTATTTAGGGCCCTAGAGGACCTCCAGGTGAACAAGGAAGCAAGGTAGGTACTGGTTTTTTGGGCTAAGGTGGGTACTACTGAACTGCTAAATTATGGCATTAGTATGGCAGTCAGAACATTGTCAATATTTTTAGTACCTTTTGTGAACAGTTCTTTTTCTCCACTCAAACGCAAAATGTAGCAATCAATTGATGAAGTGTTTTTCCAGTCCTTTGTAATATCTAGTATTTTGTGGGGCATTTTCCCTTCATATGATTTATGTGCATGGAAAAGATGCTATGCTCATAGTCCTTATGATGAGTCTGAAACTTTCCATAGACATCCTGCCTAAGTTTGAATCTTGAGCTCTAAAGCTTCAGACAGGGCTACATACATAGATCAGATGCCCTGTTTCAGATCTTTTCATTGATTCTCTCTCTATCTGTCTTTCACTCACTCACGGATGCACACATCATGAAAGATTATGGGGGTTAACAAGGATGTGATGATGAGAGTAGAAGTCACAAGTTGATCCATTCTTATTTGTAGGACTGTAATAATTTAAAAAGCTTAGTGGCCCCTGGATACCATGCATATAATTCTCAGTTGTTTCAAGACTTGATTGTAATGGGAAAGTGTTTTGTAGCCTTTTTGAGCACCATGGAACACAGCCCCCTTTAGCAGACGTGGTCTTAAGGAAATTGTAAGAACCTGGAAACCAGTGGGGAGCTTTATCCCCCTTACGCACTGCCATTTGAACTGAATTATATGGCAGTGTAGACTCATATAATCCAATTCAAAGTAGATAATGTGGATTTTCTGCTTTGATAATCTGGATTATATGGCAGTGTAGAAGGGGCGTCAGTGAGCAAGGAGAGTGAGCAATGAGTAAGAACAGTAATTTAGAGGAGAGAACAGCCACTGCCTTTTGCCTTTCCATAGTTATCCAGCATTGCTGCATAACTAACCATATAACAGATAATGAGACTACAGCCATCATCCAGTCCACCACTTTGTAACTAAGCACAAACTTAAGAAACAATTTCTCACCTGTAGAGTTACTAAACTTCATCCATGCCTACTTTATTGCCCAGAGACTTTCATCTCAGGCCCCTTTCACACAGCTGAATAAAATCCCACATTATCTGCTTTGAACAGGGATATATGACAGTGTGGACTCAGATACTCCAGTTCAAAGCAGATATTGTGAGTCATTCTGCCTTGATATTCTGGGTTATATGTCTATGTGGAAGGGCCCTAAGTTCCTCCAACTTCCTCTCCTCTGTAAAATATCTTACCTATAAAATCTAGGAATTTTTAAAATTAAGATGAACCCCGTTTTTCCTGCTTCCACAAATGTGGAGAGGACAGGAATAAATAACTGTAGGCACCAGGCACTCTTTTGGAGCCCCAGTTCTTTACCCCGTCCTTCTGCCCCATGTCCGTTTTCACTCAGGTCTTGTGATTCTCTCTAAAAGGAGAAAGAAAAGTGGGATTATATGTTATTTTTAAAGTAAGAACGATTGTTTATATGCCACTAATTCTGTGTTACTCAGAAGTGTTACACAGTGCTATCCTGTTCTTGCAAATGTCTTACCTATCTACAAAGGGCAAATGTATTAATTGGATATTTCTGTTTGCTACTATCCATTTTGGAAAAAAACATCTACAGAAGACCCAGCCTTGCCCCTTGATATATAAGGGATTATTCCCCTTTACTGAGAATCCTAACTCAATCCCATTGTTCATTGGTAGAGATTAGAAGTTCTTTAGTTTCTTTGTGACGGCGCTTCCCTTCTATCCTTATATCTTTATACCCTGACGAATCATGATTCTAACACATCTGTTCTTTGTATGACAGGGAGACCGTGGGCAGCCTGGTGAAGTTGGGCCATCAGGAGAGAAGGTGAGGTCTGACAAGAAGAGACACTTATATCAAACAGGTCAAATGCAAAGTCTTGTTGATCCACACTTTATTTATTTGTTGTTGTGAGAGACAGAAAGTATAACAGTCCACTTGCTTGGGCCAGGTCATCAATTATTTAGTCATCAACTGTTTCAACTGTCTGTATACTACATTACTTGATGTCTTATCACTTAATATGTAGCACTTGAGAACTGAATGATGAATCTCCTTTCAAATGGATTTGTGTGTGTGTGTGTGTGTGTGTGTGTGTGTGTGTGTGTGAGAAGCGACTTGAGAAATGGCAAGTCGCTTCTGGTGTGAGAGAATTGGCTGTCTGTATAAGGTTTAACCCATTGTGCCACTAGGGGCTCCTTCAAATGGCATGATATGACTGCAGTCTTCATGGCGTATATGATTTGCAGTGCCCTTTTCACATATATGTATCCTCCCTTAGTGCCTTTGAAACCAGGAAGGAACCTCAGCAGCCAGCAGTTTCAACCTTTGCACTCTGGTTGCAGGAGAGAGGGGCAAGAAGGGTGGGTGATGAAAGTGGTAGGAAGAGTAAGCAACCCCCTGAGGACCACAGAAAGGGTGGTGGCACCCCATCTCCCCTCCCTAGTCCCTTGCCACCCCTGAGATGATCCTGCAGATATTCACAGATTTTCCACATTCACAGAAGTTCTCTCTATTTGAAATTTATAATTTTATCATTTTCTTTTAAACCAAGTTTAATATTATGGTTTTGTAAATGATGATAAGGAACCTGAAATAAGTGAGCAGTAGCTGGATCAAGAGATAATAGATCTGGCTCCAGTAAATAGTCCTGGCAATACTTTTTCATGGGCAGTCACAGTTATTTTTCCAAAACAGGAAAGATGTACTGGTGGCATGTGAGTAAAACGGTAAGTGTTTTCTGTAAGGAGTTTCTATAGACATCCCTGACACAGCCTTTCCCAGCTTGCTGTCCTCCTAAGGTGTTAGACTATAGCTTCCACGACCCCAGAAGCAACATGCTTCTTGTTGTGGGAAAGACTGTTCTGTTACATTATTTATGTTCAATCCTCTGATTCATTTTCAATGTGTAGAGACTTAGACTTGAGTTGAATATTCTTCTTAACCAGAAACATGCTCAGTTTTATGCTGTTTCTCTTGTGTTTCTAAGTGAAAACAAAATATATAACATTTCTTGGTTCTTATGGAAAATATTTCCCAAATATAAATAGATATTGGCTTGTGTCAGGAGAAAAATATTTAGAACATAATACATTTTTTCGTTTTCCATGTAGGGAGAGCGTGGATCACCTGGACCTGAAGGAGAGAAGGTACGTTCGTATCAGCCTAAACCAGTTATATCTAAAGGCTAACTGGACTATGAACCAAGAGCAGGCCTCCCTGAGAGAGAAATTTGGTGTAGTTGATAAAGTGTTGGATTTGGACCAAGGAGATGTGGGTTCAAACACTTATTAAATCAATATCCATAACTAACCCATACATATTAGGGTCAAATCTTATGCTGCAGAACTATTCAACCTTTCAATTTCTCCACTACTTATTGAGGTAAGTGGAGCAAAATCCCAAACTCTGACCATGCATTGTGGCTATGAAACTTGGTGATTTGCTGGTGGGTATTGGCAGGCATCAGATTATACCTAGCAATACTTTCTTGGATGAAAAAGCGATGGCTTATTTCATTTTCTGAGAACATAGAAGTTTACTGTAATGGAAATTTGTGTGTGTGTGTGTGTGTGTAATGGGCTAATTTTGGTGGTAATTTTTTAAAAAAAACCTTTGTGTAGTATCCTTGGCAACAGATAAAAAGGAGTTATCTGGGATGTGGTTCAATTCTTAGCTCTCAGTAGTGTATATGTTCATACCCAGACACTCTTCTTGGTCCTGCTAAACTTGTAATTTTTCTTTTTGTTCTAGGGAGAACAAGGACCTGCAGGTCGCACTGGTCCAGCAGGCAGAGATGTGAGTGTGGAATTTCACTTCGGTCAAATATGTGGTGATGCCCAAAAAGCTAAATAAGAGCGAACTGCAACTCTGCAAGATCTTTATAGACAACATGTTTACTGGTTGGGAACAACCTACCCACTTCTTTTAATTTGAACAGCCCAGAGGATTTTTGTGAGCCAAATAATATTTAAAATATTCAGAAAATGAGTAAGTCTACTGTCATAACATTTTACAGTTGCTATGTCATTAGTTTGGTTTGATATTTATATGCCATACTAAAGGTGGGAAGTAACTCTATATTTGGTGTGGACTTGAGTCTGGAAAGAAGGTCTCCACTCAGCAGCTACAAAATATTTTGGACAGAGCATTATTTGAAATGAATAAGTGGGACATGGGAAATGACCTAGTTGGTGGGTTTCTCTGTGAGCCTCTTCTTCCCATCTCAGATTCCAATCATATACTTGTTTGTTTTCTTGCCCATTGTATTTCATTTATACCTGCCCTTTGTCTGCCTTTGATTTTTTGAACAGGCCTTGCCAGGACCACCTGGGCCTCGAGGGGAAAGGGTAAGGACTCTTTAATATATACCACATATGTATGCATAGTCTGAATTTTGATGCTGAAGGAAACTGAGAATGGGACCAGCCCTTTATTTATGAAAATTGTCTGACAGTGATGTGTCTGTTTCTAACTAATTCCAACAGCATTATCACTCATGTACAGCTCTAATTGCTGTGCACTCAAGTGGACTGACTGCAGATCATTATGAAAATTCTCACGTTCACGGTACATTGGCATGTACTGAAAATGCCACTATTCCATAGGACATCCCTAGAGTTGGCAAATCTTGGTTTCTCAATCTGGATTTCTAGACTGGAAAGTGTACTGAGGAGGAAATTGTGAAACATGATTTCCAGTTCTACATAATTTCCAACCTCTCTCCCAATATAGAACTTAAGACTGCTTACAATATAACTTTGAGAAAACTTAGGTGTTATACTTCATTTTGTGGGACAATTAGTCACAGGACTACATTATTTACGTGAAAGTGAATATCATGTTTGGCATTCATCATTGTTTTCAGCTGGCCTTTATCATTTGTGATCTGCCAAGCTGTCACAGTGCCAAGCTGTCACAGTTAGCTGTTGAATTATGCTTCACAAGCTTCAAATGGTGCTGCTTTGGCCCACAGAATTCAGAATGGTTATGCCAGTCATGCCAGTCAGTCATGCCAGTCAAAAAAGGTTGACAAAGCTAAAAGCAGTAGCTCTTTCCTCTTTTAATATCCAAAAATGAGTTGTGTTCTTATTTGAGTAACAACTTCTGAGACCATGAGTTAAATTATAGCTTCACTGACAACTTCATTTATTTAGCCCCTATCCATTAGCTAGGGTCCTGATCCCATTAGTGAGGGAGGGAGTCTAAAATTGCTATGTAGTCTGATAATAGGTAAGCTAATGAAGTCTATAGTTATCCCCTTTTGTGGGGTTTTTTTAATCTCTGAGCCTTCTTCTTGTGTCACTTCTTTCTATAGGGAGAGCAAGGAGAGCCTGGTGTACCTGGTAAACCAGTAAGTAAAGTATCTCTTAGCCAAGCCAGCACAGAAAGAACTACCAGAGAAGCACACTGATGGGTGCATGACTGGATAATTGTCCAAAGTTTGTCGCCCCATCACTTTCAACACCATTATTCTCCTATTCTCTCCATCCTGAACTGGGGAGACCCTGATATCACTTTGCTGTTTCCATACAGCTGTAATAATGCACATAATTATTTATTTCACAAGGCGATATCAGTGTATGAACAGAAAAGGTCTAAGCAGCTTTTTCAAATCTGTCTCTTCTAGGCTACCAGTCTTTCGGGAATCAAAGGAGACAAGGTAATTGCATGGCAACAAATCTGTCCCAAGTAGGGATTTGATGGAACAGATAGTATAATAATGTCCACATATGGTGATTATTTGCGTAAGAGAAATTCCTTGATTGAATGATCCCAATCCCATTCTGGTTCTCCTTTTTCTAGTGGATTCATGTCTGTATTTTTGTAGCACTCCAGAAGCAGCTATACTTGCCTTGTATTAATAGGAACCAAGAGTGTTGGAGTACTGAAGCTGTGGTCTTGTTCTCCTTCTCAGGGGGAAAGGGGCTCTGAAGGACCAGAGGGGCCACCTGGGCCAAGAGGGGACACTGGAAACAAAGGAGAACGTGTGAGTGCCTTTGGGGATCAAGACTATCAACAAATGCCTCAGCACTGATTGTGAAGATGTAACATGCAAAACTTGTTTCTTTCTGGTTTTTAGTACAAACTGAAATGTTGCTTCTGCAGCTTTTGGGACAGTTGCTTAGGCACTGGTTTGTAATAATGAGGATCCTAGAAGTGCTTTTTCAACAGTGGTCTAAGCACTACTTCTTTTAAACAGGATGGAAAATTCTCCTCCCTGAGATATGCATTAATAATGTGTTGTATTTGAAATCAAATTACATCTCCTCTCTGGATGACAAGCCAAGAAAGGCCTACATTAGCAGTATTCACCCATTGAAAAGGATCCAATATTATCCCACTCACAGAGTTGCTGGGCATTCATTACTGGCTTCTGCTCAAATGTTGGCATCTAGGTCGACTCTTAAGCGATTTTATCTGCAAAATGGTCATTAAATCATTTGTTGGTCTTTTTTAGGGACCTCCAGGACTCAGTGCACCTGGTCCACCTGGTCCAAAAGGAGAACAAGGAGACAGGGTAAGGTTTTGTTTTTTCTTCTTTCCTGACTGCAGCCAAGTGGCTAGACGTGTACCCTGAAGATTATGTTGATCTCCCCCTTTTCCTTGAGGGGGAGGAACTGGCTCTGTCTCTGCTGTGTAGTGGTAACCTTTCCCAATAGAGTTTTAACCCAGTGAACTGGCAAGAATATAGTATTCTGGCCCACAGCTCTAGCAAAGTCATTATGGGCAGCCTCAGAGCTTACCGATGTGAAGCAAATCTTAGCAGCATCCTAAATGCTGACATGTAGGAAGGTGGCTCATTCCAGCCCATGGATAGCTAGGATCCTTTACTTTTTTCATGAAGCTACTTCACTTCTATGAGTGTTTTCTTTTCCTGATGCAAAACTGTAATAAGGACTTATCTCTTCTTAACAACCAGGGCATTGTTGGACTAACTGGCAAAGCTGGCCCAAAGGTAAGTGCTGCAGATAGAATTATTTATTTATTTACTTACTGTATTTATACCTCAGGGCAGCTTACATGTAGGCAAAAATTAGATGCCAAAAACACACAATAAAAACATAAACATTAAAACAATCAATTAAAACATATAAAACCTTAAAACAAATTATTTGGAATCACACAATCCTATATCGTAGTCCACGGCCGTTCCGGTTTGTCGTTCCACTATTTCATCTTTCCTTATTGTAGTGATAGATTACTCACTGAATGCTTGATCAAACATCCACGTTTTTAGCCTTTTCCTAAAGGACAGGAGGGAGGACCCAATCAAATTTCACTTAAGAGGGAGTTCCATAGCTGAAGGGCCACCACTGAGAAGGCCCTTTCTCTCATCCCAACAAACGACACCTGCAAAGGAGGCAAGAACGAGAGCAGGGCCTCCTCAGAAGTTCTTAATTTTCTTGCCTTCTCATAGAGAGAGATACAATCGGACAGGTAAACTGGGCCGCAACCATTTAGAATGAAAGGACTTATAGGATGTTGTTGGGGTCCTAGTTTCGCAGATGGGGTTTGCTTGGGTGTCATATTACATGATACTGTATGGTTAATATTACAAGAATGTTGATATAGTATGGGTTTGATTTCAAGTATGCTATAGAAAACTTACTTGCACAGATTTTTTAAAAAGTGTATTATAAATTACAAAAAGTACAATAAGATATATAGATAGACAGGGAGAGAGAGAGAGAGAATAGAAAAGTCAGGATAAAGAAATAAAATCATAAACTTCAAGAAATATAAGAAATAAAGACTGCAGGCTACTCACTCATAAAATATATGTTTCACATTTAATCCATCTATGAGACAAGGCATTAGATCAAGTAGAAAAGGTTCAGGTTCAGACACTTGGGATGCATTGATGATCTTCCAGAAAGCGGGGGGGGGGGGGGGGGGGGGGATGCAGAAAAGTGTATTATCTTCTCTTGTTTTATGAGGAGAAGATAGTGCTGTGTTGAAAGATAATGATGGTCAAAGATCAGCCAATAAACATCATAGTTCAGCCTGAATGTGATCCCAAACTTCCCATCCATAATTAGCATTTACATGACATGTCATTTCTGGCAGTGGTTCTCAACAGCTTGGGTATAGGTGATTAGTAGAAGACTGTAAACAAGTAGTTTTTGTCTCCTAAGGTGTTTTCGAACTGACAATATTGACTTTCCATTGGAATATATTTCTCTTCTTTAGGGTGACCCAGGAGACCCTGGGGAGAGGGGAGAGCCAGGAAGACCAGGCCCTACAGGACAGACTGGCCCACGAGGAAAAGATGTGAGTGAGAGGGGAAGGACTATCCTCATGATTCTAGTCCATAATTAATTTTTGCACACCAAAAATATATCTCAACCTAATCATTAATTTAATGAAATTTAAGACATTAAATTCATTTTATTGTTGAAGGCTTTCATGGCCGGACTCACTGGGTTGTTGTAGGTTTTTCTGGGTTATATGGCCATGTTCTAGAGGCATTTTCTCCTGATGTTTCACCTGCATCTATGGCAAGCATCCTCAGAGGTAGTGAGGTCTGTTGAAAGTAGGAAAATGAGTTTATATATCTGTGAAATGACCAGGGTGGGACAAAGGACTCTTGTCTGCTGGAGTTAGGTGTGAATGTTTCATCACTCAACAAAAGTTTCCCCCAGGCACTGCCAAGCCATCAAATGCTAATTAAGGTGGTCTTTTGGCCCCATATGTTGGAACCAATGTCACTGATAAATTTACAACATTCAGATCAGTTACCATAAGTTGCACTAATTACATAAGCCAACAAGTATTTTTCATCAAATATAATTTTAGGTCATTCTTACAGAGTTTTTTGTGCTGAATTCAGATCTGGGTTTATTTTTTCCTTATCACGTGTAGTTTTTGCAATGAGGCTAATCAAATAATTAATGCATTTACACACTGATATCAATAGAATATAACTGATATCAATGGGTAAATGCATTAATTATTCAATTAGCCTCATCACAAAAATTGCACATGATATTGAAAACATAAACAGATCTGAATTCAGCACACAACAACTCTATAAGAATGACTTAAAATTATATCTGATGAAAAATACTTGTTGGCTTGTGTTACACAGATATGATGTGAAATGTGCTGACTTTACAGTAGTTCGCTGTAATGTGTAGTTCGCTGTAATGATTAAAATTGTACTACTCTCATTTCTGATTATTACAAAAAGTTTGATTTTGTTGCTTTGTGTTATGGAAAACAGGCTCCAATTGTGGTTGTACTTCCCCTAACCATTTGCTTTGCTGGTTGGGCCTGGTCATTCTCTGCATCAATATCATTGGAAACCTTCATGAACCTCATTGTCGTCATTCCCCACATCCAAAGCACCCTGATCCTTAAACACAATCACAGGCTGAGCTCCAACAGCTCTTATGTTTAACAAAACACTTTTCTTTGTTTCCTTGCTGAGCAAAACACTTTTTCTTTTACACAGAGAATTAAATATCATTTTTACTTGATTCTAATGCTCACCTTTTTTGCCTTCCCAAAATTAGGGTGCACATTAGATTTGTGTAATATGGTTATATACTTTTTTGAGTTTCAGAGTTTTGAAAATTGAAGTGTGCATTAGATTTGATGGTGCATTAGACTCAAGTAAATAGGGTAGTTACAATGAGACAAAACTGTATTTTAGATTATTGGATCTAAAGTGCATGGCATGAAATAAAACCAGTATTTCATCGTTATCATCATTATCAATGAAAAGTTATAATGGATTCCTCAAGACACTCCAAGTTGCCTTCCAATTAATTCTTTCAAACAAGATGGCAGAGATGTGTTTGCAGCATGCACAGTGCCTTTGAAATATCAATGCCTTCGGCTGCACAGAGTAAAGACATCACATTATCTAACAAGAATATTAATTTGGGGTTCTGAGAGTTGAAATATGGGGCCTGTTGAAAGTGTTTTGTTGAAGTGATAACAGCAATGATGGAAGCATTTATTTCTCCTGTGAATTCTTCCTTTTAGGGGGAAAGAGGTGACAAGGGAGATGAAGGGACTCCAGTAAGTAACAGTCTCTGTTTGCTTGTTACGAATGCTGATATGCTGGAGCATTCTCTCACTGCACTCTTTCTCTTACTTCCTCAAGGGAGAACCAGGTCCAATTGGCAAACCAGGAGAGAGAGGACTACGGGTAAGTGCAATGGAGGCAACACCTATGTTGTGATTCACAAAGAATAAGAATGACTGGAAATAATTATGTTCCATATGAGTGGAAATATGGTTGTGTGGTTAGCATGTTTTATAGTGCTGGATATTGTAATCCACTCCTATAAAAACTCACTGGTCTGGATGAAGGCTTTGGAGATGCAGAGTGGTTTTTGCATATTGTTTCTTTCTTCCCACCACTTGTCTGGTCCCAACCTGAATGGTCATTTGCCTCAGCCATTGACTGGTATTGCTTACTGGGAATGGAATTTATAATTTGAAAGATTTTGATATACAGATGATCTATGTCCTTGGGCAAATCTGGTAACTATTAGTTTGAATGACTATCAGCATTACATTTTGCAATTCTCTGGGGTTTAAGCCTTTGTTGTTATGTTGCTACTTTGAACTGATTGCATCCAGTTTTTCCTTAGCATTCCCATAAGACTTTGCTCCTAGCTTTCCTCTCCCCACTTAAATTTGACTTGATTGCATATTTACTTTCTGTTTTGTCTTTCATTTTTCAGGGTCTACCAGGGAACCGAGGGCCCCTTGGTGAGAAGGGGGACCAAGGGGACCCAGGTGAAGATGGGAGAAATGTAAGATTACATTTTGCTCCTCAGACTCTGTTGCCATGCCTTGTTACCTAGCCCTGTCTTTACCATGTTGTTTCTCCTTCTTACAGGGCAGTCCTGGAGCAACAGGACCAAAAGGAGATCGAGGAGAACCTGTAAGTAGCCATTCCAGTCTTACTGTTATGCACATTACACTAGTATGCTAAATATGGTAAAGGGATGTTAAATACTATTTGTGTTGCTTCTGGAGTTAACATCCAGACTCTAGGAAAATGTATTGGTCTGAAGACCCCTTGTGTAGCAACCTGGCAGCTCTGAGTTCGGTCAACATAATTTGAGACTTCTCTGTTCTGCCATTTTAAAAGGCAGGGTATAGATGTTATAAATCAAATCGAAAAGATTAATCTAGGTGGACATGTCTGTGTCTTGGCTTTCATCTTCTGCAAAATGCTCTAAAGGAGACCTAGAGCCAACACAGTTCCTGATGGATATGTTTGAAAGCGCACACATATACAGCGTTCATCAGGAACACTTCTTCTTGCAGAAAAACATGTATTACAGTCCTTTGCTCTTGATTAGCTATATCCCAAGTACTACAGAGTACCCAGCTAGTGTTTTAATCCGTACTGTTCTCTCTCCCTTCTTCCCTTCAGGGACTACCAGGACCCCCAGGCCAGGGAGTAAGTTATGTGTTTTTCTCTCCTATGTTTTGTTTTGATTTCACAATAGCAAGAGTCTGACATGCTACTCTCCTTTTCCGCTCTTTAGGTTGGCGTGGGAGCTGTAGGAGGAGGGCAAAAAGGCGAGAAGGTAATCCTGCGTTGAGATCCCAGTATCCTTTAGTGCTGGAAGGCTGTGATCTTTGGATTGTGTCCTCTTTGAAAGACTGGAAAGGAAAAATAGCATGCTCTACAAAAAGAAGGCTTTTCAGGGTTAAATTAGATGTGGCAGTCAGTATTTCTTTGTGTGTAATATATAGAGTGGATTTCTTAAAATGCAAATACCATCATCAGCATCATAGTAGGTGTAATCACAGAGGAGGAATTCAACTCATTCCTCCTGTGCTGTCTTCCTAAAGAAAGTTCCTCCTCTTCTCTTTATAATGGGAAGAAGTCCTCCATTGGCACCTATACAGTCCTCCTGCCTTTGGTATTGGGGGTAATATATTGCCATCGTCACTAGTAATTACCAATAGTTTTATCATCCATGAATTTGATTAATCCTGTTTCAACACTGTCCATGTTGATGGTCATCACTGTGGTAGCACTGCATGACTGTTTCTATTTCAGGGGGAGGTAGGAGACCCTGGAGAGGATGGGATGAAAGGTGTGAAAGGAGAGGCCGGTTTACCTGGGCTGACAGGAGAACGGGTAAGTTCTTTTCTGGAGAGCATCTTAATAGGTCCAACAAGGCATTTTAAAGTAAAGGGATATATATCGAATGAAATTTGGGCTAATGGACACAAGTAGAGCTTAGAGAAAAAAAGTTTGGGATGTGGTAAGACCACAAGCAAATGCTGGAGTTTAGAATGAGTTTAATATGGTTTCATTGTAAATTATTATTATTTATTTCATACACTTGAACCCTGCCCTTCTCACCCCTGAGGGGGGAACTCAGGGCGGCCTCACAGCAAGCACCATTTGGTGCCATCACAATCATAAAAACATTCGACAAATTCATTAAATCATAAAGGATAACATCTAGATAGAAAGGCAGACACTAACATTCTGATTCTTTCAAATGAATGGTGCATAGCAGTGGTGTATGCTCTTTGATTAAGAAATTTACTAGTAAATAGTGAGTACAGGCAAGATTTGATTATGGGGTAAATTGAGGGGAGATGGAAAAGAGGCATAATGAGAAAAGGTGAGTGTATAAGGCATAAAACAATGAGTTCAGATGGCCTTGACATGATGTAGGACTGTCTGTATAGGAAGCAGGGGTGCAGTATTTTCTTCTCACCGCATATTGCAGAGAGAGACTTCTTTTTGTCCATTCTTGCAGGGAATTGAAGGTTCCAGAGGTCTCCCTGGAGTTCGTGTAAGTCTTTTCCCGTCCATCTTCAAAAGGAACAATATATCCCACTTTCCCAGTGGTTCTTAAAAACACACCGCTCACTTCTAATAAGACATTTTTGAATAAGGCATGTACTTCATTTTACAGGGTGACACTGGAGATCGAGGCCCAGTAGGAGAGAAGGTAGGAAGCTTTCACTTAAAGTCATATGCCAGAAAATGTGAGGAAAGAAAGGGCAGTGTCGTGGAAAGAACTATGGAAATATACTGATTGTGTATATCAAGTTGCCTTTATGATTTTCCTGTGCATGGTTTGTTACCTAATGCAAAATTGTGGTATATATTTTGAAAAATGTAAACTTCTGCAGCCTGAATATAGGGGCATGCATGTTACTTTAGACAGGGGATGGGTGTGGGATGGAGGTCTGTGTAAGAAACATTAGCTTGAAAGAATATGATGAAATTGCTAATATAATGTCAGATCTCTGACAATTTGCATACACCGTGAAAGCCAAAACCACACATGAGGAGGGGCAATTGTATGTCTATTGTAATGAAATATTGTAAGAGAATATTAAAGTGCTTTCTCATTCCCCCATGTTAAAAACTCTGAAAGTTCAATACTTTCAAGTGCTGAACTCAGGATTAGGCAAAGTGAGTTTTCAAGGAGAAAAAATGTCCTATATGCCCTCTAGATAACGTGAGCAACTGGGTAGTGCTAAAGAAGTATTCAGGCATTTGGGACTTTAATTTTTTTTTAATTGACTTATCTTTGCAGGAAGGAGGGGTGGGAGTGTTTGAGGGACTAACATTTCTGCTGAAGGGTATACCAGTAAGGAGTGTTTACAACAAGGATCTATTTAATCACATTGAGCCATCAGGATTAAGAGTAGGGATTCAAGCAAGAAGGGATGGAATGTGGGATAGGAACATTTGAAAATAACCAGTGAGATTTTTGCTAAAGGAAGTTGAGCAAAGAGGGTTTAAAGGAGGAATCCATTGAATGGGCATGAGTAATGAGTATTTAAACAGTGATTCACACAAAGGAGGATGTAAGGAAGGATGGGAGCATTTGGAGAGGCTAAAGGTTACAAAATGCTTCTGAAGTGATCTTTTTAGTTTTTCATTATAGTTCTTGTTTCAAGACTTTCGATTATTTTGTTGCAAAATATTGGATAGTTTTTGTTTTCAAATGTTGTCTAGATCTTTCATACTTTTTATTTGACATCTCCCAAAGGTGCAGAACAGAAAGTCCTCTCTTCTTTACTTTTTAATTCTCCTTTAGGGTGACCGAGGCCCTCCAGGTTTAGATGGACGGAATGGGCTAGATGGCAAGCCTGGGCAAACGGGTCCTGCAGGCCAAAGGGTAAGAATGAAGGATAACAGTGTATGACCATAATGACAAATTTTTGCTAAAACACTGCCACTTTATTTTTATGCCCAGTCAATTATTCTGGTGAGCTTCTGCCAAAATACTACAGGGAACAACTGAGCAACTGCACTGGGCACTAAAAGTGCTCCAATCTTCTCCAAGCTGGAAGCATTTCTTGTTCCCTAGTTTCATGAGCATTCAAAGCAAACATACTAGTATACCAAAAAGTTCATTTCATTTGTTATCACAGCAGTTGGGGTGTTCTTTAGCAAATGTTGCTTGAAGTCACCTTGCTACAATTGTAAACTGCATAGTTCTTATATCTGTTTAAGACACTGATGGATGAGACAGGCTGGATTTCTAGACATAAGTGCAACTCACTCTGTATTCATCCGTGTGAACACCTGACTCTAAACACAAGATCTGAACACTTATGATGCCTTCCCCTTGAGAGTTCAAATTTCTTTTATTATGGTTTTGTGCAGTATTTTATTGTGTGAGTCTTCGTGTCTCTCAAAATAATTACCTTGTGCTGCCCTAAGAGGCACAATGCTTACAAACATGTAATTGGAGGCTGCAGGCATGAGAATGGGGCAATGTCTCATTTCTGATCAGTTATATATATTCTTCTTTTTTCTTAGGGTGACCAAGGGAAGCAGGGTGACCCTGGCCGAGATGTAAGTATGGCAGCCCTCCAATATGAAGTTATTCCTCCCCCTCCAATGCTGTTTTAGGAGTCAAGCTCTGCTTGAAAATTAACATTTTGCAGTGTTGCACTGGCACATCCTTTATTGTTTGAGCTACTTCTGGGTGTCATTAAATAAATTTCTGGTAGTGATTTGAAGGTTTTATGTTAACTGTTGAAAAGTCTGGATAAGATGGAGTTGATCTCCCTCTCTCTTCTTTGAGTTGATTTCTCTAGAAAGTCTACCAGAAGCCAAATTATCCATTCATCTTGCTCATGCCATTTTCCATGACATTTACTTTCTATACTAACATTACAAATGGGCTTTGAGAATAATGCATTCAAATGCCAAATTTCACCTTACCTGTTCTTTTCTTTAATCTGGCAGTCCAATTTTCTCTCACACACCAAGAAAACACTCTTACTTCTATACCTCCCATTGCTACCATTCATTGTAAGCTATTACCAAACATACTTTTGACATTGGTAGGTATGGAGTGGAGATGTCAAAAATATGTTTGGTGATAGCTTTTGTTCTTGGCGCAATCATCTCTTCCAATGAGTGCCAGAATAGCAGTATTCTCCATTCATCCAGGCCCTTTTGGAGCAGGGCTCAATGATCTTGACCTTGATCTGAGATTTCCTTCATAAGATTCACACTATTTTCTACTGCTCTCAAATTATTTCTTTTACATTTTTTTCTGTTCACATCCTTTCCACACTTCTGAAAAGGATTTATACATGCCATAGACTCAGTACTTCCAGGACTCATGAAACCTTATTCATTTCCATCATATCCATCCTCCCTTTGAAAAAAAAGAACAAGCCTACCAGCTTAGCTTGAGGGATAAAAGCTATCCATTTTCATGCCATATGAGTCCTTGGGGCTGCCTAAGCCATCCCATGTTACTGTTCCTTCTACCAGATCTACAACCATATCTGTGGCCTTCTTGACTAATGCTCTCTGCTGGGTAGCGGTCAAGTGAAATCTTTCTGCGTTCCCCAGGCATTATAAATTGAACAAGTTTGCCTCTGCAGAGTGTTTGAGTGCTTTAAGAGGTTCCTCTATTCCTAAAGTGCCACTACTTGCCTCCTTCTGGTTTGCTGTACATAAGAACAGGCAGAGGAGCTGGGGATTACGCATACAATCCTACTCTTCCTTTCCTATGGTCCTATCTAGCCTGGTTAGTGGCAGAAGACAGCACAATCCGAGATATCTCTATCTTTCATGTAAAATAATAATTTTTACAGTAAATAACAATTATGACATTCTCTTCTGCTATACTTCTTCAGGGTCTTCTTCACACTGATTTTTGTCTTTTTACAGGGTCTCCCAGGTCTACGTGGTGAGCAGGGTCCTCCTGGAGCAGTTGGCCCACCGGGACCACCAGGTCTACCTGTGAGTCATGCGGTTAAAGTCACTGGATATCTTCCTGTATCATAATGTGGAGCAATAGCTTTTGTCAATTTTATTTTTCACATATAGACTTTCACTACAAATATGATTCTGTTTTATGTCTTACCTGGAATATTCAAATTATGTTTTATTAATACGAGTAGGAACAGTGCATTGGCATGAACGTTATTGAGAAACAGCCTTATTGTTTGCAAAGATCATTGGTAGTTGGTGTATTTAAGGCGGGCCTTCTGCTTTGCTGCTGGTACTCCAAAGAGGCAGAAGACTGGGGTGCATAGCTTTCTGTGATAGTAGGCATTGCTCGTATTGTGTTGCCATTGTTAGAGATCTCAGCCTTCTGCAACATTTAATGTTAGACTGCTGTTGTTAAGTGGCACAATCACAATGAATAGCTACTATGTTTTGGTGTATCTGGCATAGATTGTTACTATGTTAGAACACAACCAGTGTTGAACTAACTCACAGATTTACACTGTAAGTCACAGGTGTAAATGCAATTCTGTGACCACTTGGGTTAGAGATGACCAAAGAAACTAGGCACAAGAAAACCAGATAATCTGTCAGATGAAAAGTTCTTTATCTTATGTCATTATTCAAAATAAATAAATCCAGATGGAAGCTAAGGAAGAAAGAAGTATTTTGTGAGAACATGTCTAACACATGTGCTACTCCACATGGAGCTAAGCATGTTCTCTGGTACAGTAGAGTTTTGCTTATCCAATGTAAATGGGCCGGCAGAACGTTGGATAAGCAAAAATGTTGGATAATAAGAAGGGATCAAGGAAAAGCCTATTAAATGTCAAATTATGTTATGATTTTACAAATTAATCACCAAAACATCGCAATGTATTGAAACAGCTATGGATCCAGGCGGGAGGCAGACAGTGTTGGCTAATGCAGAACATTGGATGAGTGAAGGTTGGATAAGCGAGACTCAACTGTAACTATACTTGTGCAGCCTCTATGAATCTTGCTATTTTCTCTTCACAGGAAAGATTCTCTTCTATGGCTAATGTTTGTGGTTAATGTCTTTTCTAGGGAAAGGCTGGCGATGATGGTAAACCAGGTCTGAATGGGAAGAATGTGAGTGATGGGTTACATTCTGCCACCCCCTCCCCATGATCCCTGCTGGAGAACTGAGGTTTCAGGCCTCATGGGCAAGGGAGTGTATTCCTTGAATCTCATAGCAGTTAAGGGAGTTAGAACTATGCTCATACATAGAATACACAAAGAAATTTTCCCTTTTATTTTTCAGGGTGAAGATGGAACACCTGGTGAAGACGGGAGGAAGGTAAATGGCCTACATGCTCTTCAAGTATTTCAAGTATTTTATACAATCTTCCAGCAGTCTAGCAGAACATGGGGTCAGTCCAGTTTTGAAGGAAAGCCCATAACATGGATTATTTTCTTCTTCCACCCTCAAAGGCAGTAGCTAAAATCAATAAAGACTCAAATTAAGGAAACTGAATAAAGTTAGAGGATTAAAATGTTTACTGCTGAATACAGGTTAAGATATAATTACACTGTTTTGGGTCTCCGACCTGCACTTGTTTATTTCTGCTAATTTTATTTTTAAACATGTTATTGCAAACCTTGGAGTTCTGCCAAGTTTTAGTACATAAAGATCCACACTCAGAGGACAAGTTTATTGTTAGTATATAGAATATATAGTTACCTCAGGACCCCTCCACACAGCCATATAACCCAGAATATCAAGACAGAAAATCCCACACTATCTGCTTTGAAATGGGTTTTCTGAGTACACACTGCCATATATTCCAGTTCAAATCAGATATTGTGGGATTTTATTCAGCTATGCAGAAGGAGCCTCAGTGGCATGAGTCATTGGCACATTTGCTACAATCCAGACAAAGAAGTTAAGACACATAGAAAACTGTCTCTTTCTCCGTACACAAAATCAAACTATTATAGATGCCTTCTGTACTTCATATCCAGTGGACTGTTAAAGAATACAGTTTCTGTTCCAAGTACAAGAGTTATTGTTCATTGCTGTTGTAACACCAGTGGGACATAGGATCTTACCCAGTCCAATGAGCATCACATTCAGTTTAACCCATAGACAGCAGATTCTAAAAGATATACTATTTAGCAGATAATGGAGCATGATAAGAATGCCACTTTCACATTTAACTTCTGATGAAAAATGCTTGAGGTTGTAGCTTTACTACTATTGACCTGGAATATCAGATGAAGCATGAAAGGATAACCGTAGAGTTACTTATATTGAATGACATATTTTGTTTTCCTTATTTTGGCTAGGGGGACAGAGGTGAACCTGGAACACCTGGAAGAGATGTAAGTACCACTGCTTGGCCAAATGCATGTGCAACCAAGTTATTCGACAGATATGCCTCATTTGTCGCTCCCATATTTAAACTACTAACAATATTCAATAGAGAGCAAGGCCTTCAAATTACAAGTAGCAATCCAAATCACAGTAATCTTATTACCATAGCTAGAAAGTTAGCTAAGAAAATTGTTGTTATTGTTATTATTATTATGTTTATTATTATGTTTTTTTACACCCCGATTTTTCTCTCCACAAGGTGACTGTCTAAAATGATAAATACATGTTCTGGCTTCTATATTGGGAAAATGTATTCTTCCTAAGAATATGATGCCTTCCCCTTAGGAGAGGTTATTTGAATAACACGCAATACTTACACAGTAGTTTTTTATGTCTTTATATGAGAATATCACAGTTTAGATCAGGATTTCTTAAACTTTTCCACTCAAGAACCCTTTTGACCCAATAGATGTATTGTATACGTGACTCCAGGTATATAGTTATATAAAATAGGTATAAAAACTAAACATTTACTGATAACAAATAAGCATTTGCAAGGCTTGCTAAACAAGGCTTGCTTTTCTTTTTTTTTCTTTTTTCTTTTCTTTTTTTTTCTTTTTTTTTTGAAGTACAGCTGAAGCATCTTCTGCAGAGACCACTGTAAAAAATGCACAACAGTTAGTGTAAATGTCTAAAACAACAATTTGGTGGTGTTTAGAAAACTTTCACTGTTACCAATTTTTTAGAACTCCAACATTGAGCTAAGGGGACACCATTTGAGGTTGAGATCCACAGTTTAAGATGCAGTGGTCTAGAAAATCCCTATGATTGATACTGGTTGTAGGAATAACAGTGGGGAGAAGGCTGTTTACAGCTCATCCTCTCTGGGCTGAGGAAGACAGTAAGCTCGACTGCCTTTCTGGCAAAACCTATGAAATGGGCTTCCACAGCCTGGTGTCCTCCATGTGTATGGCAGTTCCCCAGCCAGGAAAAGTTAACCAAAGCGTTTATAAAGGGAGCACTAGATTCATATTGCAGGGTTTCTGACACCTTAAGAGCTGATTTTAGCATTTCATGTATAGAAGGATGCATTTTCAATCTATTGCATGTCTAGTTATAAAGGATCTCAAATAACAGGACTTGGAAACAGCTTTGCCTCAATCTTTGTTAAGCATCGGCTAGATGGATCTCTTCTAAGACAGCTGTTTATATGTTACATATAATTCTGTTTGTTCTTCTTTTTTGGCAGGGACGGGAAGGTATTAAAGGAGAGCGAGGGACTAGTGGGCCCCCTGGTCCTCCCGGACCCCCTGGTGCCCCTGGTGCCCCTGGAGTCGTTGGTCCACCAGGACAGGTGGGTAGCCTCTGCCTCTCAAATTTACCTGCTATCAGATGTGTCTTTACTGTCTTTGTCACCAGAAATGGACAAACTATTCTGGGAAACAGAACTGAAAGAAGAATTAGTTCTCTAGGTCATAGTAGGGGACATTTTAGATTCCTAGAATATACTTTGTTATTTGCCTTTAAAAAAAATCCCCAAATATGCCTAAATGCCTTCTAGGGGGCTCTGGGCCAAATTAGGCCCAGAAAGAAATTTCCTGGAAAAAAAATCACTTATTTCCTATATAAAAGGGCCACTCCTGGATCTAGAATACCTAGGGTATTTTGAGTATTTTTGCAGAGAGTGAGATTTGAAGGGCAGCCCTATTAAGTCTCCAGGGTGGGGGTGATGCTGTAATGCCCTTAGCCTCCAGGGTATATAAACCAAATCTTAACAAAGGCAAGAGATTGATGCAAAGTGTGATGAAAATTGCAACCCTAAGCACATTTGACTGAAATTAAATTATATTATGTTCCGTGTAATTTGTTTCCAGATAGAAATGAATAGAGTGGGTTATGAGATATGGATATCAGTGCTGGACGCAAATCTTAGCGCAAATTGCTTAGAATGTTTCATGAACCTAGAACTCTAAATAGCTTTTTATTTGGTTTTAGCAGAGAAGAGAGCTTAAATCATACTTCAGATACACATGGGAAACCTTAATCTACAAATCTTAGCAAAACCCACATGAATAGGGTCTGATTTAATTATTATTTCCTTACTTACTGGTCTTGTTTTTTTTTAATTTATTCAAATTGAAAAAATGCACAATTTTTGACTTATTTATTATTTATTTATTTGCTTTATTTCTATACCGCATTTTTCAGCCCTTAACAGGCGACTCAATGCGGACTTTGCATGCATTATCCTTTAATGTCTTCATTTTGTCTAATACTGTATTCCTCATCAAAATAAACAATAGTGGGGAGTAATCATGTCTTGCTCCCTTCTGGATTTTGCATGAGTTTTTAAAATCTCCATTCACTTTTTGCATATTGAGTGCTGTAAATTGATTTTATCCGTTATATATAATTGGCACCAAAATCCATCTTATCTATTATGGATGTAAAGAACTCCCAATTCAGTTTTTCAAAGGTTTTTTCATCATCCAGGAAGATTAACGCTGCTTGCTTTTCATATTGATTGCTCTAAATATTCTATGATGTTTATGACTTACTGACCTTGTTTTGTCTGATTGTTTTCAGAGTTTGCCAGGCCTCCCTGGGACACCTGGACCAAAGGTAAAGATATTCTTCTGCTGCAGCTTTGTCCTTCAATAGTTGTAGAAGGAAGGCCACTAATGCAGTGATGCTCTCACCTCCTTGGGGACCGAAATCTTTCTATGTGTGTCAGATTTCTGGGATCCCCCAAAAGGTTGAGTCCTCACATTATTTTAGGAAATACAGTGAGAAAAGATTGCCCTTGGACCAATTTTATCAGAAAATATGATGAAAATAAAATAGAATGAATGCCTATAGAGAATTCGTGCTTTTGTCTCGGTATATATAAGTATGGAGAGCACCATTCACCTATGGTGACATGACATGTCTTTCTGAATAGTCCTCATCATGGAGTAGGACTCTGGCACCTAGGACTCAGAGCAGCTTTATCTGGAGTCAAAATTGGATTTCTTCCTGACATACTGCACTCTAGCTTTTCATTCTCATTCTGTTTTCAGGGAGACAGAGGGGATTCTGGAGCCAGAGGAGAGAAAGTGAGTATTTTTCCATGTTTCATCATATAGTTAAGAATTAATTCCTCTTCACAACATTGGTGTTCTCTATAGAAGGATCATTCATTAGGCAACATTTCATTTTGTAACAGCCTTAGTTTTTGTGACTGTATTTTTTAAAAAGCCTATTATCAGCAGTGATATATGTTTCACACCCCTCTTCCCTTTTTTCATGTCCAACAGTGCAAATGTGCAGTTTAACTTAAGGTAAACTGGCCTTTGGTGGAATCTAATGCATATTAGAATCTGAGATTACTGAAAACCGCTAGTAGTCCAAGTGGGTTATGAACCAATCCACTGCACCAAGTCTTTTGACATGTAATTTAGTAAATCTTTAATTTTATGGGTGTGACCAATAAAGCACTTATTCGCTGCACATAAACCATGCATCATGATGCAAGACAGTCGTCCTCCATCTGTGGACCTTGAGGTGTTGACAGAATTCCCAATCTTTATGTTGAGTGGGTCTTCAGTAACCAAAGCCCCAAACCTTTGGAAGACTACAGTTTTGAGAACCCCTGATGTAATGTACTTAAAAGTCTTCTAAAATCTAGATAATCCATTGGGAAATAGATTTTAAAAATCCTTCTAACTGAAGATTTTATGAGAGAGAAGAATAGGAGGTCTTGAATGGTTCCTGCTAGATTTATTTGACTCTTTGAATTACGTCTTAGTACTGTAAGGAATATTTCCTTTCCTGCTTTTGCAGTGTGAGAGGCAACCAAGAGATTTTGTAGCTACACATAAGTCACTTACTCTGTTTTGCTTTCCTTAGGGGCTAATGGGTGAACCTGGGCCACGAGGAGACCCTGGCACAGCACAGGTGAGCTTCTTTCTCCTGAGAAAGAAAGAGCCCAGGCTGGCATTTTACTGCAGGCTGAATTGGCTGGGATTCTGAGGGATGGTGGTGGCAGAGATTGCCCACTTGTAAGTAGTTAGCATGGCTTGAATCCTACAGACATATGCTCTGCAGCTATGGAAACTGGACAGAGGACAGTAGCGTAGTCAGAACATTGGCAAAAAGGCATGTTATAGATGGTGATGATAACAATGACAACAGTGATTTGCAATCATAGCAGCCATCATGTAAGACAAACACTAGATATGATTATGTTTAATCTTTATTTTTCATTCTTCTTCTAAAGTTTTTGTTGATGGTGTTTTTCCTCCTTTTATCTAGAATGTTGAACGTGCCCTAGAGACCTATGGTATCAAGGTAGGAATTAGTAGTTATATTTATCCAGATGTTATTTGCTCATTTGCGTATTTATACATTCCCTTCAGCAAAAAGTTCCTATAGCAGCTTACAAAGCATTCAGGTGAAAGTTCCTTATCCTCAGATTTATAATCTAAATAAGACAGAACAGATAAGGAAAAGAGAGTGGTGGGGAAGGGGATTGGATTCAGCATGTACTCCCTGCACTTCTGTCCTTGAGGCCAGAGCAATGGCAGTTGGGACATCAAGGAGGGTCTTCTCACCAGCCACTGAGGCAAGTACATGATAAAGTGCTGACTGCTCTTCTCTTTCTCAGAGGCCAGCGTGGAATTTTGGGAATTGTAAATTGCTTCTCTTTACCCTATTTCAACAGATTTCCTCACTGCGTGAGATCACTGGTGCTTATGATGGGAGCTCTGACCAATTGCTCCCTGATCGCCGGAAAGGCTTGAAGGGTGACAGAGGAGATCCAGGTGATAGAGGACCACCGGGCAAAGATGTAGGTTGAGCTTTCCACGTACAAATTGCAGCCTCTGCTCTTACCTTTTAATCTGTATCAAGGAAGGTTCTTAACATAAATGGTCAATAGGAAAATTCCAAAATAAATACAGCATAATAGTCCAATGTTGAGATTGACACAATTAAATTAGAGTCAAATGGATTTAGAAAAATTTCCCAATAAATTTTGAAATTGTTAAATGATGTTATTATTAACTTTATATTATTTATACATTAGTTCACTAAGAGAGTGCATGCTTGGAAAGTTTTGTTGCTTTTGCAACAAGAAACTTCGATATGTTTTCCTACATTGAAAGCAGCCTTTGAGGAATGAAGCATGGAATAATAGGATAAGGTAGAACTATGGATATACCTCTGTTTGTTCATTGGATACTTTCCTGTGCATTACTTGTTTGGTGCCAAAATTACATGGAAAGAAAGAGCAATTCAATGTGTTTCAGCAAACCCTTTAACAATATGTTCCTGTGAAGTGAAAAATACAGGTCAGGAAAGCTTGCAAACATAATGAAAACAATATTTAATTGTCTAGCGCCCACCTGAATGCTTCTTTTAAAGTGCATTCAGGGATTGATCTATCTTTCTTCTTCCCTCCCTCCCTCCCTCCTCCCTCCCTCCCTCCCTCCCTTCCTTCCTTCCTTCCTCTAATCTCTAGTTTGCTGATTATTTCTATTTTGTACCCAAACATATAGATCAATATTTTTTGGTTAGCAAGCTAGCATAGCTAACGAGGCATGTTTCTCTTTTATTCTCCTTTTCTCTGTTTTCTGTTCACACATTTGGAGGTATATTTTACCAGAAGATGATTAAAACCACAGTTTTGAATATGCACTGAGTCTTTTGAATCCACATATGATTTGTTCTTTTGTTTTTCAATTGACAATTAAACCAGATCTTGTAAACCCAACAAATTAAATATTAAAATCAAACTCAGTCTGGCAACCTGTTTTTCCATTTTGTATTTTTGATCCAAGTCTAAAATTGGCATAATGAAAAACACTGCCTTTTTCGCTTTTAAATTATAATTATAATTATAACTTTATTTATATCCCACCACCATCTGCCCGGGGGAACTCTGGTGGCTAACACATATAAAACATAAAATACAGCCAGATATTTGCAATAAAAATATCTTGCAATAAAACAATTCTGATTCAAAATCCAATAACATGCTTTTGTTTTTTTTATTTTTGATGGTTAATGGTTAATTGGAAACTGAAAGAAGAAGTGATACACAGATTCATATGGACCTCAATGTTTTGCACTTCTGAATAACTGTTAGTGTTATTTTCCTTTTCACATATTTTGAATTTTTGAATTTAGAAGTTAGGGTGAGCATTTAATAGTGATTAATATGTCATGTTTCAAATGAGCCTAGATACGTTTAATCTTCCAGACTTTTTCTTCAATTTATGTGGTCTTAAAATATGAAAGGCAGAGTGATTATTGTAAAAACTTATTTAGATTTATTTGTTTTCTGCATGAAGAAATGACATTTTTCAAAATTTCATTAAATAGTTCATTTGCATTTGATGTTAATGGTTCAAAGAATGTCAGGCTGAATGGTTGGCCCCTACACATTTACACCTCACCAAATATTCGTATGTTTCCTACAGGGGCTCATTGGCTTCCCTGGAGAAAGGGGGGCCAAGGGAGAGAAGGGAGACCAAGGCCAACCAGGCCCCCAAGGCCCAACGGGACGTGCCATTGGAGAAAGAGGACCAGAAGGACCATCTGGTCAACCAGGGGAGCCTGGGAAACCAGGAATTCCAGGTGTGCCAGGCCGTGCAGGTGAACTTGGAGAAGCTGGCAGGCCTGGAGAGAAGGTATTGTCAAAGAGAGAATGGGAAAGAATGCTCATCAGTTGGGAAGGCACCAAATGGGACAAGGAGCTCTAAAGGCCCAAGTACTATTGGCCTACCCCCCCACTGACTTCATCATGACTTCATGTTTCAGACTTCATCATGTCATTGTGGTCTTGGCATGAGATCATACTAAGGTCATCCCACTCGGAGAACCCTTCTTGCTGTGCTTCCATTGAGTGGGATGATCTGGGAAAACTATGTCTAAATATATATTTGTTTTGAAACTAAAATGTTATAGGATTGCACATTGTCTTCAAAGTCCATGGGAAACTTACTAGTTTTCTTGCTTCCAACACTTGGCCCCCATTTTACACTTTATTTTCCTGATACTTAGTAGAGAGATATATGTATTAGATATGTCACCACTATGCTGAAAATGTTTTCATTGTTTTAAACATATTCTTTCCTTATTCCAGGGTGATCGGGGTGAAAAGGGTGCACAAGGGGAACCGGTGAGTGGTGTTTTGTGATCATTAGGGTTGTGTTGATCATATTTATTTGGAAGTTTACAGCTAGTTATCATGGTATGCTACAAGTCAAACAGTGTCATGATATCTGTAACTATGGGTGTGTACATTTTTATGTGTACAACAGCACAAGCATATATTCATTTACCTGATAACTCAAGGCTGAAACTACCAAACACAGGCACTTTGTTAGAAAACAGAGCCAAGTTTTTAATGCAAACATAAGAGTCAAGACTTTTGCTCCTGCACTGAGGTTAATATAGTTCTGTGGGCTTATTTTTTTTGTGATCAGTACTCCTGGGACAGTGGATGTTTCATGGAGGTTACTTTGGTGGGAAAAATATTTCCGATGACACTGCTGAAAACTTATTTGCTTGTGAAGTCTTATCTATTTTGAAAAACTGTGTGGAAAAGAAAAAAATCAGTTTCTGACTTCTATTTAATGCATGATGGACAGCTGACATTGTGCCAAGTAACTAACCATTTCAGTTTGGTTTGTTAGATAAAGCAGATAATTCTTGTATTTGGAATAGAAAAACAACAAAAGTACATGGGTGCCTATTCCTTTCATATCCATGATTATTCTGCTTTGATTCCATTTACTACACTGTAAGGCAATGGAGATGAGTGAGATGGTTTTCCTGGGCTCAAGAGGGGCAGGTGTTAAAAGGGAAAGGCAATTTGCCAGGGTATGGTATGAGAGGTGCATGGTTGAGCTAAGCCTTAAAAACAGCTTCACGCCTCAATCTTGCTCTTTGATTATTATTTTTTGCCACCCTTCCACCTCCTCTCACAGTGGTCATTTCGGAGTTGGATAGGAATTCCCTCCCCCTTTATGTGTGTGTGTGTTTAAATCTACTCTACATTGTTACAGAGATGTATATAATTGGCTACGGGTGGTGCCATTTAAATGGGTTTTCCTGGAAGGTGTTGTGGGTTGCTGCATTTGGCAATATATCTTCTGGCACATATTGTGTTGGATGAGAACTTAGAGTTGTTCCTGTGTATCATGCAGTGTTGAGGTTGGGAAAAACCTCCTGTCTTTGGGGCCAAGCAGGGTTCCAAATTTGTTCTTCCCGGTTGGTTTGTGTATCACCAAAAAACATTTAAATAGGTCACAGTTAATAAAGTTGGCAATAGTTCATTCCACTTCTGCTGACTGGTCTTTTTATTTATTTATTTATTTAGTTGGTCAGTAAATACTGTTCTGTGGGTTCCCTCTTCCATAAGGGCTTCACTCTTTATTTATTTATTTATTTATTTATTTATTTATTTATATTAAATATTTATGAGTTACTTTTCTAATAAATATTCAGAGTGATATACAATCACTAAACAACACCAAAGTACACAGAAATATCATTCTGTAAAAGTAAAACCTTTACTACGAAGCTCTGGGCAGATTTGGAACCATGCTCAGAGGGAATTCACTTGGCAAAACTGGAGAAACTTGGCAAAATTATCCACTACATTAAAAGTGTCTTTAGAACGTTGTCTGTTGTGACTTATGGAGAAAGAGTTTACAAAAAGGATTGAATCAGACCTTTGACAAATTGTTGATTTATCTTGTTCTGTATCTCTTGTCTCAGGGCAGAGATGGCCTCACTGGGCCACCAGGACCCCCAGGACCCAAGGTGAGGACCTTGAATGCCCCTTTCTACACCTTTCTCTGAATGTGGAACTAATAATCAAAAATCATAACAGTGTGCTATTTCAGCACTGATCTAAATTACATTCAAAAATTTGAAAGAGTTACTAGTTAGTTTTAAATTATAGGTTTCTGAATCCCTCATATAACACAATAGGATTCTAACGCTTTCCCTCCCCCTCACCAGTCACTATAATTAAAAGAAAAAAAGGGAGAAAAAAATATATATTCTGCTATTACAGATCCGGCAAATAATTCCATTAGAGTAAACCCTCAGTTATCTAGAATTGAAGCAACTAGAACTCACAGGCAACCAGAAGATAAAATAGAAGAAATAATACTTTAACTAAAAATTAAAATGAAATCAATTTTAGCAGAAATGTTAAAGTAAGTGTGTTGTTATTTGCTTTTAGTTACATTATTTCAGCATTAATATCAAGTCAAAACAGAGTTTATGGTATGCTATGGTGTAGGGTGTAGTATTAGTTAGGTCTGTTTTTCATAGTAACTCCCAAGCAACCAAAAAGCACATTTATTCCAGCATCTACCAATCACGGTGAGTGTCCACGAACTAAGGATCCTTCCACACAGCCATATAACCTGGAATACCAAAGCAGAAAATCCCACAACATCTGCTTTGAATTGGGATATATGATATATCCCAGTTCAAAGCTGATAATGTGGAATTTTATTCAGCTGTGTGGAAGGGAAGTGCCCTGGGAGTCTATTGCATAATTACTTATAACTATACTCACTTTTTTTTACATTGTTAGATTTCTTATTGCTCCAACAATCCATAAATGGTTTCCAGTCTTTCAAAAATATTCCATAAGTTTATCCTTCAATACCCACAATAACCTGGCCAATTCAGCAACTTTAACAATTCATTCTTCTATTGTCAGTGTTTCAACCCATTTCCACTTTTGAGCAAGCAATAGTTTTGCTGCTGTTGTCATGGATAAGTCCATATTTACTATACATGTCTTTATACTTGTCTCTTTAAAATCTCAGGTTCTCTGAAAGTTCTTTGTGAATCTACTATTGTTTCTTTAGACACCTCCCACTTTTCTTACTCATGGCAATTGTTGCAGCTGTAACTTATTAGTTGTTGATTTTTAAAATTCCCATCAGAATAATCAATTCTGAAATTTTGATATAGGAAAACTCACAGATCTATTTGAATCTGTCAAATATCTCCCAGTTAACAGAACAAACAGATGTCAGGTATAAAATCTTTATGGTTCAGGAGAATATGAGTGGATCGATGTATTTATGAGTAACACATTTATGTGTTTCCAGGTAGATATGATGGATGGAAGCACCTCAGGCTTTCCAGGGGAACGTGGTCCACCAGGACCCAGAGGAAGCAAGGTTAGTATCTAATCTCATTTGCTTTCCTTGAATAAATGCCAAATGTAATATGAGCAAATAATTCACTTTTGTTCATTTCCTCCCATTTTTCTGTTAGGCTGGGTAATTCTCAAAGGGAACCTAAACTCACAGCAGAGGCCCCATCTACACTGCCATATAAAATACAGATTATCTGCTTTGAACTGGATTATATGGCAGTGTAGACTCATATAATCCCATTCAAAACGAATAATGTGGATTATCTGCTTTGATAATCTGAGTCTGCATCTACACTGCCCTATATCTGAGGATCTGATCCCAGATTATCTGCATTGAACGGGATTATATGAATGTACACTGCCAGATTATCTATAATATTAATTATATTTATTTATACCTCGCTTTATCTCTCCTAAAGGAGACTCAAAGCGTCTAGATATAAAAGCATTAGAATACAATTTAAAATATACAAATATGCAAATATTAAAACAGAATTTAATACAAACAGCATTAAAAATTTACAGTTAAAATCCATATTCCATCAAATCCATAAAAACATATTCAGAGTTAAAAACCACAGTAAATAATCTGGAATAAGATTCTGCGATTTAGGGCAGTGTTGATCCAGCCTACGTTTATCAAAGCAGATAATCTACAGTATCTGCTTTGAACTGGATTATATGAGTCTATGCTGTATAATCCAATTCAAATCAGATAATCTGTATTTTATATGGCAGTGCAGATGGGGCCTAAATTAAAAGATATAAGAGCGATCCGAATCTTTGTTAGTGTGGATTATAATGATGGATGACAAGACTCTTGTAGTTGCTACTATTTTCTCATTTGAACAGAGGTGAACTACACTGCCTAGTCTGGTAGTTGTCCCCTTCTACACTGCCATATAAAATCCAGATTATCTGCTTTGAACTGGATTATCTGGCAGTATAGACTCATATATCCAGTTCAAAGCAGATAATCAGGATTATATGCTTTGATAACCTGGATTATATGGCAGTGTAGAAGGAGCCTAAATCTTGTCTACTTTTTTTCATCATGAGTGATATCAGAAGTTCCCTACTTCCAAATCATGGCACCAGAACAACTGAAACATAACATAATCTGATGTCACTGTATTGTTAACACTCTCCTTTTTGGGACATTTAATGAGTAGGCCATCTGATTATGTAACCATTCAATTCAATACAAATAATTTAATACAGTGGAAAGTGAATTTTCACATCTGAGCACCAATTCAAACCCTGAGATCTAGAGTCGTAGTTCAGTGCTGCAACCACTACGCCATGGTGGCTCTTTTGCTACTGTTTACCTATTGGAGCAAAGGGGATGTAGATGAAAATGTGATGTGTTCTGTCCCTTGGAAGAAGCCAATTAATTATTCATTTTCTCTTTTGCAGGGAGAGCCAGGCGAAGATGGCGAGAAAGGCTCTAGAGGCGATAAGGTCTGAGTGTAGTAAGTCTCCCACCCCTGCATCTCTCCAGCTTTTCCTGTGTCTATTCTGTGCCTTCGCTTGCAAGAGGGGAAGCTCTTCTTTCCTGAAAGTGTATCTTGCTTTTTAAATTCTTTTTCTCTGTCCCTTTCATTGGCTTAATACTTACTTGAATGGACCTGAGCCAAAAGAGAGGGCTTATTGGCCCAGATTCAAGCTGGGGTGCAGTGCAAGTTGGGATTATGAGGAAGGTACTCCACTCCAGCAGTGTCCCAATAGCCAATATCATCCTTACCGTGGAGTATTCTGCAGGAATTTTCTATTCTCAGGTTAACCCTGGTCATAAAAGCATTCCTACAAAATTCAGTTTATATTATATTTATTTCTATCCTGCTTTCATCTCTTCACTGAGACATAAAGTGGATCACAGCATGAAAAAGAGCATTGCAATTTAAAATCCACAATATGCAAATATTAAAACAGAATAAAACATAACATCAGTTAAAACCACTAAAACACTTAAATATTTTAAAATAATTAATACAGCACAGTTCCCTAGTTCAGTAGCTTTGCTTGCTTCTTATCCAAAGTTAGGCAATGTCAGCTTTTTTATATGAGAATTCAGTACAGGTAGGATCTGGCGAGATGAAAAATATGGTATATTCTTCCCAGCTCAATGGCTTATGTTGAATCTAGAAATATCTCAGGGATTTGAGTTTTAAACATCCTTTGGAATAACTGTACAATGGGGCAATGATGTGGGAGTCTAGTATAGAGCTTGAAATTAGAGTTACAAGTGGTGTAATTGCCTGTCACAGATTACTTTTCTTGATACAAAGCAATGTAATCAAGTTGCTCATCAAATGTAATGGAATATATTCTGGTAGTTGTGGGAATGAAGTCACTATTGTGTCTAGTTACTTCTCTAAATTATTTTTAGATAACTGCTTAGGAGAATTCGACAAGAATTTTCAAGTTTAAACTATCCCTTTAGCAATACTAAGTGCTTTCTGATGTAGTTGTGAATAGCAATGAGAAACAAATGAGTGACATAGGAAGTTGCTTTTTAAATAGTGTCATAATACCAATTGAATCTTTGCAAATGCTTTTTGAACAACTGAAACAAATTGCTCTTTAAAGGTTAATTATTTAATCTTCAGTGGTTCCCAACCTTTGGGTCTCCGGATGTTTTGGACTTCAACTCCCACAAATCCTAACAGCTGGTAAGATGGCTGGGATTTCTGGGAGTTGAAGTCCAAAATACCTGGTGGGCCAAAGGTTGGGAACCACTGGCCAAGGAAAACATAACATTTTAAGAACCCAAAAGACACTTCTCTTCTATTGTTTTGTTGCTTGATAAGGGGGAAAGGTTAGATGTTTTATAAAAAGAATCATTCTCAGTGGAAAGTAAATTAATTTCAGGTGAAATTTAAACTGGGACATACAGTTGTGCTTACTAAAACCAGTGTGCATTTCAACAATAAAGCTTAGTTTGTTCAAACCTAAGCTTCATATAATTAATCACTGCTATGGTTGAGTGAAGGGAGTTCAACTGGAGATCTTCTAGAAAGATGGCCTGTTCTTGGTTGGACTGATCCCAGGGAAAACAAAGCAAACATCAGTCTGCATCATAATGAACATTGAAAGACCTGAATGTGAATTGGTGATTGGGATGGAGGAATGGCACAATGTTGATGCCTGATTGCCTTTGTGACATTGGAATAACACTTTGAATTGCAGGGTGAAACTGGGCAGAAGGGAGAAAGAGGTGAAGCTGGTGAGAGAGGCAGGGATGGCTCTCCAGTGAGTATTGCTGATGGACCACTCTGGCTTTAGAGATTGTGTTGAATTCCTGTTGCTATTCTCCTTAATCTCACTGTCCTTTTTTGTTATGATTGCAGGGCCTTCCAGGAGAGAGAGGCCTTGCAGGCCCAGAAGGGAAAGCAGTAAGTAAAAGTAGAGAAATGTGGATATTAAAGTGGAAGATGAATAAGGGGTAGTGCTGATTAGAGGAAATAAAGAGTGAAGGGAAAGGATCCATTCTCAATTATTAGAAGGAAAATACCTAGCTCTTGGCATATTCATCCATCCCAATTTCAGCCATATGTTGCTCCTCATAGATGCCCAAAAAAAGAGTGCCATCACAAAAGGCAAGAGAGATAATCTCTATTTCTAACACTGTAAAGGATTTGTACACAAAGTCTAGTCTGACTGAAATGGTTGTGAAAGAAGGCATCAGTGGGAAAACCTGAATATCTGCAGAAACCAACAGTTCAGGAAAATGGTTTCCTACCTGCTATACAAAGATCTGTGCGTGTGTGTGTGTAGCCCTTCAGTTCTGCCGTCCAGTATAGACTCTATTACCCTGGGCACAGTGATGCTTGTTATAGTGATATACATATATATATATATATAGAGAGAGAGAGAGAGAGAGAGAGTCAGTGAGTCAGTGAGTCGGTTCATGCTTGGATGGTAGGTATAGCAATCTACCCCCACCGAATGGGTGACTATAAAAAGAGAGCGGTAAGGGGAGAAAGAGAGAGGCAGGTGGGGAGGTATAGGTTCTTTGAGGCAAGGTTTTAAACGTAAACAAGTGAAGAAGAAAATAGAGTCAATGGACATAATATAACAAAGATTTTGGAGCCCTGCATAGTCAGCTGGCATGTAGGGAATAATCTAACTGTGTGCTGATTGCTCCCGCTGCCATCAAGGAATGAACATTCATGGTAAGTTCTGACCTCCCATTCTGTTCACAATATATTTTGTTTTCATGCCTGGCAATGAACTAAATTTATTGTCCCCTTGTGTCCCTCAAAGGGGTAATCATGTCATTTATAATCTCGGGGAGTGAAGGAGAAATTTTCAGGACAAAGATTCAAGGATGAAATGGGTTGTATTCTAGTCAAAATATATTTTCCTTTCATGTCTGGCTATAATTGTTTCAGTTGTCACCATGTGCCCCTTGACACAGTAATGGTGTCATTTATGATCTAGGATCCTCAGACAAGTTACCTTGGGAACACAATGGACTTTTGCATGTTCAGATCTGTTGTGCCTTGTAACTACCATTCATGCTGTGCGGTGGGGTTCATGTTCCATCTGAGGAGACCCTAGTAAAAGGACCTTCCTAGTTTTCATCACTTGGAGGGATGGTTGTTTGATATTTTTTCCCAGTTCTTCAACTAGGCAGGGCAAACCTACTCCATCAAGAGTGAAGTAACTATGTTGTATTCCAGGTTGAAAAACTGTGCTCTCTCTCTCTCTGTAGTTTGTCTTGGAATCTGAAATAAATTGATAGTGTTCCTGCAAAAAATAAAATAAAATAAGAAAGACTCCATACCCCATCTTTTGTCATGTATGGTTTCTTCAAGTTAATAATACTACAGCAATTTAAGATGTCAGAAAGGAACCTCCACATCTATTCCTTGTTATATTTTATGCTACTGGTTCATGCATGTCTGTTTTACTCTGTGTGTGTGTCATTCCCTTCCTATCTAGGGCCTTCAGGGTGTTAGAGGGCCACCCGGCCCAGCTGTAAGTAATCTTCCTTGGTAGACTTCAGTAGACCTGAATCATTGTCTATAGTTGCCTTCCTCTGCTTGCTTGCTCACTCTCTTTTTAGTGCAGTAGGAGTGGCTCTGCCTTGGCATTGAAGGAAACAAGGACCAAACAAGGCTTGCTTATGGGATTGCTCAGGGTCTCGCTAACTCTCTGGATATTTGAATTGGATCTTTGCAGGGCTTGCCAGGCTTCCCTGGAGTTCTGGGCAGACCGGTAGGTGCTCCCCTTCCATTTCTCTTTTCTGTATCTTGTCTTTGCATGCAGCGGTATGCCACTTGCTGATTATAAGCTATGGCGGGTTTCCATCGTTGGATTGTGTTTACCTTTGCATTGTTGCTCTTACGCTTTGCAAGAAGAAAATGGGGTCATTGCTTTGGTGCAATGGTCAAAACACAATTTTGAGATTTAGAATAAATGTAACCTCTCTCTTCATATGTCAAATAAAATTTACTGTATATTCTCAGGTATACGTCTAGAAATTTTAGTAAAAAAATGAACCCCAAAACATGGGTCAACTTATCTATGAATCAGTGTCAGTACTGTAACTTAACTCTTATCAAAAAAGGGACCACCCCCTTCTCTGTGCATGAAGGCAAAATGTGAGGTCTTAAACTATCCCAGAAGCACCTAAAAGAAGCCCTGACACCTCTGGCCTCTCCACTGTGGCATTGCTTTTGGCCTTTATGAAAGCCTGATGAGAAATTGAAGCAATGGCAGCCAGGAGCAGCTGGCCCCCAGAGGTGGCTCTGACACTTTCCCTTCACCACAGAATGACCATCAACGTATCTATGGGACATATCAAAATATATAACTTTGGCTTCAAAACCTGCCTTCAGCTTATACATGAGGTCAACTTATGCATGAGTATATCTGGTAGATTTAAATATTTGTAATGTATTTTGATGTCCTGGGGATAGCTATATAAGGAGGAATCCATAATTCTTGTGATGAGGAGGTTCTTTATTTATTTATTTTCTAGTCTACCATTTTCCTGAATAGGACCCAATTAGAATTATTTTCCATTGTGTATTTATTTATTTGCTTGATTTAGACCCTGCTGTTCTCTCCAGGGGACTCAGGGTGGCTAACAGCCACACACTTTGATCAATTTAAAACAAAGTGAATACCATTTTTTTAAAAGGGCCAGCGTTGTCCGTAGATGTCTCCAAGGTCATGTGGCCAGCATGACTGCATGGAGTGCCATTACCTTCCCAATGGAGCAGTGCCTATTCATCTACTCACATTTGCATGTTTTTGAACCACTAGGTTGGCAGGAGCTAGGGCTAACAGTGGGAGCTCACCCCACTCCCTGGATTTGGACCACTGACCTTTTGGTCAGCAAGTTCAGCAACTCAGTGCTTTAACTTGCTGTGCCACCAGGGGTTAGATTAGACTACTGTTAAAATATAATAAATACAATTAAAATGCCTTTTAAAACACACAATCCCCTCCTGCAAATTGCAGCATGTTGTAGTGCACTGTAGGAAGGTCCTCAGCTTTAATTTCAATTAGGCCTCACCGAGTTCATTCCATCAATCTATAACTTTGAGAGCAAGCAAATAAACATTTTCCTCTCTGTGAACCATTCCAAATCTGCAGAAATGTGTTGTGCACGTTTGAGTTGTAGTAGTTATTTTTATATAACACATTGCTATTAGCTACCCTGAGTAGTGTGTAAACACCAGAATGGTGGGCTATAAGGTTATTTTAATGTAATATCCACAACTCTTTCCTTCCATTTAACATAATATTTCCTCCACCTTCCTGGAGGTATGCAAACACCCAAGACTGCATAGAGAGGAAATGTGGTGGCAGAAATCACAGTGGATTGATTCTTGGTTGGCCATTCACCAGGATGGCAGAGTGGAGAATCTCATATGTTGAGTTATTCCATGGGATTGTGGCAGTCTCCCATTAAATATTTTGACAAATCTGCTTTTCATATGTATCAAGATTTCTAGTATAGCTAATAAATGCTGAGAGACAAATCAAATACACATCCACCACTGATGATGCACCTCTTTATTCATACAGGGTAACCAAGGAGATCCTGGACCATCAGGCCCTGCTGTAAGTCAAACTGGCCTTTTCCTGAGCAGTATTTCACTTAAAATCAGTTACATGAGTATGCATTAAAATCTGTTCCTAGTGCCTTTGTTGAAAGTATGCTTTCTAGTATCTGGACTGTTTCATAATCTTAAAGCTACTGTATTATACTCGTACTGGAAATGCCAGAATTAGCTTAGTCACAGGCAGAATAAAATATGTTTCCTGGGAGGCTTCAGGCAGTGGCTGCCTCTTTCATTCCCTATCTTTTCCTCAAGACCTAGTCTTTCAAGACCCTTATAACTGCAGATGAAAAATCCAATATATTAACACCACAGTTGCATAGAATCTAGAATAGAAATATTTGCCATGAGGTCAAAGCGGCAATTTGGGTGAAGGTTGTGGTTCATATGCAAGTGTTTGTTTCTTGCTCAGGGTAATAAAGTTCAGTTCAGATTTTGTTTTACTTCATCCTGATCCTTTGATTTATGCTGTGTTTGTAGAAAAATTAGCAAAGCTTTAATCTATATAAATAAAAATGTAATGTTTGTTTGTGGGATTAACATAACTCAAAAAACCACTGGACGAATTGACACCAAATTTGGACACAATACACCTATCAGGCCAACAAGTGACGATCATTCATAAAAACACTGAAAAACACAGTAGAAGAGAATTAAAAAGCCAAAATAATTAAAATACATTACAACACATGCACAAAACTGCATATATACACATATACCCAAATATATACATACATATATACACACTCAAAACACATATACACAGACTGGGCCACAGCAACGCATGGCAGGGGGTGGCTAGTACAAGATAACTTATTGTGCTGTGTATAGCTTTTGAATTAGCTAAATCAATTAATTGAATTAGCTAAATCAAGACCCAAAATTAATAAGATCATCAGCCCTGGTCTTGTCTTACTCAACTGCCAAATATTCCTGCCCTGTTTGGCACATGTCTACCCACACGAAGCAGAGGAACATAGCATTGAATGAAACATGTGGAATAATCACAGAATGTCTTAAACCTACACCTGTTGATAAACTCTACAAGGTAGCTGGCATTGCACCCCCTCCCATGTGTGACGGGAAGTTGCTGCTAACTGTGAGAGAAATAAAGTTGAACAATGTGAAAGCCATCCACTGCATGGCTATATCAGCCTCCTCCCAGTAGACTCGAATCAAGGAAAAGCTTCGTGAGAACCTCCACTCCTCTTCATGTTCTGCCAGCAACAGCAAGAGTATCCCCCTGGGTAGCTAAACCAGGAAATCCCAACTGGATGGCCCCCCACGAGGGTTTTTCTTCAGGGGCAAATCAAGAATGGGCAACTTGGAAGTCCCTGAATAGACTCAGAAGTGGAGTGGGCAGATCAAAAGGCAACCTGGCAAAATGGCGCTACCTAAAAGTATCTTCCATCTTGTGCGACTGTGAAGCAGAACAGACAACTCCGCATCAGTATGCTTGCCCGCAGTGTCCTGCCTCATGTACAGAGGAAGAATTATTTGAGGCTACAGGCAATGTGGTCACTGTGGCCTGTTTTTGGTCAAAAGATATTTAGCCACTTGTGCTCCTTCTGTTTTTATCAGTTTTATACTAATTTATGTAATGCTTTGATACAAAATAAATAAATAAATAAAATTGGCTAAATCATATGTCTTCATCCTCACAGGGTCCTGTTGGCCCTCCAGGCACTCAAGGTCTCCCCGGGATAAAGGTATGTGTCCTGTTTTAAATGCTAAAGAAGGTAGAGGATTATGAGGTTACTGAATCTTCATTCTCCCCAAATCAATAACAGTTCAAGATGTACATGCTTAGCTTTCCTGTAGGTAAAACACTCTAGTCTTGTTCACTCCATGTGTGCAACACTGTTTCATAAATGCACCTCTGAACCCACCTGTTTTCTAAATGTATGGTGCAACAACTCTGTTATGGTGCCAGATGACTTGCCCACATTGTTTTTTGCAGAAATTTGTTTGTAATACTGAGAAGGGTTTTTTGCCCTTTGTTTACAGGGAGATGTTGGAGAACCTGGTTCCGGCATACGGGTAAGTATCTGTAATCTATACTCCTAAGCATATATATCCTGCTTTATACCAACCATTTTATGGCTTTTCTTCATTGCTAAAGAGGTACTCATGAACTTCATGGGATCTTGACTTTCTGTGAAAAGTATGAGTATGGGGGCTGGAGATGTCGACTTTTTTAATGTGACAAACTGTTAATTTCACATAAGACTGTATTTTATGTTATGTAATCTGTCTTTAGTATGTTACTATTTATTTATTATTTATTTATCAAGAGCATTTCTATCCCGTCCTTCTCGCCTCCGAAGAGGGACTCAGGACGGCTACCAGCAGGCACCATTCGGTGCCAAACAATATACAACATAAAATATATTTAACCTACATTCAAAACAGTTATAAATACATTAAAACAATACACCATTTCATGTCATCCTCCAAATCAATCCATAACCGTCAGTTCAAACAGTCCATTAAAACCATCTTCAATCCATTGCTGTCAACTAAAAAAAAAGTCTGTTAAACCATCTATCCTGCGAACACTTAAGCCCATAATCAGGGTTTGAGCTTTTGCTGGATGGTCATGAGAGAGGGGACAAATCTAATATCACTAATCTCTGTAGTGCAGCGGGGTGGACAGTACACTAACAGAATCCCTATTCTGTCCTGGTCTCCTATCCTCAGGTGGACACATTCAAACAAGGTTGACTGCAGGATGGGGCACCTGATCAGGGAGATGGAATCTTTATAAACCACTGCTATCCCACCTCCCTGTGCCCTAGATCTTGGCTGCTGCTGTACGGGGAAGCCTGGAGGACAAAGCTGGGTGAGGTTGACCCCCCCCCCCCAGCCTCATCCAACCAGGTTTCCATTATCTGCCTGTTCATCCAGAATTAGATCCTGAATTGTTGATGTTTTCCCATTGACAGACTTGGCGTTCAGCAGCACCACCCTTAATCTAGGGAGACTGCCATCCTGGATACTCAATTTAGCCATGTCAGGAGTCCGTTTTGGAATTTCTAACACTTTTTCCCGAATCAAAGGCCGAATTAATTGATTGGGTCTCCTTTTCCTGTATCTCCCCCTCCCCATAAACATCTCTATGGTGGCCCCCCAACCAGTGGACCCTCCCCCCTTTCCTCAAGGCCCCTCTCCTGCCCTCATCCCTGGTTCAGATGTCAACATTTGATGTGATGCATCTGGCATGTTGTACACTGCTTGGAGTCCCGCTCTGGGAGAAAAGCGGGAAATAAATAAATAAATAAATAAATAAATAAATAAATGATAAAGACTTTAGCACAAGCCAGTCAAGGTGGTTCGAGTGGTGATCAGCACACTGGATGAAGTGCCTAAAGACCTTGACCTGCACTTAAAAGCAATCAGTGTTGACAAAAATTACCATCTGTCAGTTACAAAAGGCCATATCTGCATGCATTATTCTCTGATACATCACACAGTCCTTGACACTTGGGAAGTGTGATCCAATACAAAAGCCAGCATAGTGATCTTGTTTGCTGTGTACTAATTTTGTTTTGTATCTAATAATAATAATAATAATAATAATAATAATAATTGCCGATACAGCACACAGTCCTAGACACTTGGGAAGTGTCAGACGTGTGATAAAATACAAAAGCCAGCATAGTGATCTTATTTGTTTTGTACTAATCATGTTAAGTATCAAATAATAATGCCAAGATCATGGAAGGGCGCCATGTATGTTGGTTGGGCATTACTTGGGACTTTTGGTCAACTTTTTGTTCTCTTACTTGCAGGGCTTGCCAGGCCCTCCAGGAACTATTGGGTTCCCAGGACCACAAGGACCTCCTGGAATTGTGGTAGGTGATTGATACGCTTCTCTAGTATAGGACCTATGACAGAATTCAGTTGCTAAATTTGCAATTCCTTCCTGTCATTCACTGTCAGGATGCTATGTTTGGGATGCCTTTCTCATTATATTTTACTTGTTTGTGCTTTTTTCAGGGTCCACAAGGACCTCCGGGGTTACCAGGACAAGTGGTGCGTTTGTTTTTCCATTTTCTTTCTGGCAATATTTACAGCTTTTACACTGACAAAACTTAATGAACGTCTTCCATGAACCAAGCTTTTGCACACACTGATTCTAACAAGTTTTCCCCTCTTTTCATAGGGTGAGCCTGGGAAACCAGGTGTACCGGGCAGAGATGGAACGGTAGGGAAAGATGGTGAAGCTGGACTGCCTGGAAAAATGGTACGATTTGCAGCATGTGATTGCATGTAATGGGGAATTGCACTAAGACTCATGCTGGATGACCTCACTTGGATTGCCTGGGTGGGACAATGGAGTCCAAATAGTCCTTAATTGTCAGTTCCTATACTTCTTAATACCTAACTGCCTTTGTTAAATGTTTTCTAGGGTATTCAGGGGCTTGTAGGACCTGCTGGTGCCAAAGGAGAGCCTGGGGATGCTGGGCCTCCAGGACAGGTGAGAAACACTTTCCCTTATTTGGACCTTTGCCTTATCTTCTGTTCTGGTCTGTCCTTCTACAACATGGTGTCCTTCACATGGAACTGCAGGTTCTATCACTATCAATAAACCTGGGCATGTTAACTGGGATTTGAGAAATTATGGTCTAACACATCTAGAGAGTAAGTTTGGAAAAGGTTCCTCTATTCCTTTAAAAATACTTTATTTTTTACAAATGAGTGTTTCTTTGCCCTTTCTTCCTTTCTTCAGATGTTTTGAGCCTTGCCTTTCTACTGCAAAGTGTTTGATACAGTCTGAAGAAATGTTTTTAAAACTGTTGACAAGACTTTTTTTCACACCAGTTGCCTTTTCCAAATAATTTATTTTGTCTCATTTGAATGTATTAAGTGATTTGTAAAATAATCTTTCTGGGCATTGTACAGATTGTAAACCTGATTAAAACATCATCATAATAGAGAAAAACCGATCTCTCACATTCTGAAACTCTAAACTAACTCCTTTCAGATTATATCGGTCCTTAGTTATCTGTGTAAAAGACAGGTATTTCTCTTAACAAAACAAAATAAGAAAGAAAAAAACATAAAGGAGAAAGCAACGATGTGATTTCAGAAATATTTTAATATTTCAGACTTTCTAATAATGGAAACTAGATGCTATTTTACACACCTCTTCTTGTGTGTTTGGAATGCAGTTATTTTTCTCCAATCCACATTCAACCAAACGTTTAAATCCAGGATAATGACTGTTTGATCATAATGATTCTCTGCTCTCATTTCACTTGACATGATTTACAAACATTATAAAATATTAAAATTAAATACATGCCTGTTAAAAACCAAAAACATTTTTTCTAATAAGACATGCAAGCTTTAAAGAGTGATATACTGCAGAGAGGCCAATAATCTCATGAGTTGGTGCCCATCTCTGTGAACAATAGGCCCTATCTTGAGGATTTTAGGCCTTTGGCAATTTGGTATAATAGAGGAATATCAATTATCCATGTTGCCCAAATTGTGTTTTTTCTCCCATGACAATATTAATTTCCAACATTCTGAAGTATAGTTAGAACCACATAACTGAAAGATGTCCCAGTATCTCTCTATATAAAAGTCAAAGTATGTATGTATGTATGTATACTTTAACTGTTATATATATATAGAAGATCTAACTTTACATACATGATTTGACTTATGTATGTATGTATGTATGTATATATTTGTCCATTTGTACCACAAAATGTGTTGCTAGGTGAAGTGGCCCTCAGTGATCTCACTGGTTTGGTTGTTGCTAGGTGAAGTGGCCCTCTGTAATATCACTGGGAAGTAAAGGTAACGTGTATGAAAGGGAGAGAGGAAAGAAAGAAAGAAAAAGAAGGGGAAAGGAAAAGGAGAGAAGGAAAGAAGGGAATGGAATGGGGGAAAGGTATGAGCGGAGGGGAGGAAAGAAAAAGAAAGAAGAAAAGAAAGAAAAGAGAAGGAGAATGTGTACAAAGGAAACGGAGGAAGAAAAGAAAGAGCCACAAAGAGATCCTGCCCATCATTGCCAGAGTGTTGCCATGGAGACATTTTGAGGTAGTCTTTCTCAGTAGGTGGGCAGCACTCGGATAACATTGAGTGTGTATGCTAGTAACTAGATTTCAATACAAATAGAACAAAAGAGATCAATGCTCCCACTTCTTCAGTTTCAGAAAATACCGTCTTACATTTTTATATAACTAACTACTTGCATTTGTTTTACAAGGATTCATCATAGGAAGCATTTCTTTTACTTAATGCCTCATGTTGATATTAAGCTTTCCTCTCTCTTCTTCCCTAATTGGCTTCCTGTAGAGTGTTGCTGGGCCTCCAGGAATAAAAGGCGAGAAGGTAGGCCCAAACTTTACATAGATCAATGTGTAAATGTGTATAATATATTCTGATTGGGAGTAGGAACTGGAATGCAACATCACTGGTTCTTTCATAGCTTGGGAAAGATTATAGAAGAAGTCTCAAGGCCCAGATTCAGTGTACAAAAGTGGCATCTGCTGTAAATCCTAATTAATTTGGCTGGAAACATGATGTTTGAGATGCTGGAAGAATTTGAAGGAGGGCTTCTATCATGCTGAACATCTACATCATCTTTTTTAGGGTACACCAGGTGATTTTGATGGGGAAATTTTTGGAAAACCGGTGAGCTGACCTTTTCATATTTCTTTACTTAGTAATTTTTCAGACCCATTCTCCAAACCAGGTCTCAGGGCTATTTTTTGTGCTTTTAGGGTGTCAAAGGTGACCGAGGTCTACCAGGCCCTCGAGGAGAGAAGGTAAGGATCATTCCTCAAGGCATGAACCTTGGGCATTTTTTCTTTGACAACTTTGATCTTGATTTCTTTTCAGTGTAAATCTGATTAAATGATATTAATTTTACTGATGTAGGGGGACCCAGGCAGTGAGGGGGAACCTGGCGACCCTGGAGAAGATGTAAGTATTGTGTAGGATCATGCACTTGGTCCATTCATCACCTCTGCATAGATAGCACAGAACTGACTTGTCAAAGTGTTAGTGGTTGGTTATTGGAAGGCTAAGCATAGATCATCTGAATTCATGCTTCCCTAAGTGAGATGCTTAACTCTCTAGAAATTCTAGAGATATCAATACTTGTGTTTGATAAATATTGATAAATGGAGAATTAAGAGTGTATGGTGCAAAAAGGTACAAGGCAAGGTTGACCATTTTTCCCCCTATTTATATTAGTATTCAAAGTACTCATGTGAAAAATAAAAAACAATGAAAATCAAGAACGAAATCTATAAACTAAAAGTGTTTGCCAATGACTTACTAATAATTATCGAAGACCCAATAGAAAATATCAGATAAGTGTTTTCAACACTGGAAACTTTGGGAAAGGGTCAGGATTAAAAATAAACAGAAAACAAAAATCCTAACCAAAATTTGATTAAAAAAAGACAAAATTGAAGTACAGGAAATTTCAGGTCTACAAATAACAAAAAAAGTAAAATACTTTGAGTTAACTTTATCAAATAAAAACAACACTTTCCCAAGACAAGGAAAAGACTTGGAAAAAATAAAATGGATTTGCAAAAATGGAATAAACTAAACTCTTAGAAAGAATTGCAACCATCAAATGAATATTCTGTCCAAAATATTGTATTTATTCCAAAATATTCCAGTTATAACCAATGATAATCTATTGGAGAGATATCTGGATTTGTATATCAAGGCATTTTTTTTCTGTGTCAAGAGTGACTTGAGAAACTAGCCATCTTCAAAGATGTTGCCCAGGGGACGCTCGGATGTTTTACCATTCTGTAGGAGGCTTCTCTCCTGTCCCCGCATGAGAAGCTGGAACTGGCAGATGGGAGGTCACCCTGCTCCCTGGATTCAAACCACCAACCTTTCGGTCAGCAGTCCTGCCAGCACAGAGGCTCGACCCATTGCGCCACTGGGGGCTTCTATGGCAAAAAATGAAAGCCTAAAATAAGATTTAAACTTCTCCAAGATGATCAATAATGAGGTGGCCTAGCATTGCCAGATCTGATCATTGTTTTTCTTTTCTTTTTCCATAACTTTTTTAAAATGTATTTGAAATCTATCAGTATGCATTCCCTGATTGCCATCATCTTTAGGATCAGTACCAGCAATGAATAAAATAAATTTCCCTTATCTTATTTTCCATTTCCTGTCTTTGGATATTAATAGGGAGCTAAAGGATCTCCTGGGATCAAAGGAGAAAAGGTATGTCTGTTTCTGTTGGTCACAGTAAAAGAATTTGTTCAGGTCTTTTGGGTGTGCTTCTTCCTTCCATAAGAATATATGCTTACAAGATATCTGCAATCTTCTGTCTTCTGTATATATAAAAGTTTTTATTCTTGTATGAATGTTGGTTGGTAGGTTCATTCATTTGTACCAAAGGCTCCTATGTGGCGTGATGGATCTGGACCAAACCTGGCACACATATGCTTTATTGTCCAACTTGAAATAATTGAGGGCTTTGAATTATAAGAACCACCTCTTTCAGACCCAGAGTAGAGGGGAAGAAAAGGAAAAAAGTTGACTAGCTGTTGCTAAGTGAAGTGGGCCTCTGTGAAATCTCTGGGAAAGAAAAGGAGTGAAATGGCTTGGCTGCTGCTTGGTGACATGTGTATGAGGGGAAGGGAAGAAAAAAGAAAAGGAAGGATGGGAAGAAAGGTGGAAGAGAAGGGAGAGAAAAGATAGGGGAAGGGAGGGAATAAAGAGAAAGAAGGGAAGAGAAACGGAGGGAGGCAAAGGAAAAACAGGGGGGGTGTATCTGGGTAAACAAAGGAAGAATAAAATGAAGAAAAGCAAGGGGTCAAAAGGAAAAAGAAAAGAAAGAGCCACAAAGAGAGTCTGCTCACTGTTGCCATGGAGACATTGTGAGGTAGCTTTCTCAGAGCTGGAGAAGGGAGAAAGTAGGCAAGCAGCGGTTCCAATGACACCTTGGCAATGGTGGGTATACACTAGCATAGATATATATGTATGTGAATATGTGTGAAAGAGAGAGAGAGCAAGAAGAGAATTAAGTAGAAAGGACCTGATATCAGGGGATGAGCAGAATTCGCAGATGGGTCTGGCCCCCTGAGGCAGTCCTGGCATAGGTTATATTAAAAAAAACAAACATAATTTCGGTCCCGAAATCAGGTCTCAACTGATTTTATAGTTCACTGATACACAAGTATATATGGTAATTATTTATTTGTTATGTACTTTTTTTCTTTTCTGTCTCCACCATGTAGGGTTCAGTTGGGGTTGGCCTTCAAGGACCACCAGGTCAGACTGGACCTCCAGGCTTGAAGGTATTTTTTTCATGTTTTTTCTATCAAGCCATAGCTTATCTTCCTGGAACCATCACATTCTTGTAAATGTACTCATTTCCACAGCCATTGCATAGATGTCAAACTCTATTCCTCTTTTCCATATAGTTTAAAGGAAGCAGTTTTAGTGACGAACCAATGCCTCCTGTCAGTAATGGACTGGATGAGTGTGGATAAATAATCTTAAACCAGACATGAATGCTTCTAATCAATTGAAAGGCAGATCAAGAATAGGAATTTATTCTGTGAATGCCAAGGACACAGCTCTTGAAATTGCAGGTTCCCAGATTGGGCATACTCATGAATTTAGACGTGAGCTAGCTGTCAGAGTTTTGCAGAGGTAAAACTAATGTTCCCATTGCATTTGTTCCTGAAGGTGTCAGGTCTTGTTTTAGTGATCTATGCCTTCATTATATCCTATTTTGGATTACTATTATATGGAGTTGCCTTTTGAAGCTGTTTTAAAAATACCAACTGCTTCAAAATGCTATGGTTACACAGCTTACCAAGGCTGGTTACAAGGAACACATAATTCCTCTGTTTCAACAGGTTCATTGGCTACTGGTCCATTTTTGTGTAGAATGGAAAGATCTAGCTGTAATCTATAAAGTCCTCTACAATTTGGCCTGTGATTATCTCTAAGACCTTTGTATGTGGCTTCACCCATGTACAATCCTCAGAAAGGGTTTTTTGTGACACAGTTATTACAGGAACATTTGGTGAGGACATTGGAATAAGTCTTCTCCGTGGTTCCTCCTAACATGTGGAATTCTCTCTCTTGGGAGGTTTTCTGTGCTATATTTTCTGCTATATTTCCACATACTGGCAAAGACATTTTCATTTAGACTAGCCCTTGACTGGGACCTGATTGTAGCAGAATGATCTCTGAATGATATGTGCTGTTTATGTCCCTGTTATGTTTTAAATGTGATTTAGACTGTTTAAAATTACTATTATCGGTAGGATTGTTTGCTTAATGTTTTTAAAAAGCTTTTTAATAACACGTTTCAAGTGTCATTTATTTAAATCTGTATTATAATCATCCCCAAGTCCCATGCTGGAAGAAAGGCAGGATGTGAACTAAATATATCAAATAAATAGTTTCAGAATACAGAAGTCTGTTCATATTTCAGCACTGCTGCTGGTGGACAGCTCCTGCTTAACCAGGGGTATAACTCTTGTTTTGGTATGTAAATCAACAGGGGAGGGGGTTTGCAGAGGCATCAAATTGACAGTTTTATCTTAGACTTAAAAAACTAAATAAGTAGATGAGACCATCATTCAGTACCGTATTATAAACTGTATCCTGATGCTGTGGTGTTTTGGTCTGATGAAGATGTTATTTCAAAGAGACATCATCAGCAGTATTACCAAAGTGTATTAACTAAATCTATTGGAATCACTCAAAGCTGTGGATGATTTTTGAAATTAACTCTCAATTTCTCCCTAATGTCAGAGGAAGGGTATGATCATTTGGTTTTCTTTTTGCTGGATCTGTCAGCTATTTTGTGGCTTCTTTTCAGGGAGATCCTGGATTACCTGGTCCACCAGGACCCCCAGGTTTGCGAGGTGAGGCTGGAATTCCAGGCCAGCCAGGCCTGAGAGGAGAGAATGGGCTGAGTGGTCAGACAGGACCTCCAGGGGAGAGGGTAAGATAGATAACCCCACCAGCTTTTAAATTCCCTTGCTCTGACTTCCTTTGTTACCAAAATAAATGTGTGGTAGTATTTGGGACCCCCAAATAATTGCTGCACCATATCAGTGTATGGCTGCTCTCCAGCTAAGAATTATCATCTTGAAAGATGCTTTGATTTCCATAAGGAGGAGTAATGGCCTGGTTTGTTTGAATTTCTTTAGCTGTCCTTTAGCTACTCTATTTCAATAGGAGAGAAAAAAGATCCTATTATTTAAAGCTTTTACTTTATATGAATGCATGGGTAATGTCTATCATTAAGACTTCTAGGAGGACCGCTAGGCAATTTACTCTGAATCTCCATGCTCTCCCTAGACTACTACATCCCTTCACTGGCACTGTTCTGGATTATTGACAGAATCCCAATCTGTTATCTCTGACTTGGGTGATGAAGTCAAACTTGCAAAGGTTGGGGACCGGGCTGTGGCGCAGTTGGCTAGGAGTCGGCTGCATTAAATCACCACTGACTGAAACATCATGAGTTCAAAGCCAGACTGGGACGGAGTAAACTCCCGACCATTATCTACATTGCTATCAACCTTTGCAGCCCAAAAGACAGTTGCATCTGTAGGAAATTTAGGTAGCGCGTATGTGGGGAGGCTAATTTAACTAATTTACGACACCATAAAAATCTCCAGCAGTGGTCAAAAGAATGAGGAAGTACTCCATCAAGGACTCGGTGTCACAAATGGACCATGAAGTGACAGCTCCCCCGGTGGCCGGAATTTGAGCATACGCTCCTGAAGTTTAAATTGCCTCTGTGTTTGTCTATATATGTTGTGTGTCTATGACATTGAATGTTTGACATGTATATGTGCACTGTAATCCGCCCTGAGCCCCCTGCGGGTGAGAAGGGCGGAATATAAATAATGTAAGTAATAAATAAATAAATCTTGGTGCAAATGTCTTTCCTGACCTAGTATGTGAAACAAAATTAAGAACTCTATCTGTAACCCCACCCAGCTTTGACCGTGAGTCCATTCACTGTGTCCATTATTGGAATGCAGATTTTGTGAAGCTGGTTTGGACCTCTAAACTGAAAAATCTTTTTCATACCAGGGTCTTATTGGCTTTCCTGGGAGAGATGGCACTGCAGGATCTCCAGGGCCCCCTGGGCCACCAGGACCAGGAGTAAGTACTGGTGTGTTTGGAACATAGGCTATGTAATCATCATGCCTACCCCTAGCCTATTTGAATTCTGATCCCTCTAGCAAAGTGTTACCTCTGTGTATTCTTGCACTGTGTTGTTGATAACATGATATTTTTTTCTCTCAAAATAATTTTATTTTAGGGTGCACAAGGCATTGCAGGAGTGAAAGGTGACAAGGTGAGACCCAGCTTTTGTCCATACCACCCAGAAGTTGCAAAATGCAATAAAAAGGCATATGTTGCCTCTGCCAACTTATTGAAAGCTCCAATTGGTGTAATGGTTGGAGTGTTGATCTAGGATCCCTGCTCAACTATGGAATTGTCGTGGGTGAACCCCCACCTGAACAAATCTTCCCAAGATAACCTAATGATAGATTCAAGTTTGAAACTATTGAAGACATGCAACAACAGCTTAACATCTTTGCTTGCTTACAATTTATATTTTTTTAGGGCTGCTAGTGCTCAGGCATCATTTTCCCTAGACTTCTTTAAATAATTTGATAAAAGCTTCCAACTGGTTGAAAAATATAAAAACTCTCAGCTTTCTATAAATTAAAAGGGAATTTTAGTCCCTGTAATTTCAGGTGCCTATAGAAAATCATACAGGAACTTGATTTCTTCACAAGTTGATGCTATATATAGCTGTGGTAATGGGAGACTTTATTTTTACGCTACTAATTGAGTCATTTTTAAAGTATTGCTGTAATATTTTATTGCAATTGGTTATCTGTATCCAGAATCAACCATCAATGGCTTGAAAATATCCCTCTCTCCCCGCCCACTCCCAAAAATCAACAACATACACCATTGTATATAATGGACCTGAGCATCCATTGATTTTGACATTCACTGAACAGGGTACTGTGAGGTCCTGGAACCAAACCCCATAGGATCATTGTGCAGTGCTCTCGTGTTAAGTCTGCATTTTCTGGTTAAAAAAATCATTCTCAAGTTCAAGAAGTTTGAAGTAGTTTAAAGGTTTTATTACATTTCTACCTTAAATTCATTGAAGAGGTGCTGCAGATAGCAACAGTGTTCTTGATTCCATTTTCCTGCATTATAGGGGGATACAGGCATTGGACTACCCGGTGCTAGAGGGGAGCGAGGAGATCCAGGGCCACGGGTATGTATCTCAGTCTGTTTCCATTGCCCAAATATAAAAATGAACTGCTAGTCATCCCATAGTGGGATGTGTTTGTTCCAGTATTATTAAGATCTAACTCTCTAATCAAAAGCTAGCATGGTACAATGGTTTAAGTGTTCGATTAGGAGTCTGGAGATCCAGGTTGGAATCCTCGCTTAGCCATGGAAACCCACCAGGTGACCTTGGACAAGTCACATTCTCTCAGCCTCAAAGGAAGGCAGTGGCAAGCTTCCTCTGAACAAACCTTGTCAAGAAAACCCTTTGATAGTTTACTTCTGGGTCCCCACCAGGAATGTCAGTGTGCTGGAGATAGCAAAGACCACCACTGGACTGGCCATGTTGTCTGAATGCCCGATCACCATCTCCCAAAAACTTCCAACTCAAGAAGGGAAAACAGAATGTTGGTAGACAGAAAAAGAGATTTAAAGATGGGCTTAAAGCTAACCTTAAAAACTGTGGCATAGACACAGAGAACTGGGAAACCTTGGCCCTTGAGCGCATTAACTGGAGGTCAGCTGTGACCGGCAGTGTTGTGGAAATTGAAGACGCACTAATGGAGGGCGAAAGGGAGACACATGCCAAGAGGAAGGTGCATCAAGCCAACCCTGACTGAGACCACCTTCCACCTAGAAACCGATGCCCTCAGTGCGGAAGAAATGTGGATCAAGAATAGGGCTCCACAGTCACCTACATATCTACCACCAAGACACTACACTTGGAAGGCCATCATACTCGGACAACAAGGGATTGCTTAAGTCTGCGTCTTGATAATGCAGAAGTGATTTGAAGACACACAACAACAACAACAACAACAAACTCTCTAACCAACAGCAAGCAATTGTGATACAGCAACTGGCTGTGAAGAAATTAATTTGGCTTGAAAGATAACAAGATGTATTGGACTGCAACCTGAGCATCTCTAGAAGCAGGGCATTCTGGGAATAACAATCCAACACATCAATCCAATAGCTCTAAAATAAGCCATTGCCAAAATATGAAGAAGCCATAGTTGAACACATTCTGAAGACTCAACATAGTCTAATTATGACATAGTTACTTATAGATTCATCTCGTTCATCCCTTTCGCCCCTTCCTTACCTTGTTTCTTGAAATACACTCTAATTCCTAAGGAGGGAATAACAAACTACAAGTTGAAAATAAAAACTCAACAAAAAATAAAATAAAAACATTCTAAAACACAATAGTGAAAGAAGTAACACACAGCCGTTTTTTTTAAACTTGCAAGAAGTCACCTTATAAACCCTGTCCGAATAAAAATCTTGTTGCTGGATTTTATGAAAATCCACCACTCTCAGTTTAGCCATACAACAGCCCAAAGCCATCCATCTTCCTCCAAATATTATTTTCTTTGTTCTCTCCCTAAACACATCCTTCTTTTTTTTTCTCTTAGGGTGAAGATGGGCGCCCAGGGCTGGAGGGAGACCGTGGTCCTGCAGTAAGTATCCGCTGTTTTTCTTTCTTCTATCTCTAAAACCTAAGCATAAGCACTGGTTGCCATTCTGAAATGATCTCTTTTCTGTTTTGTCTTTAGGGGCCTCCAGGAAACAGAGGGGAGAGAGGTGATAAAGTAAGTTAGGCATTGATTGTGGGGACTTGGACTTAGAAAAAGACAAAAGGAAGGGGTCTTCTGCCTAGCATGTGGCCTGCTGTGCCACAAATCCTGGATAATGAGCAAAAGCAGACATTTTTGGGAGAGACTAAATGTTAATATCTAAAATACACAGAGGAGTAGTACATCCCATACTTCACATTTCTTATGCATTCCTGCATTCAACTTCAATTTTAACAGGCTCCCAAGTCTCAGATTGTCAAGTTCCACAACTTATAAATACATTCAGTTCCCAAATAACAAACAAGATAGGTTCTGTAGGTTTGTTCTTGAGCTTAATTTACATTTAAGTGTAACCTCTATATATTTTGCTTGCTTTGGATAGCATAGGAAGGGTTAACACTCCTGTGGTGCTTGTTTTGTTGTCTGTGCAATTCAGAAGATTTCACCTCACTTTCTGTCCCTGTGATAACTGGATTTTGAAAACGTCACTTGTTGGTGATAAAACTTCAGTGGAGACACCTTTTCCCCAAGATAACTTTTCAGGAGTGAATTTCCTGTTCTAGAGTTAGATTTCTCTCATTTCCTGATGTCTCAGTCCCATTCTTAACAGTGAGTCATTCATAAATTGGATGTTTGTAACTTGGGAATAATAACAAAATTTCCCTAAGTATGATTTCAGTCAGACTAGTTGCAGCTATTTGGAGTAGAAATAACCCAAACTATGCCAAAATCTTGACAATTACGCATTTTGTTTTAACCTATACTTCCTTCATTTCTAGGGAGATGCTGGGCCTATGGGGCTAAAGGGAGACAAAGTGAGTAAACAAAGTGAGGAATACAAATGATGTGTGGACTTTAAATGCAACTTTGTTCTGAGCTGTATGTCTAACAAACCCCTTCCAATGATGCAGGATTAAAACAGTGTATACAGTTGATGTACATTAGACTTTCCTTGGAAAAGGAGAAAGGAGGCTGTTTACCTGAAGAGCTTTTATTCCACACATCCCATGTCTTAAGATGTTCTGCTTATGCCGTGCATGAGCAAACTTTGGCCCTCCAGGTGTTTTGGAACAACTCCCACAATTCTGAATTGTGAGAGTTGAAATCAAAACACCTGGAGGGCTGAATTTTGACCATGCCTGGCTTATGGGAAGTTGGACTGAGTCTATAGGACCAAGACCCATAGTTCAGTTATAAACAAAGTATTTTTCAGGCAGCTTCAGAATTCAGTCTCTGTAGGTAGAGAAGGGAAAGACTCCTTTCAAAATTTCTGCAGACACTCTTAGTATTTACAGACACGATGTAGCTAAGTAGATCTAAGTCTAGCACTGTTGTAACATCTCTCTGTGAAGTAACCTTGTGCTTTCCTTGCAATTATTTTGTGCCTTGACTTTTGTCATGTTATAGTGAAAACCTTGGTTAGTACTTATTGACTTGCTTAGATCTGCTCAAGAGAAAATATTTCCTTGCGATACCGATAGGAACTTGTGCTGTTGACAAATGAAATGCTTTGATTTCTTATTGGTTGTCATATTTTCTCAATTCTAGGGTGATACTGCCATTGTGGAAGGCCCACCAGGTGCTCGGGGAAACAAAGGAGAGCCAGTAAGTATCATGGCAGCATCAAAAATTAAAAATTATATCCTTGAGAGTTTGCATTTTTCCATTTTTCAGAAGCTTTCACTTTATGCGCTATTTGATATCTAGTCCCATGCCCTATAATTTTGGCATTTCATGTCTATTCTTCTGATTTCACTTTTGGTGATTTAGTGAGAATTCTTCTTTTTTTCACCCTTCTCTAGGGAGACCGTGGCCTTAAAGGGATGGAAGGGGACAAAGGGGACAAAGGAGACCAGGGTGTCCCTGGAGAGAAGGTAACACAGCAAATTCCAGAGCAGCTGGGGAAGAAATTGGGCTGCATGCCTTTGTCCAAAGTAAAGGAACAGACTTGATGTAGACCCATAGTACTGTTGGATTTCACACAAACAACTTGATGGGACTCAGCATACACACCAAGAACACACCAGAGTTTAGTGGCATTGAATGGTTGATCATAAATTCCTCAATACTAAATCTTATTCCTGAGTTAGGGAAGTACCTACAATAGAAATAGGTTTATTTCTTTGGTTGAGGGTAAGTCTGTTTTTAGTTTGCAAACGCTTGTGTTTTGTATTTGCCTCTTCAGCAGCAGTTGGACAGCCACTTGTGTTTAAGTTTTTTAATTCCCCGTTGTGACAGATTCCCTTTCCAGATTGGCACTGTCCTTGTCACCCTACCTTGCGTCACACTTAATCTTTTCCAGGTTTGGGTACTTTGGTCTCAAGGCGGTTCCTTCTATGTGGGCCTGTGGTTATATTGTTGTGGTGGTTTCACTAGTTAGCATGACCAGTCTCCATGAAACTTAATAAGGATAGAGACAATGGTAAAACAAAAACAAATGTATTAAGATACACATAATTAACAATGGAAACCCCCTCCACAATATTTCATAAGCTGTATTTGGTTGCCTTCATCCGGGTTTGTTTCTTCACACTCATGTTTTCAGTAACAGAAGTTTATGTTTTCAGTAACCAGAAGTTTTATCCTGCAGGGAGCAAGAGGTGAACAGGGAGAAAAAGGTTCAACAGGATTTCCAGGTGCACGAGGTCCTGGCGGGCAGAAGGTAACAGTTTAGTGTATGGGTTGTTGTAGGATTTTCAGGTTGTATGGCCATGTTCTAGAAGCATTCTCTGCTGACGTTTCACCTGCATCTGTGGCAAGTATCCTCACAATCTCTGAGGATGCTTGCCACAGATGCAGGCAAAACGTCAGCAGAGAATGCTTCTAGAATATGGCCATATAACCTGAAACACTTACAACAACCCAGTGATTCAATAATACAGCCTTCAATAATACAGTTTAGAGTGTCATTCATGTTATACATCTGTTTTTGTTGTGTTTTAACATTTGTTGTAAGAGTTGTTTAATTCTCTTGTGCTTTTATAACATTGTATGTCACCTTAAATAAAGTAAACAAATCAAATAGTTCTCTGACAAAGCTTCATGTGAAGGAAGCCACTCATGTTGGTGGATATATAGTTGCAACTCACCAACACTTGTCAGTGAAGACTTTTAGATGTCACCATTTCAAGTTCAGTCCACTCCTTCTGCCACCAACTTCTAGCCTTCTTTTTAGATATTACATTAAAAGTTGTGCTGCAGTCTTAGAATGGCTCATTCATGTGGGAGAACTCAAAAATAATGAATAGAATTTGTGACTTCAAGATAAATATTTTTTAAAGTCTTCATAGTTTGGAGATAATCTTGCTGACACTGAGAAACATTCAAACTTGAGTCCTTCTTCAGCCTTGCTCAGGGAGGGCTTCTAGAAAATTGTATACAGTAATTTAAAAGCTGGAATGATAAAGCATCCATTCCTAACTTTGTTGTTTGCAGGACACTTGATTTTTCAACTTCCTATGGTGTTTTCACACTGTGTGTTTGCCTTTGCACAGGGAGAAGTTGGTGCATCTGGGGAGCCAGGAGAGCCGGTGAGGACTTTATTTTTTTTTACTTATATTTCTACCCAGATGTGTTCAAGTAGAAGTCTGAAAGTATAAGTCTGAAAGTCACATTTCTTTGCCCTCTTTTTATCTCTCCCAGGGTCAACCTGGGAAGGATGGTTTTCCAGGAACCAGAGGGGAAAAAGGAGAGACGGGATCCTTTGGAATGCGAGGCCCAAAGGTTTGGCATGATGGGATTTCTCTTCCTTGGTTCATTTTCCTGTGTTCTTCACAATTTTTCTGTATATTCAAGCGTTTAATATGTTTCAGCCTCTTAGAATGATTTGTATTTTTTCACTTTTTTATTTTACGCGATATTAAATTAGGGGTTTTTTTAAAAAAAAATTACAGACTGTCCTAAGATAGAAGTCAGGATATAAATATTGTTAGGAATAATAAATAAATAAATAAATAAATAAATAAATATAAATGTCACAACGTAGGGATCTTTCAAATAGGAAAAGTAGTTTGTTTGCCAGCTCTTTGGGGAAATAATGCTCTTCTCAGCTATATAATTGACTTGTGAGAATATTCTCAAAAACAGGTCTGATGGCTAACATCCAATAACTCTTCATTATCAAAGACAGACTTGTCTCAGAAGTTGATCAGAAATTAGCATAATTATCCTTGAATCAAATGAAAAAGATGTCTCCTGTGCTTGTATGGCATGGTGGAGGAGGCTTTTGGTTGAATGTGAAAAAGGCCACTCCCCCTTCTGGCACCAACGACTGCTCTGGCCAGAGGGAAGACAGAGGGGAGCAGAAGACACTGCCATCTTGTCTTCTGCCTATATCATCACTTCAGAGGCCCCTCCCCCTTCTGGCACCAACGACTGCTCTGGCCAGAGGGAAGACAGAGGGGAGCAGAAGACACTGCCATCTTGTCTTTACTAATAATATAATATAGTATATTGTATATACATATAATATTTATAATATTATAATGTAATACAATATAATACTAGTAATAATAATTCAATATTATAATTATAATTATATATTTAATTACATGTAATATTACTAATAATATTACAATATAATGGTATAGTGCAATATAGTAATATATACTGATATTGTACTTTGCTAATAATATAATATATTGTATGAAAATATATATTGTAAGCCGCTCTGAGTCCCCTTCGGGGTGAGAAGGGCGGCATATAAGCGCCGTAAATAAATAAATAATAAATAAATAAAAACATACATTCAAATTCTTCTTCGATCATAACATATACTGGAGGTTTAAGAAATTCTTTTAGTCTAGCCAGATTCACCGGATCACACAGAGGCTAAAAACTCACAGAGTATGGGTTCTATTAGTGTATCTGTTTAGTAGACATAGGAGACTGATTTTAGAAAAAATGTTTCAAAAGTCATTACAAAATTAGAGGGTGCTGGTATTTTGCTACTAAAGTGTTTCTAAAGTATAATTAGTGAAAATTTTGTTACTATAACAAGAGTAACGACATTTTGTTACTTTTTAGTTATAGTAATTGTGCATGTGGGGAAACTTCAGGGGCTCCTTTCTCCCTCATTTTTACAGCTATTGGCGTGAAACCTACTACAATGGTACAACATATTTACCACTGTTAGCCCATCAAGTTTCAGAATGTCTCACTTATCCACTGATTTTGGGAGAATTTTCTAAGTTTTTATAAACAACTTTTAAAAATAAAACTACGAGAGCTATCTTCTTGAATTTTCTATACAATAACACAGGATAACAGATCACCCCCCACCCCAATTTTCAGAAATATTCATACATTTACTAATTTTAGGGACATTTAAAAAAACATTTTTAAAAGCCACAACAGCTATCTCATTTAATGTCTTTCATATTAACCAATAAAACTTCCTTTTAGGGATTTCTTTCCAGCCCAGCATAGAGTTTTACTTATTAGAAGTATCAGTCACTCTTTGCAGATTCAATAATTTATTGGAACTCTGGCTGGTTGCTGCTACAGTGGGACCAAATCTCTCCCCTATCCTGATTGGGGCTTTCTGATTCTGAGCTGAATTCTGGGAAATGTAGTTTAGGGCAGGGCCTTTTCAATTCTCTAGCTTAGGGCTCCTCGCCTTCCTAAACTACATTTTCCAGAATTCTGTGCTTTCTTTGTCTCTTTCCCAGCAAACTCTGCTTTCTCCCTACTGCTTACCTCTCCTAATGGCGAGAGGCCATTAATTTAAAGAGGAAAAGTAGCATTTTTGGCTTTGCTTTACTTCTTTACATTGAAAATGAAACTGGGTTTGGGAGGCTTCCAAGATTTACAAAATTAAAATGAAAAGGTATTGGGTTAAGTTTTGATCCTTAAGTTTTTGGCACGGACCATGCCCACGCATCAGATAGCACATCGTAAGTATGAGTCTAACGAATTTGATACGATTTATGACAACTAATAAAAAATGCACACTCCTGCTGTTTAGATTTGTTTATGTTGTGCTGAGGTGTTTTGTTTATGCTATATTTTTTAATGTTCTTAGTGGATGACATGTCTAATAGAGTTTCCTTACAGAAACACTAATAGATGTAAATACAAATGCAGACATATCACTGAATACATCAGAAATAGTTAATCTAAGGTGGTATTTTTGTCTAATTGTAGGGAGAAAGGGGAATGAAAGGGGCCTGTGGCCAGGATGGAGATAAAGGTGAAAAGGTGAGTGCTAGAATTTCTTTCCAGTCTCTTTAACTTAGGCGATTTCTGATATATTGGTGTGCAATCATGTCTGTGACTACACAGACATATTAAGAAAACTGGGAAGCCTGAGATTTGTCACACCTTTTTAAGGGAAACTGGTGTCCTTGCTAAAAGGTATATGTATCAGCACTCATCTCATCCCTTGTCTTTTTTATACCAGGGCTGGGAAAAGTGATGATTTGCCAACTTTGCCATGGGGAGCTAGTTTAGGTTCACAGAAGCCTTTTTTGTCAACAAAAGGGGGGTTCAGAAATCAAGGTCAAAACCTGGAAATATTTCCCCATAGTTCCTAATGGTTTTTTTGAGGCAATTATTTTAAAAAACAATAACATAGTGATGGGTAGGAGGTGGTTCTCTATGATCTCCTGATAGCCCAGTGCACTTCCCTAATGCAGGTCAGTTACCCACTCTGGTTTTAGTTTCTTTCTGTGTCTCTTCTAGGGAGAGCCAGGTCTGCCAGGCCGAATGGGAACTGCTGGAAGGAAAGGAGACGCTGTAAGTACTCCCAGCATATAAAGAAACAAATAAAATAATACCTTTGGAAAGGTCAGCTTCACTTCTGCTTTGTTTTCCTAGGGGGAGATGGGCATGCCTGGATCCCCAGGAATCCCTGGGAAAGAAGGTCTCATAGGACCCAAGGTATGGTCTAAATATAAATAACACTAAGAAAATGTGTGTGGCTTTGTATCTTTCTCCACTCAGTCCCAAGATTATGAATACTATGGATACTAAAGGGACCCTGAAGGAGTTGTTTTTTAAAATATATATTAATTTTAGTTAATTAAAATATTCCGTATCTTGTCGTACTATTTCATTCATTAAGTGGCAGACCACCTTAATCTTTAGAGATGAAGCTTCGCACAGACCTGGAACAGTTAGTTCTATAGAAGTCCTCTTGGTCTTGCCACACATTCCTTCTCTCTGTAGACCTCCTGAGCACTTCAAAGACAGCAGAGAAACAGGGAAGGTTCTTGCTGCCTGGTAAACATGGGAGGAGAGAGAGCGGATGAGAAGGGTGGTGTCTCTATCCCTGCCTTTGCTGTGCCAATGGCTGCAAATGCTTAATAACTTTTTAGAAATAACCGCTATTAAATCCTAGTGTTTCTCTGTTTCATTTCACTAGAAAGGTCTGTTCAATTTTCTATATGACTATAGAAGGAATAACAGATTTCATCAATACTGGTTCCACAGATACCAGGGATATATGAAGTTATTTTGCCTATGCTTGCTGTGCCAATCGCATGAAATGGGAGGCTTGTCTTTACTAAACTAAAAGTGCTCCCCCCACAGCCCTTAGAAGGCATAGGACCAAATTTTTGTATATTGGTAAGCCAAGTTGTTTTAGACCCAGAAGGAAAAGTAAACTGGAGCTACTGAAGAAAGGCATATTTGCCTTATGGGGTGTGGGGTTAGGGTTAGGGTTAATTATGCCCCCCACACTCACAAATAGGGGGAAAGGCCAAGGTTCTTTGGAAACTCAAAGCAACTTCAGGGCCTCAGAAGCACGTGTCGCCATAAAGTAGTTAGTCAGAGATACAGCTCTGTTCACTGGACAGCCTCATAATAATTTTCTACAAAATATAAATAATAATAATAATAATAATAATAATAATAATAATAATAATAACAACTCTTTTTTACATAGAGTTAAAGTGAGACTTCTTCCTTCAATGTGAGATTATGATCATCCAACCAAATGAGAAGCAAGTGAACTCTTGAAACTGCTCTCTTACCTGTATCTGAGTGCAATATACAGCTTGTCATGCTCTGAAAGATAAACCAGTCTTGAAAAATAATTCTGTTTATTAATCATTATAATCAGTGTGCTGATTTTTCCATAGGGTGACAGAGGATTTGATGGCCAGCAAGGAGCCAAAGGAGACCAAGGAGAAAAAGGGGACAGGGTATGTTATGAAGAACAGAGAAGTTTGCTGCTTCACCGGAATTTTAAAAGAGTGCTATTATTCTCTTAACTAGATAGACATTTTATTTTATCTATAACGACTCTTCTTATGTTATTATGGCTAATTTCAACATTCTAATTAGTTTTTTCATGTGACCCTGTGTAAACACAGTGCTCCACCCTTATCTACTAGCTTAGATACTTGGTGCCGCTTCGGTGTCAGAGGGGCCACTGTCCCCATGTTTTCATCCCTTCTTTCTCTCTCTTTCCTTTCCTTCCCTACCCTCATATCTTTCCCCTTTTCCTTTCTCTTCCTTCCTTTCTTCATTCCTTCCTTTTCCCTTCTTCTTTCCTTTCTTTCTCTTTCTCTTTCTTTCATTTCTTTCTTTGTTCTTTCCCTCCTTCCTCTCATATACTTGTCATCTTTCTTCCCCAGTGATATGACAGAGGGCCAGTTCACCTAGCAACAGCCTTCATGTTACGAACAGAGAAACATATATACAAATATACATAAATATGTTGACTTTTTATATTTATAGAAGATTTGTCTATCTGGAAGAGCTACAGTATGTATGTTTATTTGTTTGTTTGTGATAAGTGAAATGGCTCTGTGTGAGGTCACTGGATTGGCTGTTACTAGATGAACTAGCCCTCTATGGTGTCACTGGGAAGAAAAGATGACATCACTATTATGTCACTGGGAAGGAAAGGGGAGGGAAGGCAAAAAGAGAAAAAGAAGAGAAAGAAAAGAAAGGAGAAAGGGAGGGACTGAAGGTGGAATTTCAAGAAAAGAGGAAAGAAAAGATGAAATGGAAAGGAAAGGAAAATCTGACCAATTGTTAAATGAGTATTTGCATATAGAACCTTTACTAAAAAGAAATTTGATATCTGTATTAGATTGAGAAAATTGTTCCAAATAGTGTTCCAGAAAATGTACTAAAACAAAAACATTTGAAAAGTCTACAAGGAACAGTCCTTGTCAAATATTTTTCAAAAAAAAATTGAAAAAGCGAAAGCCATTATTTAAAGTAAATTCTTCAAACTGAAAATTGGGCTTTTGCTCTAAACATTTGAGAAGCTCTGATATTCAGCTATAAACCAGTGCAGAAACGGGTGAAATGCTACTGATAATTGGAGGACTGTTATTTTCTGCATCAAACATTTTCCCAGTGAATAAAAGGGAACTATGGTAGACAGGGTATGGATAAATTGCTTTTTTGTGATGGAAGTGCCCAGGATTCCTCACCTAGATTACTGGTGGTTATAGTTTCTAAAAGTAATAGTAACAAAAGTTTTCCCACTGTTATTTATAGGTGCAAACAATTTCAGTGAAATAGTTTTTCAGGAAGAGTTGATCCAATATAGCAAATGATTGACTCTTGTAGAAGCAAGGCTATTAGTAGTTTTATTTTCAAGATTGCAGAGTTGCAATTAATGCTTCCCTCTTTTTTTCTTAGGGTGCTCCAGGCATTATTGGCTCTCCAGGACCAAGAGGAAATGATGGACCTCCTGGGCCTATTGGGGCTCCTGGCAGCATTGGACCAAAAGGCCCAGAAGGCATGCAGGGGCAGAAAGTAAGTAACAATCATCTGGTAATTTGATTATTTCTGTTGTTTTTGTTGTGGTTGTTGTTGTTGTTGTTGTTATGTTTATGTTTGTTTATATCCCGCTTTTTCTCCCCACAAGGAGTCTCAAAGCAATGTGTGTTGATAGCTTTCATGGCCGGAATCACTGGGTTGCTGCGAGTTTTCCAGGCTGTATGGCCATGCTCCAAAAGCATTCTCTCATCTATTCCTGCCATAGATGTGGGCGAAACGTCAGGAGAGAATGCTTCTGGAACATGACCATACAGCCTGGAAAACTCAGCAACTCAGACTCAAAGCAGCTAGGATCTGCTATTCTGGACATCATCACTTAGGAGAAGCTTTTGTCCTCTGTTGCATCTTGAAATTCATATCACAGCAAATGCATTTTTATTGTATTTATTGTATTTTAACTGTATTTTTAACCCAATACACACAATACTGTTTAATTTTTTTATTTTTGTATTTGCTTTGTTTTAAAGTGATCAAAGTGCATGACTGTTAGCCACCTTGACTCTCCTCGAAGAGGGAGGAAGGTATAAATAAAGTAAACAATGATTCAAAATAATAATAATATTATTATAATAAACTTTATTCATATCCCTCCTCCTCTCCAAACAGGACTTAGGGTGGCTTACAGAAAATAAAGCACAGTCCAAAAACTAAAGCAAAAATAAAACATAGTACATAAACTGCAATCTCAAAAACCTAACAGAAAATAAAAGGCAATACAAAAACCAAGATAAAAATAAAAACGTAATACATAAATGACAATCTCAAAACCTAACAGAGTAACATAACAATAACGCAGTAGAAAATAACATGATTTTTTTTTTTGCTGGATTTAAAAATGTCTTGAATCTGCTCTGCTGTTTGTGTCAGATAACCCGTGTGAAGTCACTATAGTGCTTTGTCTATATGAATATAGCTAAATATGTTGAATTTCTCATTGCAGGGGGAAAGAGGGCCCCCAGGAGAGTCAGTGGCAGGACCACGAGGAGTTCCAGGTATAGCAGGAGAAAGAGGAGAACAGGTTTGTAAATAGATTTTAAACTATCTTTGGTGTGATACAGATACCATAAGGTTTTATTTTTCTTGAAATTAAATCGGGATGTGGAATCACTATTATTTATGATATTTATTTATTTATTTATTTACAACATTCCTACCCCACCTTTCTCCAACCTGGAGATGACTCAAGGCAGCTTGACAGCCAAGCAGTCATTCAATGCATTCGACAATATGCAACTAAAAACAACATTTAAAACAGAATTATAAAATACATAAAATATGGAATTTATTTGGTTTTATATTATATAGTATTTTTGCATGCTGTCTGGCTAATTTGTTTTAAAATTGGATAATTTGTTTTAAAATTGGATAATTTGATATTCTTCTTTTATATGATTCTATCATTCCCTCTGTGTGTGTTTGTGCATATGCACACATATTTTTTAAATTGTACACCTTTGATTGGAATTCTTTTGTAAAGCACAATTTCTTTTGTAAAGCACAATAATAGCAATAGCAGTGGATTCTAGGTGGGGTGCTTCAAAATGCATCCTCAAAATCTATTATCTTCAAAATCAACGGATGAAGGGGGGAAATTCCAATTTCCTAAATATACTAAATATTCTTTAGTATAAAATATTTACAATTTTGATTATATAAGATGAAGGCTTTTCTATTTTTCATAATTATGCCCAATTTTCTATGCTAACTAGATTATCGATAAAACATCTTACATTGCTAAGGTAGTAAAATAAAAACTGGATCTGATATGAAATTAAGTATTGCTTATATTTCCGTCCTGCAAAATTCTCCATCCCATCCATACATTTTTTTTATTTATTTATTTATTTCATTATATGCTGCTCTTTTCTCCCAACATGAGTCCCAAGATGGCTTCTAAACAGAGCCAATTTTAAATTACAGTAGATTTCTTTAAAATCACCTCATAAAACATTTTAAAAACAAAAGTTTAAAAATATAAGTTATACCCTCCACCTACTTATACATGAAGAATCTACTTGAAAAAATATATATTTGCCTGCCATCAAAAAGAAAGCAGGGAGGGGGTCAGCCTAGCCTCTTGTTTAAATGTGTTCTAGAGGATGGAAGAAACCACCAAGAAGGCTCTCTACAAAATCTGAGCTATGTATCTCATCTGCACTAGGCTTCTGTCACAGGAATTTATGAAACTGAACGTCTCAGCCAAAATGCTCTTATTGTCTGCATTCAGCTACTTTCTTTTCTGTTTGATAACAGGGAAGCCCAGGGCTTGATGGCCCCAGAGGAGAGAAAGGAGAGCCTAGCATGACGGTGAGTGGAAAGGGAAGGAGAGAGAGAGAGACTTTTCCATCTTTTGGCTCACAAAGTTCTGAATCAGACCCCTGGCATAAAATAAGAAGTTACATATTGCTTGCCATCTATGTCCATTGGCTAGGGTACTACACAAGAATTGGATAGTGAAAATCTTCTCATGTGAAGTTACCCCTTGCTGAAACCACAGATCTCTTCTAGAATCATAGAGTTGGAAGAGATTTCGAGGGCCATCAAGTTCAACCCCCCTGCCAAGAAGCAGGAAAATCACATTCAAAGTACCCCTGACAGCTGGCCATCCAGCCTCTGCTTTAAAGCCTCCAAAGGAGCCACCGCCACACTCCAAGGCGGAGAGTTCCACTGCTGAACAGCTCTCACAGTCAGGAAGTTCTTCCTAGTGTTCAGGTGGAATCTTCTTTCCTGTAATCCCTGTTTTTATTTTGCCTTGGCACTTGTACTGAAATATTTAGATCAGAGAAGTCTGCTAGTTACTCCTCAGAGATTTCATGTTATTTGCTCATCCTTGGGAAAATAATAGCACTGGAATAGATCTCAGTTTATATTTGTGTTGACATGTTTCTGCAGGAAGAAGAGATCCGACTGTATGTCAGGCAGGAGATGAGTCAGCACTGTGGTAAGGCACCAGCCACCACTAACCTGTGACCTCTTGTGCTTTCATTGTGTCATTTTCTGTCTTAAAATTCTGTCTTTTCTGTATCTTTACATATTCATTTCCTACTTTTGTACAGGGTGCTTCAGTTGTGTTGCTCTGGCTGAGCTTGAATCTTAGGCGCTGTTCCACAATGATAGTTACCAATGTGTTTTGTTTTATTTGGAGTGTTCATTAAGATTGCTCTTTCCAAGCCAAAGTGTTCTCTTACATAAAAGTTCTGCTACTGAAGTATCTGTAGACTACAGTATTGAGGAAGTTGCCGATCTCTGCATCTTTGTTAGCAGTTATTTTCCCCACTTCCATATTTCCAATTGAAATAGAACACCCTTTACTGCCAGCTTGCCACAGGGGAAATGTGTAAGTATATGTATATTTCCCTCATAAGGAAAATATCAACTGGAAAGGCAGTTACCACTTCAACTTTTTTCCATCCTTCTTGCTGTTGCCAAGACATTGGCAGCCTCTACAGTATTCAGTTTAAAAACTGTTGAGAGGTCAGCTCACAAATAATTCAGGCAATCTGTAGTTGCACCTTATGCTTCCAGTCTGGGTGCTTGGATGAATTAATCACTACGCCATTTTTCTTTTCAGCTTGTGGAGGCCAGTTCTCCCCTCCCGAACGACGTGAGTATTTTGCATACTGCTAACTGCCTTTTCCTCCACAGTATCATAATCCCAGCGAGTGGCAAAGAGTAGAACCAGCGTGTTACTGAAAAACCGACACTGAGATTATGAGTACAGTTTGTGCTCTTACACTTGCAGAAACACAAAACTGCATTAAGAGTTGAGACATCACACTGGCAACGAAGATCTGCATAGTTAAAGCAATGGTATTCCCCGTAGTTACCTATGGATGTGAGAGCTGGACCATAAGGAAGGCTGAGCAAAGGACGATAGATGCTTTTGAACTGTGGTGTTGGAAGAAAGTTCTGAGTGCCTTGGACTGTAAGATGATCCAACCAGTCCATACTTCAAGAAATGAAGCCCGACTGCTCACTGGAGGGAAGGATGTTAGAGACAAAGATGAAGTACTTTGGCCACATAATGAGAAGACAGGAAAGCTTGGAGAAGACAACAATGCAGGGAAAATGGAAGGAAAAGGGAAGAGGGGGAAACGAAGGGCAAAATGAATGGATGGTATTGTTGAAGTAACTGGCTTGATCTTGAAGGAGCTGGGGGTGGCGATGGCCTACAGGGAGTTCTGGCGTGGGCTGGTCCATGAGGTCACAAAGAGTCCAAAAGGACTGAACAAATAAAGACAACAAAACTGCCAGGAATATGGAAGTAGTGTCATGAGAAAGGAAACAAATTCTCTGATGACTTCATTAATTCCAACAGAACAGCAAAGCTATTCTTGAAGACTTCTATCTATTCTTGTAAAACTGTTATTTAGAAGGTCTACCTTCTTTTTAATCTTCAAAGGAGATTTTTAAAATAATCTTGTTCAGTCTCACAAGTCTGTAAAAGTAAAGGAAAAAGCAGGAGATGTATGATACCCTCTTGAGGCTAAATTAGATGCCTTGGTGCACCGGTTTTCACAGAACATGTGAAAAGTGCTGGGAGAGTGCCATGGTCTGGAGGAGAGAAATAGCATTTACAAGAAGGATGCTAACCCAATATCCAACCAACCATTTCTCCCTACATTCTTTCCAGTTGAGCCAAATGTGTAAGTAAAAGGAAAAAGCCTGAATGAAGGGGAAAGGGGAAGTGGCCAGTAAAGGGATGTCAGCTACTTATATTGCCATACCAATATTTTCTTTGAAATTTTGCACCTCCCTATCACCTCTGCTTTTTAGATGTTTATCAGAGAGCCATACTCTCAGTTTAAGTAATTTCAGGCTCAATATATTTACAGTTCTGCTGGGAGCTGGTTCTTCATTTTCCAAGTTAAAATGTAAGGCTACATCCATTGACTGGATCACACATATTTGCAAACCTGGTTGGAAATTAGCAAACTGGACATCTATCCTCTAGGAACGTCAGTCCTCCAGATATTCAGGACTTCAGATTCTATAATTTCTGACTATTAGTTGAGATGACTGGAGTTTGTGGGATTTGGAGTTCAGAACACCTGGAGGACCAAAGTTTCAGAACTGCTTCTCTACATTAATATTACCTAAATCATAATCAACTTTTCCAAAAAGGAGAATCGTGCGTGGTAGAGTAGAGAAATTGAGAAAGAGAAGATAATATTTCAGAGACAATCAGGATCCCAACAGCACAGGTGATCAAGGTGGCAAAGAGTGCCCAACAACAGAAAGCATCTAAGTAGATTACAGGAACTTGTCTAATGGAAGTAAAGGGTATTTTTAAAGATTAAGTCCACCTATTTTCATATAGCAGGGAGCATCCATTAACCACATGAGCTCAGGGGTTAATTGAATTGGATTGCAGTAGTAAAAGATGTATTTACAGGGTTCTTAGTGCTTATGTTTATGTATGAATTCAACATTATTTCGCTCCACTAGTGGCACATGCTGCCTCAAATACTGTGTGTTTTTTTTTGTTTTCTTGGCTTACATGTCCTATTCATGTTTGACTACTTGCTTCTCATGTTGTCTATTGCTGAATGTTTGATCCACTAAGACAAGCCAGTGCCCAAGACCACTCCACATGCCTCATCCCAGGTAGGATGACTCAGTACTTAACAATGACCTTCTGCTATTAGGAATGTGGATATCTAAGTGACTGAGTAATGGCATGGAACTAGATTGACACAATCAAAAGGAGTTTGACTGTAACAGTCCCAATTGGCCATTTCACAAACTTTAATTCAGGATTACTTGCATTGTATTCAATGTCTAACATTTATGGAAGACAAGCTCTTGAACTCTGGCTGGTGGGCTGTCTATGTTTATGTCTAGCATAGAGGAACAAGCAATGTGTCTATTATTCTAATGTGCTTGATGATGTGTGCATTGTGCCTTACCCCTCCCAGGTCTTGTACCCAACTATCCATCCACCCAAACGCTCCCGTCTGTTAATGCTGTTAATGCTCAAATAGTCCCTGTGCTTAAGTTGTCCCATACTGAGGAAGAGGAAGGTGAGTCTTTTATGCATAGTCCTTTCCTGTGCATGCCTTGGTCAGGATGTATAGTATTTATATAATCGCCATCACCCTATTTTCTTAAGACACAAAACAGTTCCAACTGTATTTTCACTCTTTGTTGTATGACTAACTAGGCAATATGTGAACTGTTTAAAAAGCAGCATTAAGTATAGTTTCATTATATTTAATGTAGGCCTATGTCTGGCTGAGGCCAATGTACAATGAGCTTAATGACATTAATATGAAAAAGAGTTCTTGAAGACTAAAGATGCAAAGACTATAAAGGCAGTCCCCAAGTTACAAACATACAACTTACAAATGATTCATAGTCAAGAATGGGACTGAGACAACAAGAGCCCCTAGTGGTGCAATGATTTAAACCTTTGTGCTGGCAGGACTGGTCAACCAATAGAATGGTGGTTTGAATCCATGGAGCAGTTTAAGCTCCTGTCTGTCGAGCTCTAGCTGCTCATGCAGAGACATGAGAGAAGCCTTCCACAGGATGGTAAAATATCAATCATCCAGGCATCCCCTGGGCAACATCCTTGCAGATGGCCAATGATCTCACACCAGAAATGACTTGCAGTTTCTCAAGTTGCTTCTATCATGAAAAAAAAATCAGGAAGTGAGAGAAATCTATCCCTCGGAAAGGAAATTCACTCTTGGAAGAGTTATCACGGGGAAAAGGTATCTCCACTGAAGCTTTCTCACCAACCCTTCTTTCCACAACAAGCCAAATTTTTCAAAAAACGATCATCACAGGGAAAGAAAGTGAAGTGAAATCTTCTGAAAAGGGGCACAGACAGCAAATTGAACACCACAGGCTGGAGTTTTGACTTACATACAAATTCAACTCAGGAACAAACCTACAGAACCTATCTTGTTTGTAACTTGGGAACTGCCTGTATATAGTACTGTGGTAATTGTCTTTAGGCAATTGAACAGTCTGGCACAGATTAACAACTGTATATTTCTAGCACTTCATCCCAAATAAAAGCCAGAGCAGCAGTACTCATTTTATCTGTAACCAGATGTCACATTTTAATCAGTCATGTTCTAAAGATGGAAGAATAAACTATCTCAAATAGATGCAGTCCACCCATTTGTTGTTCTTTCCTTGGCATTTGGTTGTTTTCATTCTTGGAGATATTCTAAACCAGCCATTCATGTTTCGTAGGGGGCCAGGTGCAAAAAATAATGGAGACAGGTGAGCCTGAGTATGAGTACTTCTATGCAGAGGAGGAGGAGGACTACAACCAGGGCCTGGGAGCAGATGGGACAGAGAGTCCTATGCTGAGGGATGGTGAGCTGCGCAAAGCATGTTTGGAGACATTTGGGAGTGAAAACACACACATGGGAATGAATAGCAGCAGGGTAGAGCACTGGGCTTGTATTCAAATCCAATCAAAGTGACTAGCAAACATATATTACTATGAAAACTGTATGAAAACCTATATGAAATGACCACAGATTAGAAAAGTTTTGAATTACAGTTACTTGAATTCTGCATCCAAAACAGGCAGAGGCCAGGCTGGCTGGAGGATTCTGGGAACTCTAGTCTGAAAGTAATTCTATTAAGCTCAGGAAGTGATCATGTAATTTTGCATCAAATTATTAGTAAACATTTGTGATAAAACATTTATAGCCAAATATTCATTATGATATATCATGGCCAGTAGGGAAAGATATAAAGGAGAAAAAAACCTAGCTAAAAGATTTGACTTTTCTAAGTGCTAGGGAAAAAAGGCTTTGCCAGAATTAGATCCTTGTGGTCTTTTTCCTATTCTATCATCATAATAAAAACCAAGTATCAGTAGCATAGCAGCAAGATAGTGAACTACAAATGAAGATGCCTCTATGTGATGACAGAGGGCAGAAAGGAATCCTCAGAATTGGACTCGGTAAACTTTGCTCATTTTGATTAGTGTTATCCCACATAATTGAATCCTGTTTTGTGCACTGTCCCTGCAGAAGTGGTTGATAGTAAATTCAGCATTAAGTGTCAGATGTTTCTTGGGAGTCCATCTCTTTGGCAAAATTAATTATAGTGTTCCCAAAGAGGAGCTTTCTGAATTTCTATTTTATTAAAAGTGGGAGGCAATATTGTGTTTCTTCCTTTTTTTTGTCAAGTGTTTGCTTTTTTTAAATGTGAAACTATCCATGAAACCTGAAGCCTAGACTCATGTCATACTTTTCAACTTAGGACCTAAAGGAGCATGTGAAGTGTGATTAAGTTATGATAATGACTTCATAACTCATTATGTGCATGCAAAATATATAGTGTAGTTTTTAAAATTAATGTTTTGACTCATTTGAAGGCACATGCCATGAAATGGGCCCTTTGTCAATACTTTCCATTGTCTGGGTGGGTGAGGAAGGAAGGGTAGTTAGGAACCAGAAGCTTCTTCTGGGTCCATGACCGGTACTCTGCTCCCTGTTTGTAGAAGTAATGAGCCCAAAGGCAGCTCCCAAGCATGGACGGCAAAAGAGAGCTCCTCCTGAGGAAGGTAAGAAGCAGACCTGCCATATGGAGGAGTGGCTATCTCCTTTCCTTCCATCCTCTTGAAATTTATATTTATTCATTTCTCCCATTTCTGATATAGTGAATCATACAACAGATTATCTAAGATAAGTTTAGTAAGATACAATTTATTGAGTAAGTGTAGCCTGGCCTGTGCTATTGCCCTCTGGGCCAACTGTTTTGGGAGAAAGTGGCAAGAATCCCAGAAGGATGAATATGGCTCAACTTCACTCTCATATTAAGATAATGCAGTATTACTGATAAAGCTTTCACTTGCTGTTCAGAACCAATGCTTCAAAGAATGGTCGAAGCCTTTGGTTCTTCAGTGTGGCTTCCAGGCCCTAAAAACAGTGTTATCTGATTGTTGACTTAGAAGTAACTGTGTAGGTTGGAAACATGAAAGCAAAGTTCTTGTATCTAAAACCAATAAAATAAAAAAGTCTTTGCCCGTGTCCCAAAAGGTCTATAAAGAAGTGGCAATGAAGACAAGGCCCAGTTTCCAATGCACTAAGTATAGCATATTAAGAGGCATTGAGATTGAACACAATAACAAGACTTTATTGTCGTAACAGTATTTATTTTAGCCAAAGAAATGTAGAACGCTTCCAAAAGGAAACCTCACAACATTCTTGAGGTGGTGTTAGGGATATCTTGTATAGCCAAAGTAAATGTTACTACCTGGTTTCCCTCTTGCTATCTGCTTACTTTCATAAACATCAGGAAATGTGTGAAGTCTCCCCATTCTTAAAAATCACAGTCTTGCAGTTGCTCCCCCGAGTGCAGCAGTGCTTTTTTTTCTCTTAAGAAGAAAAGGGTTTAACTGTAATATAGACTAAAAACAATGTGGCTGCTCTTACCATATAAGAAAGGAATTGTGATGGTTGCAGTTTACTAATAAGAAAGTCCCACTGCACTAATTGTGAAACATGAAAATCTTGAAACCTAGCTTAGAAGGCATGCAGCAGGCAGTTAAGGCTGACACAAAATATAACATTGTTCTTTAGGTAGAAGTATGCAAGGAAGTATATGTGTATAACTCCAGCTTTCTGATATGTTCGCTCACAACCGTCTGTGGCTCCTTTCTATCCCACTGTTGCATTGTCTTAAAGCTATGTCTAGGATACAAAGATGTTCAATGTTTTCTGTTGGGGTTCTCATAAATGTAATAATAATAATAATAATAATAATAATAATAATAATAATAATAATAGGTCCCAGCGGTGATTGGCACATTGGGTGCAGTGCCTAAAGACCTTGGCCTGCACTTAAAAATAATCAACGCTGACAAAAAATACCATCTATCCACTGCAAAAAGTCACCCTAGTCGGATCTGCACACATTATTCACCGATATATCACACAGTCCTAGACACTTGGGAAGTGTCCTATGTGTGATCCAATACAAAAGCCAGCATTGTTTGCTGTGTACTAATCTTGTTATGTATATTATTATTATTATTATTATTATTATTATTATTATTATTATCATCATCATCATCATCATCATCTTTATATCCTGCCCTCTCTCCCCGAAGGGTCTCGGGGGCAGCTGACAACAGAAGAAACACAATGTAGTAATAGTTAACATACAACCCAATCAAACTTAAATCACACAATAATTAAAGCATTAAAACACCATAAATATATCAATAACATTCAGAAGGGCATGATCAATGGACATGGAGTTATGTGACAATCAAATGTAGCATTTGAGGGTGGATGTTTAAACATTGAGAAATCCAATGTAAGTGTTTATTCATTTTATTCTTCCAGGCAATCTATGTGCCTTGCCCTTGGAGGAAGGAGACTGCAGCAAATACACACTGAAGTGGTACTATAACCAAAGAGTATCAGAGTGTCGACCCTTCATCTACAGTGGTTGCAAGGGAAATCGCAACCGCTTCAACTCCAAGGAAGATTGTGAGCTTCAGTGCAAGCCACACAGAGATGCGGGTGAGAACTGGCAAAGGAACTCCCAACTACTTTTCCCTTCCTCCTCAGTTTTACATTTCTGAAGTGTGCTGTTTCTAATAATGTTTCTTTTTTATAGGTGAAAGAACATAGGATAGGAACAGAAGTGTATAGACTCTGTAAGGGATTTCGTTTTTGGGAGAACTGGAGAAGTAACCAAAAGAAGAGACCCAGTCTTTGTGGCTCCCTCCCAACCCATTCTTAGCCTGCACAAGGTTTTAAGAGACATATATACACTCACACACAAAGCATTCAATCTGAGGCTTACTTTGCTGCCATTTCTATGCCCTGCAGCACAGTTGTGTGTTCTTGTATGTGTGTAAGTGGACTGCTTCAACTGGAGCAGAGAAATGGTGCTATTCTTTTTATTAAAAAAGTATTTTTTGTTGCTCTTGAATTTATTTCTTAAATTAAGGTGAAATTTTTATCAAATGGGATACATAGCATAACCTCTTTTATATATGATATAAAAAGACATATTTTTAATTAGAGCTCTCTTAACTTATTGATGATAGCTGACTGATGACACATGGAATGTATTCTAGCCAGACCAAACTGATTTTATTTGTAACTTGCTTTAATTTGGGTTTATAGGACTGCCAGGTTTTCCTCTGAGAGTGGATTAGTAGGAAACCTGTCTGACGTTTTCTGGGGAGCCAGAATACTCTTCAATTAATGAGCAATAACATACAGAACAATCCTATGTTTCACTGCCAAAGTTAGAATTCAGTGTTTTATATAGCTATTGTTGTCAAAGTTATCAGCTTATTTCTGTGGCTATAAACCCAACCATCCCTTTATTTTGTAGTTTTACACTTTTTATTAAGTGAGGCTCAAGGAGTGCCGGGCTGCCCGTCTGTCGGGAATGAGAATTTCTCACTTGGAAAGAACTAATCAGATAAAAGTTTTCAGTGGTGCTTGTTAAGAACATCTCCCCCCCCCCCCCCCAAAAAAAAAAAGAAAGAAAGAAACTTCAGTTTACAATCATGTTATTCTCTTCCAACCATTTTCCTTTCCTTATTCCTTTCTGTCATAGCCTTCTGGCATCATGTTGTAGTAGCACAACTTTTTTTAATGTAGGCATGAAACATTGTAACTTTCTGATTTTTTTTGTGCTAATATCCTACACTGAATATACCCTTAGTAGCACCGGAAAGTCCCCAGTGGCACAGTGGGTTAAATCCTTGTGCCGGCAGGACTTTAGACCAACAGGTCAGCAGTTTGAATCTGGGGAGAGCGGGTTGAGCTCCCTCTGTCAGCGCCAGCTCCCCATGTAGGGGCATGAGAGAAGCCTCCCACAAAGATGGTAAAACATCAAAACATCCGAGCATCCCCTGGGCAACGTCCTTGCAGACAGCAAATTCTCTCACACCAGAAATGACTTGCCGTTTCTCATGACCAAAAAACAAAGAAACAAACAAACAAATGGAAATCTGTCTTAGGCCTCATATTGGGAGAAAGGTGGGATATAAATTAATTAAACAAAGTATACAAAAACTTTCTATATCTTTAAGATATGGAATCTCTGAAAATGGAAATCTGACAAATCAGATTTGAGTGTCCAGGCATATTCATGATTCACTAATAATGATACTGGAAGATTTGAGCAATTGTGATTTGATACCCATCCCAAGTTCTGTCCTGTAGGAAGTTCTTTAAGAACTGTCCAAACTATTCCACAGAAGTGAGATACAAATATAATGTACAAATACACTTATGTCTTCTGGAAAGAGTCTTCTATCTGCATGGGTCTCTCCAGCTAGTAGTGGGAAGATGGAGGAATCTGGGTAGCCAGTTTGGCCAAAAGACATTCAGATTTTTAAATGTTAAAAATATTCAGTCAATCAGATGTCTCTTTTGTATCTTTACTTACTTTTGGCTTTGGAGATCTGAATTGGTATGCCTTCTTTTCTCAAAGTAAAATGTTCTAAATTATTTTGTAGTTCCTGATTTGCTTGGGATTTCACCATATTGGCTAATTTGAGTCATCTGTACACTTGACTACCTCACTACTCACCACTTCCAGGTTGTTTATGAATAGTCAAACTAGACAGACATGGTACAGATCTTGGTAGGATCCCACCGCTTAATTCCCTCTGTAGTGAATATTGTCCATTTATTCCTACTTAGTACATAATGTTCTTCAATCACTTAGTGGTACATAAGAGGACCTGATTTTTTAATTCATGGGGTGTTCAGTTGGGAGGATGGGGTGAACAACATTATTAAATAACTAGAAAATACTAAAATACTATCAAGATATAACTTCTGTGTATGCTTGCTACCATAAAGGCCCATATTGCTGTAAGAGATCAAAGAGGAAACACCCTTTTATGTATATATTGCTCATCAGTGAAAAAAAGAGATCATTTGAAAAAGTTTCACCTTAATTTGGAATACCAATCAATGGTTTGAAATAGCCATGTGTTGGAGGACATTACACAAAAATCAGAGCACATTTATTTTTGTAAGTGGCTTCTGTGTGAAGCACTCATTGCATTGGCTTTCTAAAACCTACCATATTATAGAAATATTCAGTGAAATGCCGAGAATGGTGCTATGCTATTGTTATGTTGCTATTACTACTGGGCATTTTTAAAAGTGTGTTTCAATTCTGGTTTTCCATTATTGCCTTTTCTCAGCTTTTAAGCTTTCTGTCTGAGCTGCTGCTTCTTTTCCTCTCCATTCAGACTCTACATTTTGGTGCAAAATCTGATCTAATCAATAGTTTTAGTGATCTCAGTAGAAAATTGATGGCAATTGAGAAACAACTGTATATGTAAGGATATTATATGTATGCTATGGTGCTTGTATGAAACATGTCAATGACAGCATGTGAGATTATTTGGTGCAGTTGCAATAATTATTTGGTGCTTCTTTGGCTGGGTAAGCAGCACTTCATATCCCACCAAATAATTCTGGAATCAATGGGTTATGGGGTTGCTTTCTTACCAGGTTGTTTATTAAACAACCCAATCTTGAACATTTCTTCTTAATCATAAGCTTCACTGAGGGATTCTTATCTTAATTTCCATTGAATTTTAGCAGTACGGGTTGAGTATCTCTTATACAAAATGTTGGAGACCAAAGGTCTTTGGGTTTTTTAATTTGTTTTGTATATCAGCACACAATGTGATATCTTATAAATGGGACCCCAACTCTAAACATAAAATTAATTTGTGTTTCATATATGCCTTAAAAACATGCCTGGAGATTCTTTTATATACACTATATTTAATATTTGTGTGCAATAAACAAGGTTTGCGTCCACTGAACCATTGGAAAACAAAGGTGTCACTCTGTCAGTCACCCCCTTAGACCATTTTGAATTATTGACTATATTGGATTTTGGAATTCCAGATAAAGGATTCTCAACTCATACCTGTGACTTGTTAAGAAGAGTCAAGTTGGTAGTACTTACAGTGATGCTTGATTAGTTAAGATAATTTTTATGTCAAACCGTCTTCAGGGGCTCAAATATATTCATGAGTGATATCACCAAACTGTAAAACTATGGGATGAAACCACAATTCAGAAGGATGCTATCACCCTAGCCTTATCCTAATTCAGGAGGCTAAATGTATTTTGCATTTCTCTGATACAATTACAGATATGATCAATGTAGAAATGTAATTCTTTGAACAAAAGAAAAAGCAGTGTCAAGATAAAATTCCCTTTCCAAAGAGAAGAGTGAAAGTGACATTTGAATGGTAATAGCTTTGTTCTAATGTTAAATTCGCTGCCAGTATGTGTGGTCCAGTCTTCATTGCCTCCTGTTGGAAAGAGGATAACCAAATGCAGGAGACCATGTCATTTATATCAACAACAAAAAAGCACATGCTATGTTATTTTACTGTAGTGCCACACCTGTATTTCCTGGATTTTGTGGATAATCATGTTTAGTTTGTTTTTTTAAAAAAATGTTCTATGGCACTTGAACAAATTTACTGCAGCATAACATGTCATACATTCTGTGAAGAAAGCTTGCCAGCCACTCAAATTATCCAGAAACATCTATACTATGATGCAGGGACCTGACTGAATCTGTCTATCCTTGAATAAACTTCAAGGAAAAGTTGTCTTTTGTCTACTGTCTAGAATGCTTACAAAAAAAGATGTTGGCCAAATAACATAATCCTTCCTTGGTATGTATATGTTTTGCTTGCTGACCTCATTTTTAGTCCCATAATACTGAATGCAGATATAGCTGCAAATAATTTCCTTTTTAATGCCTCTGATTCTGATGTATGATGCAAACCCCCAATTGTGGTAAACAAATAAATGTTTATGGTACCTCATTCAATCAAGTGTTTTCCATCAAGCTACAGAGTTTTTCACTTTAAAACAACACCAAAGTCTGAGCATGCTTGCCATAGATGCAGGCAAAACGTCAGGAGAGAATGCCTCTAGAACATGGCCACATAGCCCGAAAAAACCTACAACAACCAGCCATGAAAGCCTTCGACAATACATTGAATATCAAAGTCCTCCAAAGTTAGATCCGAAGAGAGATCGTTGAGAAGTTAATGGGTTATTTGTATTCCTGTGCACATCACATATTTGCCTTTCCCCTGGAGACTTGATGGAAGATATGGGATTTGTGTGTGTATGTGTGTGCGTCAGGAGCAACTTGAGAAACTGCAAGTTACTTCTGGTATGAGAGAATTGGCTGTCTGCAAGGACGTCGCCTAGGGGACACCCAGATGTTTTACCATTCTGTGGGAGGCGTCTCTCATGTCCATGCATGAGAAGCTGGAGCTGACAGACGGGAGCTCATCCTGCTCCCCGGATTCAAACCTCTGACCTTTCGGTCAGCAATCCTGCCAGCACAAGGGTTTCACCCATTGCACCACTGGAGGCTCCTGAAGATATGGTTGATGTTCTGCCAATAACAGGGATTTTTAAAGTACTAGATTCAGATCAGTTCATATCACTCAGTAATCATATCTGACATTTCAGATGGCATATATAGGATAACGCTGTTTTCTTTACCTGTGGGAGAAATTAGGCCATGGTTTGGGGACTTTGATCTCCAGCACGAGCACAACTCTCCCACCATCACATCACACTGGCCCATCCCTAGCACTACATTATGTAGTTTCAGGTACAGAGTAATGCTCAGTTCCTTCTTTCTAAACCATATTCTTACCTGCTTGCATGCAAGTAACCTATTTCAGTTAACGCTGGGCCTGATTCCCTACTTTTTCTTTTTCCAGTTGAGGATAGTGGAGAACTGCAATCTTTATCATTGGCACTCCCACTAAAGTAGTTGTACATTTATTAAGGACCAGTCAAAGCCACAGTGATAGACCACAATACATGTCCACCCCTCTACCAGTTGTCCTGATGAGAGCCATCAAGTTAAGTTTCTTCTGCAACGATAGATGGTGGTTTCCATGTCCTTGAAGAAGCATGCAAGTGCTCTCTAGAAGGCTCAAAGGGTTTTTGTTTATGCAAGCCTTGCCCAAGCAGCTTATTTCACATCTCTTGTATATTATTAGTTTTTGAATTTAAAAAAATTTGCTAAAATTGTGTTGAATTGCACTTCTTTTTTGTGGTGTAGGAATCTATTTTTATTCTTTCCACGTCATTTCTTCATTTCTATATCTGGTTTCAAAGTTTCTGTTAAAAGAATAACATCTGGACACACATCTACTGTACTTTCTTAAAGTATGCATCTGTATCATAATTTGGAGTAACTGTTTGCTTTGATGGCTCCACAGCCCTAGCTTCTATAGCTGGGCTCTTGAAATTACTTTAAAAACAAATGTACAACAAACCACTTTAAAAAAACCCCATAAAAACAAGCCATTGCACATATAAGAAAAGTAATATTCCTTCTCTTCCAGTCAAGAAGGAATACCCCAATCCCAACACGTTTTAAACATTAAATTTAGTTTACTGCTGTGCTATATGTAAAATAAATACAGATCTCTATTTTATGCTGTACACTCAGT